ACTATCTACTATGGTATTGAGGTCTGCTGTAGATAAATGTAGACATAGTATATTATTCCTGCTATTTGCCAGTTAGCTACTCACTTAACGCTATTATTGTATACTGCTAATAGTTATAGCAGACTACAACCGTGCCTGCCGGCTCGACACCCTCGCCGCCGCAGCCCGACCAGCTCGTCGTCCAAAGACAGCCCCCGACGTCAATCCACTGCCTCCAGGATAGTTGTCATAAAACAGTCCTCCCAGCATCTCCCCTGCGCAGTACAACCCCGGCACCTCTTGGTTTGTTGTCGACGACACCACCGCCGCCGTCTCCGGACGAACCGCCAGTCCACCAAACGTAAAAGTGATGCCCGCCGTGACCCGGACAGCCAGGAACGGTCCTTGATCAATAGGAAGCGCCCAGTTCGACTTGGGAACTGCCAGCTCCAAGCCCTCCGACTGCGTGGTAAGTCCATCTTTGACAGCCGGATCCCACTTCCCACCCGGATGCCTGCGCTGGCGCTCATAAACCGCCTTATTATAGTCATGGATGGTCTGCTCAAAGCGCTTCTTATCCTCGAGATCAAACTCGGCACACTTCTCCGCCAGCTCACTGATCGTGGCCGCGCTGATATGCTGCACTACCTCCGGCCGGTACTCCTCCGACCGCAACCAAGGGATCATCTTGGAGTCCCAGATCTGGAACGCCATGTGGCCGGGCTGGTTGAGAATCTGGCGTCCGATCATCGCATACGTATAGTTGCGCAGATCCGACCCCTCGTCCACGAACCGGTTTCCCTGCCGATTGATCATGATGCCCAACGGATACCCGGACTTGGTGAACTCGTTGGAGATCTCCCGGTCGCCCGTATCGGCCGGTGCGTTAGCATCCCACGCCACGCAGTGACATCCTGACCAGTTGCCCGCCTGCTTGGCTGAGACATCCCGGATCGCCATCTCGAATCCATCCCCAGAGTTATAGGGCGTGCCGCGTACCAGCGCCACGTCCCAGTGTGGTCCAAGGTACTGCGCGCGCATGCGCGGGTTCCCTTCGAAGCCTCCGGCCGCGAGAATCACGGCCCCAGCCTTAACAGTCTGCTCGCGGCCGTGATGCGAAACCACGACGGACGTCACGGCTCCAGAGACCGGATCCGTTACTAGTTTCTGAGCAGCGGTCGAGAAGACCACCTTAATGCCCAGTTTCCGGGCTGCTTGCAGGTGATCCTGAATGAGACCCTTGCCGCCATCTTGAGTCTTCAGCGCAAGACCACCCCAGAACTTGAGGCGGCCGTTGACTTCATACGCCTGTCGATTGAAAGAGAGCTGGAAGCGCACGCCATTACTAGCCAGCCACTTGATCGCCGAGTTTGACTCATTGACGAGTGTCTGGCAGAGCTCGCGGTTGGTGCGCCGCCCCGTAACACGGTTCATGTCGCCGGTGAAGTCCTCCACGGTATACGGCTTCATATCAATCTTCTTCGCCGTCTCCGCATCGACATTATTCACGATGGGAAGCAGATCCGGCAATCCGCCGTGGACGGTGCGCATTGCCCCCGCTGTGAAGTAAGAGTTACCTCCTGCCCATTCCTCCGGACATTTATCGATGATAGCAACGTGTTTTGCGCCGGACTGGACTGCCGAAATGGCTGCGCAGAAGCCGGCATTCCCGCCGCCAATGACGAGCACGTCGCATTCTGAGGGAAGAGCCATGATGCTAGAGTGATGTGTCTGTGTGTGTGGGTGGGTGTGCCTGTGCGTGCGTGCGTGCGTGTATGCGTCAAAGAGAAAAGAGCATTAGTGCATTTAGTCTGCTAAGGGAAGGAGACTGATGATCATCGCATCAAGTAGATACATAGTGCTCTGGGATCTGTGCTCAAGTTGCCTGCGGCTTTGTATGTAGCGACGGACGGCGGGGATGGTGCCGAGGATGGGGGAATGGGGTTGGGAAACGGAGAGTTATGCTCCGTCGGTGCCACGGAGGGAGGCGGAGAGAGTCTTTCCGGTCGGTCTGGGCAGCGCTGCTTGATGTCATCGGAAGTAGGACAGGAATGTTAGGGAGAAAAGTGGATAGCTCTGCTAGAGCGATCGAGGGTGACTCGGATCTCGCAAACGAACGCATGCATGGCATGATGCGCGGAGTGTGAGTGCGGGTGCTCCCCACGCTGCAAATTGCGGGGGAGAGAATAGTCGAGGGTCGATCGGGAATGGAAAGATCGATCGCTTCGATCAATCAGTTGAGTACTAGTTTGACTTACAGAAGTGCCGAACGGAAAGTAAATGGGATAGAATTATATTGAACGTTGAAATGTTGGATATTGCCATAGACTACTATATCTTAGATAAAGATGGTTCAGACACGCCAAATCCCGCCAGAGAAACACCGTAATTGAACAAGCCCCAATATGTTGAGAAGATAGAAAAACACACGGCAGAAGAGGGTACAGAGACAGAGAAGAAGATGATGATAAATGACACGCGCTGGCTGGCTTTTGTTCAAACTATGATAGACAACTCAGTCCGGTCCAGACCATCGTCTTCCAGGCCGGGGTAGTAGGGAATCATCGCGTCCGCACTCTGCACGTACGCATCGTTGTACAGTCGCCAATACGGCGTGCGCACCTTGCGCGCCGGGTGGAACAAGCCTGCCCACACGTAGTTCATGACCACACCGGTGCCGACTGCCATCCGGATCGCATCAATGGCTTCAATGACACGGTCGATGACGTGGGGGCTGGTCTCGAAGATGTTGGGGAACACCAGGTTAAGCAGATGCACCATTGCGTCTTCACATCCCAAACCAACCACGCCCAGCGCGATGTGCTTGACAACGCTGGCTGCGGTCTGCCGGTGCACCTGGTCGCGATCGATGAGAGCATCCTCCAGAAGAGGCGTGACTGCGTAGACGTAATCCTTGGCCATCTCGCCAATGTACTCGAACAAGAAGGACATGGCCTTGAGCACACCGTTCTGGACGTTCAGTTCGGGCACACGGTATTCGTTCATCAGGGCCGGCAGGACGGTGAAAGGTGCACAAGTCTCAGCCACAATACCGATGGCGACGGCGGTACAGACACGGGATTGACGTTCTTGGACACGGAGGTTGTTCAACAGCGTCGCCAACACATCCTGGGGACCGATGGCCTTGGCGATGAAACCGAATGTGTTGTTGGCAGCACGACGGATACCCTTCTTGTGAGCCTTCAGCATGTCCAGCAGCTCGAAGCAGATACGCATCCACTCGCGGGCGTTGACCGATTCGGGGCCACGGTCGGCAATACGACCGACCAGGTCGATCGTGTTCTCTTGCACCTTCTCGTGACGGTTACGCAGGATAGGAGTGAGTCGAGGCAGCAGATCTCTGATAGGAGGCTGCATCTGGTTGATACCAACGACAGTGACGATCGAACGAAGAGCACCAAGGATGGAACCAAGCACCTCGGGGTATTCTTCACCCAAGTATTCGTAGAGCACAATACCAAGCTTGCCCATCAGAGCGTCTTCTCCACACTGCTTCATGACCATTGCAATGCGCGAGATCAGATCCGCAGCCTGCTGACGGACCGTGGCGGATTTGTTGTTCAACCGCCAGAGGATGGTACTGACAATCTGAGGGAGGTAAGGCTTGCAGCGAGTGCCCAGGGCGTTGACCACCGTTCCGAAACCGTTCAGAATCACAATATCCTCGATGCTCTGTTCCTGGAAGGCATAGAGAACACCATCAATGAGTCGTTCCTCCAGCCTCTCGGAGATATCGGCAGCTCCAAGGGCTGCAATAAGCTTCTCCACGGTCTCCACAGTCATCTTCCGGTAGGGCTCGCTTTCATCCTTGAGGTTGTTCACGACGCGCTCCAAGATCTCACCCACACCGACCTTCTGGCCAAGATCCACGGTCGTATCAACAACCTGGCGATAGTTCCTCCGGTCCAGCGCCATACGTCGCACCCAGAAGCTCTTAAAGAAGTCGGTCAACACGTGCTCCTTCAGATAGCTGGCTGTCACACCATCAGTGCTAGCACACTGCGACACTACCTTCAAGACGACCTTCTTCATCTCCTCGTCGGGAGAGGAGAATTCACGAAGAAGGATCTCCATGATCTGACTAGTGTAGTAGTTCGCGTATTCCTCGTCCATGAGAGGGATGATGTAACCGACTGCCTTCAAGAACGCTGCCAGACCCTTACCACGCTGCTTCCGAGCTCCAGTCCACAAGGGGTTGAGGATCTCATCGAAACTCTCGATACCGTACGGGTTGGCAGCTTCGGCCAAAGCAGCCACGGCCAAAGCAGTGACGGTTCTGACTTTAGCTTGCTCGTCGCTCAGGTTGTCGGCGATACAGTCGACCAGCCCCTTCAGATGGGGAAGAATGGCACAGCCCATAAGGATAGGAATTTGCTGAACAATCTTGACACCAGTGTGCCTGGCCTGCCACGACTTCTTACTCCGACACACAGCACGAAGGAAGGGTAGAAGTGCAGGGATACCAAGCGCAGAAGCAACGACAGCAAATGCTCGAGCAGTCGTGTTACGGACGTACTCATCGACATGGTCAATATCGGGACGCATCGTACTAATCATCGTGGCAAGACCGGCCGCCTTGGCCAAGTTGGAGATAATTTCACGACCCTCGACACGAGCATAGTAGTCTTGGTCAATGAGCAAGGGCTCGATGACGACCAGGATCTTGTGAACATAGGGACGAACGAGATCATCCAGCTTGTACAGGACACGGTCAATAACCTTGACCAACAAGTGGCGCTCTTGGTCTTCAAGGGACTTTTCCATAAGAAGTGGGAGAATCTGATTGAAGAGAGGGCCGGCACCGAACTGCCGCGCGTTGTCTGTAAGCTGACGCAGTGCAGTCTTTCTCATAGGCGGAGTGCCGTTCTTCACTTTCAGCAACAGTCTCATAATCTTCCTTTCCTTCAGCTCCTCCACGGACATCGCACTCTCATCCCCACCTTCCATAAGTTTTCCAAAGTAGGCCATATCTTCCGGCTTGAAGAACTGCAAGTCACCAACACCGGGAATTTCGGTCGGTAGCTGCTTGCCCATCGCACGGGCGCTCTCTGGCTCCTGCATCATAAAACCTCCAACTCCTGTCGCACTGGCCATTGGTGCCGGTGTCGCCATAAGCTTTCTCGCGGGGTTCCGGATTGGGGCGTAGCCCGGAGGAGGCTCGAGGATCTTGTAGCCCTCCGAGGGCAGCATCATATCAAGTTCTTCATCCGACAGAGGAGCATTGCGTGCAGAGATATCAGTTCCAAAGCTGGTGGGCATCATAGGCACACCTACTTGAGAAGGATGCATCGGGGTAGCAAGCCCTTGGTTACCCACGGGGGTGGATGCCGCAATGGCCGGCGCTTGATCCCATCGAGAACGACGCTTAGGGGCTTCCTCGGCGGCGGCGCCAGGGACGGCAGGTGCAGGCGTTTGATCCCAGCGGGATCTCTTGGCCTTGGTGTCTGCGGGCTGCGGGGCCTCAGCTTCAGCCGACTCAGTAGGCTCAGATGACACATCCCACCGTTGTTTACGCTTGCGACCGGTGGCGACCGAAACGGTCGAGCCAGCTTCGGCGTTTTCTTTGTCCTCCGACTTCAAGGTGGCCTCATGCTCCTGAACATCGTCCTCTCCACGAGCCTGCTTCTCTGCGATCAGCTTCTGAACACGCTCTTCTTCTTTCTCAAGCTCACGTAGAGCCATAACCTCACGGTAGGTCTGGCCCTCTCCTTCCACGTTTGCATGTGTGTTCGCGGCAAACGGATCAGCTCGTGTAGGCGTCAGCGGACCGCGGTTGAAGCGACGCTTCTGATAGTCCGTTTCGCGATCAGCAATCCTGGCCGCCTTCTCGCGGCCCAGAAGAACGTCCTCCTCTTCCACACCATTGCCTTGGGCAAATTCATCGATCTGGCTCCTTGTCGCGGTATATTGGCCCACCAGACGGTGGCCTCCGTCCGCATCCTCCATGTCTTCATCTTCGCCATTAACGGCGATGGATGTGTCGTATCCCGCATATCTGTCAGCGCCCTCGCGTTCGTAGAGGGTGGTATCGAAGGATTCAGTCAGGGAGGCCTTGGTCGAGTTGTCAGTGCGCTGGCTAGACGGATCAAAGGTCCTAGAACCTTTCTTCGCAGATGCAGCAGCGTTCCGCTCAGCTTGGAGCTTCCGTACAGCTTCGAAATCAGCTAAAAGAGATTGTCAGCCTATCATCAGAAGCAAGATTCGCGATCAGAGAGTTACCTACCGTCGGACATGGTGGCGGTTGTGGAGATCCCAAAGACGAGAAAGAGAACGAACACTCCCAGGCAGGGGTAACAGCAGCTACATTCGGATCAAAAACGGACAATAGCAGCGACCTTGGGGGCGTGGAGGGTAATGCGCTGATGTCTCGCGATGAAAATATCAAGAGGACGTGAGGTGAAGTTCGGCGGCGGGACTAGATTGATGACTAAGATGAGGCACGTGATGGCCGTGTAGCTGTCATGGGTTTCGCTTTATCTCACCTTTATGATCACTCACCCCTTGATATTATTCATTTGGGTCCGTTTAGTTCTCAACGGCCCTGGATGTGTTAAATATAGTCATTTGAATGCTATATTAACTTTGTAGCTTCGTTGTATATAGAAATGGTTATACCCGTTGCCTTCAGATTGCCACAACAACAAATCAGTGAATCAGATACTACGTTTCGATACAGTGTTATAGCACATCTATAAGGCTCACACTGAGGCTCCAGAGGGTCCGAAAAATGGTTCCCTATACAAGAAAAATGTACATCGTGATGTGAACAGGATATTGAGTATGTAAGACTGTTTCGTGGCTATATATCACCACTTGCTTTGGTATGCATAGCTGCAGTGACCGAAGTCCATACAAGTAGTTAGTACTGCGTATTTCTTTCCCCTCATGAAACGCTTCACAACTGATGTGATTAGTACACAATTCGGTGTCTGCTAAGAATAATAAATTGTCCCATGATCTAGGGACTTTGGTGTCCATAATCCAACGAACATTCCTAGAGCTTGCTCGGCCTACAATCCTGCCACAATGTCATGCTTGAAGTTGTTTATACCAAGGAACCAGTTTCCATTGTGCGAAAACACTAACTATAGACTAGGGTGCATCTCCTACATACAATCGGATTCGCGCTGTGGCATTGGATCGAGGTCCTTAAATACAGATACTCTTCATTATTCGAACCGGATATATATATCATGGTATGTCAAATTGACCTCTACCACCAACGGTATTTACTATTTCGACGACCACTTCATCTATCCCCCGACAGAATATTGCGGATTATTCCACATAGAAGAAGACATTCAGTCCAAAGCGCACCCTCATGCACATTGTTCTGAGGTATATACATTATGTATACAGGATAGTATCACATTTGCAGCCGAAGCTCTTCCAACTTCATCCATACTCTCGTACAACCGTCAGATTACTTACCACAAACAAGTAATGACCGGTCACAATCTTTCCAGCCTAACAGCTCTTTGATACCAAATTAGTTGTTTGTAGTTAAATCTCATTCGAAAAACTAAATAAAACAAATAAATTATAATCGAGCACCTGAAACCGAAAGCTGCTCCAACCGAACAAAAATCCAAAATGACATCATGCCATCTCCACGCGGCTAAAAAGCAACTCCACGCGGAAACAAACCACAAAACAACCAGAAACAGAGAAAAAAACATGTCATTCCCTCAATATCCAAAAGAAGACATGTGAAAACAATAATAAAAGAAGATATCTGTCTCTTTTGATCACAGTCCCCACCGTGTTTCAGCCCAATATGCGACTGTTATGTAGCAGATTAATAACGGTTTCCGCGAGGCCATAGCATACGCACACACGCGCAGTGGGGCATACTAGACCACTACTGTCGACATACCATTCTTAGTTAGATCGGGGTTTTTGTACATGGGTTGTATACGTCAGCTTCTCTTTTCAAAATTAATTCCTTTCTTCTTTGCCAATGTTGTGGGATTCGGACTTAATTACTGATTTCATTACTTGCTGTATGTGTGTGGGGAGTGGGGTTGCAAGGATTGAGATGAGACTATGTGTCTGTCTAATGAGCGGAGGGGGGTGTAATATGATATAATATATGTGGTGTTTCAGGCTCTGTTGGCTGCTTTTGTTTTGCTTCATAGTTATTACCTGCTGATTTGGGACGGCATGGGTCGGTGGACTTGCTTATAGAGCGTATGGCATGGCATGGGTGTGATATTAGTTTGAACGGTGGTGGGTGCATCTGCTTCGGCTATTGGGCATGTAGCCTGTCGAAGGAGGACACGATTACTAGACTGGGCTGAATGATGCTAAGAACCTGAGTAGTACGGTAAGAGTGCTTAGAGCTGACCTTTAGAAAGCATGTGTTCTCGGAGCTCATAGGAAGAAGATTACTCAATTGCAACGATGTGCGGAATTGGATGCAGAAGACACCCAAAGAGCCGTCAGATTACGTCTAAGCGATATGGAAAGTCCTGAGCATGAGCTAAAATGGTTGACATCTCTATTCGCGACTATTACTTCCTCCGTATGCGAAAAGGAATGACCAAAAGGCCGATAGTAAGCATAATGTAGTATAATACCCAAAACGCCAAGGATATGGTAGCAAGTGGTGATATGCACAGTTGAAAATCGACGGCACCAGGCGGTCAGTGATGGTTCTAAGAGCAAGCCTAGTGGATTCTGTCCAGCTTGGCCCGGTTCATGGCGATCTGATCGTCGACAAAGTCGCTCTACAGCGCAGTTAGTCAAGATTCGAGTTCGTGATGACAAGAGCTCCAAAGGACTTACCTTGGCCGTGATACGCTCCAAATGACGGTTCTGTTCGTCCAGCTCGCGACCTGTCGCCCGAGCAAGTCCATTCAGGCGGCTCGCAGCTCCTCCAAGCAGGTCCAAATTCTGTTCGATCTCGTTCTCCATCGCCTCATCCTCGCTGTCCGCCTCGAATTGGTACTTGGCACGATCGGTAATGTTGGTCCTGTTGCGCGTGGTCTGCTTGGCCGCCTCCTTGTCGATGTCTCTGAACGTGCGCTCCATCCGCTGGTTGGTCTTGAAAGCCTCCTTCTCGGTACCCTCGCGAGTTTCCCGCTCTGCTCGGTGGGTGTTCAAGATTCGCTCATCACGCTCTCGCCGGCGCCGGGAACTGGTGAAAGGATTGGACACGTGCACAGCGAACATACTCTTGTTGAGTGTCTTCAACTCCTTAGCCTTCTCCTCCGCGATCCGTCCCTCGACTGTAGCAACATCCAAACTCTTCTCGGCATCATGGATACGCTCTCCCTGAGCACCCAAACGAGCAAGTGTCTCTCGACCCGTCTCTTCGGCCTGGGCAGCCACACGGAGTGCATTGCGAGTTGAGGCGACGTCGCCCTGTTTGATGAAACGGATATCCTGCTTGATGGTCTGAATTTCTTCCTCCTCTTCCTCCTCAGCAGTAAGGTGGCGCTCCTGGTATGTGGAAGTGTTGTACTCGTTGCTGCCTCCGCCATACGCAGCTCCGCCCTCGGAGTAAGGCGGGGGAGGGCCGGCCTGCTGTTGTTGCTGTGCCCGATCCCGAGCCCCTCCAAAAAGCGCATCTCTGTTGCCATCTGCCGCCGCGGGGTCATTGGGATCGGCGCTACCTAATCCTCCATAGCCGCCAGGGCCGTACCGGGAAGCGGCAGGGGCAGCAGGACCCCCGCCACCAAAGCGGTCGGATCCATAGCCGCCTTGGTTTCCATATCGATTCGGCGCATACCCTTGATACTTGTTATCTCCGGGGATGTTATGGGCACCAGAGGGGCCAGCTGCGGGCGGTTGTTCTCCGGCTGGCAGAGGAGCCACACCCGCCTGCATCTTGGCCTTGGTGTAAGGGTCGGTCGGGATAGGTTTAGCGTAGGGGTTGGCAGGCGGCGCAGGGCTCTTGCTCTTCGATCTGGAGCCGAAAAGTGCCAGACGATTGCCGGAATCCTCGTCATCGTCCCCGGACTTTTTGAAACCGAATCGGCCCATGGCGTGGAATGCGAGTGAGATTAGTTGTCAAGTATGAGGATGAGAGACGGTCAAGAAAATGCTAGTAGCGATTAATCCGGTGAACGAAAGGAGAGAATGTGAAAAGAGGACAGATGGAGGTAGAAAAGGGGATCAGAGAGGGACCAGCGCGAAAGATGTGAAACCAACGATAATAATAACTCCAGTTGGTCAGGGGAGCAGCAGCCGTCAGGGAAACGCCTCCTTAGGCATTATTGGATGGAGGGTCGAGACCCAAGGCGGAGGGTAATTCTGATACATCATTCGAGACAGAAAAAAAGTTAGTTGTGAGAGTATTGACGGTATCAGAACCACCAATATGACAGGCAGTGCACGCACTAATCCCCAAACGGCTAGTGGGGTGGCTGGACCCTTTTCGCAGCCACGAACCAGTGGCTGCAAACGTGCAAACTTTCCCACTTCGAGTTGATGGTTGCCTTCGTTTGGCTTCCGCCTTTCCTCTCTCCCTCATCCTCTTCCCTTCTTCCCTTCTCCTCCTCCCCAATCACATCGCCGGAGCATGCTTCACCGCAGCCATGGCGCCGTATCCAGGGTCTGATGCAGACTATTTTAGGGACAAGGCGCGTAGGGATTTGTTAACTCTCCTTGAAGGCGTGAGTAAGCCTCCAACAACGTGTCCCTCAAGGCAGCAGTGATCCTCCTCGCCTCCGTGCATGAGCTGAATCTCGTGGTGCAGGTACGTGGTAAGAAAAACCTTGTCGTCAGTCAGGATCTGGCTGGTCCAGTCGGGCTGTTCGTCAAGTTCTCGCTGCTCCAGGAATACGGTGTAGATCGCGTGTTCCTGCTCGAGAATGGCAACGTGGACTCCTCTCAGCGCAACGTCGTCTTCCTAGTCCACGCGGAAAAGATACGCCAGGTGCGGGCCGTGGCAGGTATGTCCATTTCTTCCGGATCACCACCCCGTCGCCTTATCCCATTGTAAATTCTCTCTCTCTCTCTATCTCTCTCTCCTGTGCCTCGTCTTGCGATCATTGGCGAAGCTATGCCTCTATATCTCTTCGGGACAAACAGTAGATTACGCAGATCTATCTTCCAACTCTACGTAGTCAGTCAAGAGATCCCAACATAGAGAGATTGTATACAGCTCATCTCTAAGGCTTTCTTTCAAGTCGCGTCCGATTGAATGCCATCAGTATGAGCTAACATGCCTCTAGAACAGATTCAACGCCTCCAGCGCAACGGCAATGTTGAGCATGAAATCTCCATATTTTGGGTTCCGAGGCGGACCCTCGTAAGCAATTCCATTCTTGAAGAAGCTGGCATCATAGGCGACGTGAATATTGCTGAATTTCCACTGTACTTTGCTCCTTTGGAGCAAGATGTGCTGTCTCTGGAGCTGGAAGACTCCTTTGGTGACCTGTACCTGGTAAGGAAGAGCACAACTTCCTGTGTGTCAAACATAATTAACACCTGGTGGCACACAGCACAAGGATCCGGCATGTATTTTCCACTCCGCAAAAGCCCTCATGGACATCCAGCAGAGACATGGCTATTTCCCTCGTATCATTGGCAAGGGTGACCATGCCCGACGCCTTGCAGACCTCCTACTGCGGATGAGAAAGGAGCTTGATGCTGAAGAGAGCTCGGGGTTGGCTGGAGTCTCTGCCAGAGGCCTTCTCCCTAGCGCAAACACTGAAAGCCTTATCATCATCGATCGGGAAGTCGATTTTGGAACTGCGCTCCTCACACAACTGACCTACGAAGGCTTGATCGATGAAACGGTGGGCATCAAGAACAACCAAGCAGATGTGGACACCTCCATCGTCGGGCCTACGGCAGTGCCTCAAGCCCAGGAGTCTTCTAAAGCCCCCCAGCAATCCTCAAAACAAGGACAAAAGCGGAAAGTCCAACTGGACTCGTCTGACCAACTCTTCAGCCAGCTGCGTGACGCCAACTTCGCCATCGTAGGTGACATCTTGAACAAGGTCGCACGCCGTCTGGAAAGCGACTACGAAAGCCGGCATGCCGCCAAAACCACCTCTGAGCTCCGCGAGTTCGTCAACAAACTTCCCACTTATCAACTGGAACATCAAAGTCTCCGAGTCCACACCAACCTTGCCGAAGAAATAATGAGAACTACTCGCTCAGATATCTTCCGCAAGATTCTTGAGGTGCAGCAGAACAATGCCGCTGGCGCTGACGCTACATACCATCACGACGCCGTTGAGGAGCTCATTGCTCGCGATGTTCCTCTGAAGACCATTCTCCGTCTGCTCTGTCTTGAATCCTGCATGTCCGGTGGTCTCCGGCCACGCGACCTCGAAAATTTTAAACGCCAAATCATCCAAGCATATGGCCATCAACACCTTCTTACCTTCTGGGCTCTCGAGAAAATGGAACTTCTTCAGCCTCGTTCTTCCGCCACCACCATGCTCCTCCCCACCGCTGGCGCCCAGACCGGCACCAAGACCAACTACGGCTACCTCCGCAAGAACCTCCGACTGGTTGTCGAAGAGGTCAGCGAAAAGGACCCCAATGACGTTGCGTATGTCTATAGCGGTTTTGCCCCTCTCAGCATTCGTCTCGTTCAATGTGTTCTGCAGAAACCGTATATCCTTTCTCTCGTCAGGGGTGGGCCTATCACTGCGGCGACGCCCAGTCCTGCAAGCGCCTCGTCCCCGGGGTGGCTCGGTTTTGAGGACGTAGTAAAGAGTGCTCGGGGCGCTACATTTAGCATTGTACAGAGGGGCGATGATAAGGCTATCAGGGCGCGGCAGACTATTAGTGGCAATAACGCGATCAAGACGGTTTATGTTTTCTTTTTGGGTGGAATTACGTTCACAGAAATTGCGGCGCTGAGATTTATCGCAGCGCAGGAAGCTCCCAGACGGAAGATTGTGATTTGTACGACGAGTCTCATTAATGGTGATCGGATGATGGATGCAGCGATCGAGAAGGGGAGTTTTACTAAGCTTGAGTGAAGAGTAGGTAAAGACATACTGTTAGCGATTGATGATATCAGCTCCACATCGTATGACAATTTGGACCTGTAGGTAATGCTTCAAAGACTATAATCTGGTGCACCGCTACCCATCGCACGTCTCAGTATCCCCATAGATTCAACATAATAATGCCTGACACGGAAGCACGACTGATTATGCTCACAGTATTTCCTTCGAGTCACCGCGGCTTATAGCAAGCAGTAACCATGTCATAAAAATAAGCGCCTCCATCACATATGAGCCATCTTTCCAAGCCTTTTTGTGGGGTGTCGACATAAAGAATACGCTGTGCGTTCAGAGCTGCGAATAGAAACAACCAAGCGGTCTGAGATATCTCTGCATGCAAGTAGCCACATACTATGTCACTGCAGCTGGCGTACCAAATCGCCTACGCGCAGGGTTAATTTCACACAGCACCAATAGCTTTAAAGGACATTGTGTGCCACGAACTGCGCATGACATTGTGCATGTATGTAACTGCACCAACTCCCCACGAGTATATCGAATAATAAAAGCAGGCGCTAACTCGGCTATACGACCGCAGGTGTACCTAAATTAAGAGATTCTGGTTCGGAATTGTTTTCATCGGCCGATGCATGGCCACGAGGGCAACGGCGCTTACATCAAACCTTGTTGGTTTTATGCGCGTCTCACACCCACTGCCGTCCACGAATGCTTGTTAGACAGATTGCAAGGTAGATTACACAGGCTTATGGCTATATCCGCAAGGCTACTTTGGGTGTAGCGCCTGTGCTGCCTATAGGATATAGCTTGCTGGCCGGGGGTCCATGCTATGTCCGACTGACTTGGTTGAATGTTGGAGGGTTGTTGCCTGCGGATTGTCTTTGCATGCGTGATATCAGGAATACTGAAGTTATTCTTTCTGCTACTTTGGAAGAAGGCTTCTGTATCGTTGATTCCAGTCCTCACCGGCTACTTTGTGCTGGGGCAGTGTATCTGGCTATCCAACATATCGTTGCTTGCGTGTATCAACTGGACTGGATTGATTCAGCATGGCTCAGAGAGAATCCTGAGGGCTGTCAAGGCAGACTGGTTATACTATATTTCTTTTGAGAATTGATATTAAGTGCATAGGTGTTGAACCAGTGAATATCAGTATCTGCAATAACTGAGTGGATCATTCACTTTCTAGTTATATATGTCGATGCTTCCTTCCATCAGAACAGCTTTCTCCTCACCACCAGCCCACTTCTTCCTCTGCTTGAGTTGAGAACAGGAACTCACAATTCAAACCGTTCGCAAGCTACTCATCTCTCATCCAAGAAACAAACATCTCCACCATGATGCTTTTCAACTACCTCCTCGTCTTTCTCCTTCCCCTCCTCGTCACCGCAATCCCACACTCCACCCCCGATGATTCCAATAACACCGAGACCGACATTGACACCAACGCCAACGACATCCTAACCACCACCTCCATCTTCAGCTCCACCATCTCCACCCTCAAAGGCCTTGACCTCACTTCCTGCTCGCTCAATACCACCACTCTCAACATCAACTACAACCTCACAGCTCTCCCCACCCCAGCCACCAACCTCACCCTCCAGCACGTTGCCCTCGGCCGAGGAACTCAAAACTACACTTGCTCTTCACCTCAGAACACCACCAGCAAACCCACTTCCGTCGGCGCCCTGGCCACGCTCTTCGATGCCTCCTGCATCGCCTCGGTCGACGAGGAGCTCCTGCACCACCTCCCTGCCCTCGTGCAAGGCATTCCCCTCGAAACGCTGGACTTCCTCGCCACGTTGATCAGCCTGGCTGGTGCGGGAGAGGGCATTCTCGGCGAACATTACTTTACGGGGAATGGGCAGCCGTCCTTCGATCTTAGGTTTAGTGGGGATGAAAATTGGGCTACGATGAAGAAGGTTGCTAGTGCTAATGCCCCGAAAAGTGTGGATGTGCCGTGGCTTAAGTTGGTGGAGATTGAGGGAGAGGGGATTAAGGTATGTCTTGTGTTGCCTCTGTTTCTGTGTCTGTGCCTGTGTGCTTGGGATAATTGGTATTAATAATAATGCTAGGAGGTGTATCGCGTTTATACCGCTGGCGGTGTTAGTCCGGCTACCTGCGAAGGACAGGAGGGCGAGTTTGAGGTGGAATATGCGGCGGAGTATTGGTTTTATGGATGATGGTGAATATGCTTCCATTCAATGTTTAGTAGCTGGTTGCTGGAGGTTTGCTCTTGTGCTTTGATATGAGGGAGGTGATTATGGTGGTTTGCGCTAGTGACTATTGGCTTTAACAGCCTATTTTATTGAGCAACCTAAATACATAGTTATTATGCCCACAGAGACAGAAGGGCTCCAGTCGTACTGTTTTATAAAACCAAGATAAGATACCATCGACATATTCCGTCTACTACAGAAGCACAAACCACACACTCTCCTTCTCGACAGAGCCATAGCAACTTAATGTCTATACCCCCACAACCTATAATCAGCAGCTTCTATAACTCAAACGCCAACTACAGCGCTTAAATCCAGCCACGCCCGCATTTCTCCGCCACCAGAGCGCCCATCCAAGCACCACGTCAACACCAAGTCTGTGCTTCAGCTGGCAGATGGGCCCAATAATTCCACCAAAAGTTAAGCGACAGACAGAAGCAACATACAAACTTAACACCAACTCACTGACTTCTCAGCCACAATCTGACCGACAAGCTCCGCCACCACTCAAACACTAACTAGCAGTTATGCGGGATCTATCGATCTAATTCATCTGCCTTTCAGCTATCATCCATCCTCAACAAAGTTTCAGATCGGAAGCAAGCAAGCACATACATGAACTAACATTCTACTAGTAATACCCTTTCACATTGGGTAAATCCCATTCCATCATAACGACGCCTGAACAAAGTAGAAACTCAAATCCAATAAAGAAGCTGCCCATCCATTATGCGATTATGTCATATGGTTCACTCACGTGACTCCATTGTCTCCCCCAAAACCGGTAAGCTCCGGCAGACTCACTGGCCAGCCAGAACAGCCAGGTAGACAAGAGCTGAGAACTGGAACCTGGAACACCCGCGTTTCCCCAAAAACGCGTAGCTCAACCACCACTTCCGGACGGACCTTCTTTGCTCCCATCCACACCCACCTCTCCTCCCCCATCCATCTCTTTTCATTCTCCTCTTTCTTTCAATACAACCATCACAACAACAATCATCATTCACGGGTTTTTCCTTTCTCAATAATTTAAATTGAATTCGTTATTGCGCATGGTGGTTGTAAGAGTGTAATCAGTCAATTGCTTGCTTATTTCTTTTGATCTATTTCAATCCCCATCTCACCCCCCCAATTCGTCCGTCTGTCGCAACTTGCTTGCGCGCTCACATACCCTACCATTACCCTCGTCTATTACGATACGCACCTACCTACCTCACTTCCTATCCTCCTATCGCATTACATCTCATCAAAATGGCTACCGACTACAGCAAGAAGACCAACGCCGAATTAATCGAGATCCTCAAGTCGCGCAATCTCCCCCATACGGGCAAGAAAGCAGAGATGGTCGCTCGGCTACAGGAGAACGATAACAGTGCTGCCCCGTCTGAGGAGAAGCCTGCTGCTGCCGCTGCTACGAAGGGTAGTGGCGATAACAACACAGACGATGTCATTGACTGGGAAGACGATGAGGTCCCTGCTGGTGAGGCGGCTGCTAAGGCGTCGACTGCGACGGGCGCGGCGGCCATCGCGGCCGGTGGAAAAGGCGAGGTAGAGAATCCTGTCAAGGTCCCGAATCAGAAGTTGGATGAGGAGGCGAATCCCGCGACGGCGAATGATTTGAAAGTGGAACAACCTGGAGATGCTGCGCAGCAGCAGTCGAAGGAAGAGGAGGGTGCTGCAGCCGCCGCCGCCGGCGCTACGGAGAAGGAGGGCGAGGAGGAGAAGAAGCCGGCAGTTACTTACTCCGCTGGGTTGCCGATTACGGAGATGGAGGAGGAATTGAAGAAGAGAAAGGCTCGCGCGGAGAAGTTCGGTGTTACGGAGGAGTCCAAGGCTGCGATTGAGGCGGCGGAGAAGCAGCTTGAGCGGGCGAAGCGGTTCGGTACTGCGGCTCCGGCTCCTGGGGAAGTTGGTGTGAAGAAGTTGGATGAGGCGTTGCCGGAGAAGGAGGAGAAGTCACGCAAGAGAGGTCGCGGTGATGAGCAGAGCGGTGGTGGTGGTCGCGGTGGGAAGAAGAGGGATCTTGGAGGGAGGAACAGATTCCGCGGCAGAGGAGGACACGGTGGGAACCGTAACCAGGGTCAAGGTCGTCCTCAGAAGCAACAGAATGGTGGTGGTGCTACTGCTGCTGCTGGGGCCAAGACCACTAATTGGAGTGAAAAGGACGTCCAGGCCATGGAAGCTCGGAAGAAGAGGTTCGGAGCTGCTGCGTAGACCCAGAGGAGGGTCGCAATGTGATATTCCGGTTCATATTTCTGCTATCTCTTCTTCTTTCTTTACAGGTTACTGGCGTTTTAGGGGAATTCAAGCTTTGGTCTGAAAATATGCTGTTGTGTACATGTTGCGAACTGGAGTCGCGGTTGACGGTGTGACAAGAAGTCAGGGCCATTAAGGAGATCCCGGCAGGCATTGTTGAATATTGCCCGGAGATTTCCCCTGGATGTGGTCAAAGATCCGTGCAGGGTGACATGCATCCATCCAATCCGCCCTTGTGTTGCTTTCTTTTTCCTACCCTTCTTCAGTTATGGTTTTCCCCATCAAACATTGTTCACCATCGACGAAGACACGAAGCGAATAATATAAGAGAGCCTGGTGTACAGCATAAGCTATCGAATCCCACGTAAATAGTCGAGCTGCAAGCCTAATTCTGCAGTGGAACTCGTAGCATTCACACGTTCAGCTGAAAATCCCTGGCGCATGAGCATGATGGCGCCCCAGTTCCTGCAGCGCCAACCGACCGACCGACCGACCGACCGTGGCTTCTTTCCTGGCTTGCCTTGGGATCGGATCGGATCTGCAGTAGTCTATCATCACGCACATTCCTTCTGTTTTCGCCCCTGGTCGCATGTATATTCCGTTCTAGACAGACACGGTAAACAACCAACTGTGAACAAATCTAGATGCTTCGTGATTGGCATAAGTCACATCGCTTAGGGGAGACGAGGGAGGGGTTAAGTTCAGATATAGTAGGTAGGCCAGAAGTCAGTTAACCGCTGTCCCACTGAATCACATTCACAAAAAGGCAGGGAGGGGGCCTTTGCTTCACTCTGTCGGGCAAAAGCCCTTCGTAGTTGGTTCAGCGCGCCCGTGGTGCTAATTGCTGAGCCAGGCCCCGTTCACCTTGGATCCGTCAATCAGGCGTGATTGTCGCCCCGTGTTGAATGTCTAGCGGCGGATCAAGACCCACGGCTCAGCGACTCCGCATTCCCCTCGGATCGGGGGGAGGCAATGAGGCACTTTTCTTACTTTAGTTGATTTCAAAGGATTGCAGATAGGGAATTAGGGGCCGACTGTGGTTTGCTAAGGCGGCGGGGATCCACCGGGTTCAGTCCTCGGTCTCAGCTGCTGTGTGCGGCCTGTAGCTTCGGGGATGTCACTGGTTGCGTGAAAGGCACGCGAAGGAACAAAGTATATCATGTTTGGCCGTTGTGAGAGTGGATCGAGGCAAATATCCAATTCGTTTTGTGTGATGGGGGCCATAGACGATGTGACTGGATGGGGGAGTTGAATGGATCGGGGCGAACCTTCCGGTGTACCAGGGTTGAGTGTAGTACCTTGTTGCGAATTCGAGCACACACGGCCGAGTGAGAGTGAGAGGAAGTTGACTTGGAACTCTCTAGAGATAACAAAGTAGACAGTGCAATGTAGTTGATTCCTCAAGGACTCCAAAATCCCATTGTGGGCGAAAGATAATGAAGGGCCGCAGGTGTTGCTATAATTAAAATGGAGATGCTAAACTCGGCCTCTCCGAATAGTCAGTGACCATCAGTGACGGTCAGTGACTACCACCTGACCGGCTTGGGTCGCCGCCGCGAAAATCTCCGGTCAGCGTCAAATCAGCATCCATATTCTCCATAACACACAGACCAGTTTGAGCTCGAAGCTCGCTTTTTAGTCCTTACAAAGCACTAGTCGACTGCGGCAATCCTGACTGACAACTGACAGAAGACTTACAGTGACCACCAGCATGCTTGGCTGATGCCTGCATCTGCCATCCGCGCGTTGGCCCACGGCAAATGGCCGGTTCAGCGCACGACGGTCTTCCCGCTATCTCACGCCACTCAACTCCATGTCGACCTGTCAAGCGATGCCGTTGAACAATCCCCAACCATGGAAGGCAATGGTACTTACCAGTTAGAATAGCGGTAACGACCAGGAGTGGGCCGCGGGCATGGATTCCTTCCACTGTCTGCGGGCCTTGCCTCTGCTGTCCTTACATGTTGTTCCCAGCTTGGTCAAGGTTCACGGCTTTCAAAAGATAATTCGCCAGCCTGCTCGTGACTTCGGCTGATTTAGATAGACTCCAGGATTGAGACCGTCGATAACAGAGGTCGGGATTACAGAAGATAATTCATCAGATCAAGAAAGGGAAGCAGAGAAAAGGAGAAGTGCCTGCGCCAATTACCATCCTGGTCACATCACTACTCGAATCCCGACCCAGCGTCGATCGCACAAATCGCGCCAGGATTATCTGTGATAGTTGACGCTCTCTAGACGGATCGTTTACCTGCGAATCGGGTTACTGGTTCCCCCACTACGCTCAATGTCTCCAAACGGGGTTCGAGGGTAGTCCTGGCTTGTCCAGGGTTTCGCAAATGGTCCAGAACTATTCCTGGTACGGGACTAATTAAGACTTCCAGGTCCCAGTTCGCATGCCCTTCTCTTTCTCTCCCTTTTCTTCTCTTCTTCTGGTCGTCTCTATCGTTCTTTTCATTGTTTTTTCCTGTGTAGCTGGTCTTGGTTGTTCTATTCTACGCCATTTAATGTGGCTTCTGCATAGTCTTCCTTTCTTATTAGACCGACGCTCTCTGACGTGGTCGTGCAGACCGAGCTCGACCTTTTTTTTTTTTATTTTTTCTCCTGCATTTAGCCACTCTGGACGTCTCCATACTGTGGCGCAGCGCCTGCACGGTGTACTCTTCGGTCTTTTGTATATTTTACTCTTCTTCTGTTTCCATAATTGCAGTCTCGTATCTTCTTGTCGGTCCTGGTTATTATTATATGACACCCGCCCCGCTAAATACGACCGCTTATTTCCCCAACGCTCCATCAGTCGTTGGCCCTGTTCTGAATAGCTTCCTCCTGCCCCGCCTCTACATACCCCGCTGCGCGGTTATTTTCTAGGTTTTATAATTGACCGGCACCTGTCACTGTCGCAACTCGCACAATTCCCTGGCATGTTATGAAAGGTAAGTCATCCTCCAGCTGCTGGCATTGGCTCAATGAAAGCTCACAAGCCTTATCGCTGGTAGCGTTCACGTCGGCTATAAATATCATCAGACGGAATGATTTCCTGTCTACCTCGTCCTACTTCTATCGCTAGATCGTTGGTCTTCGGACTACAACTGGAGGCTGGACCCAGGTCACACCATGTCGTCGCACAAGTCTGACGGCGGTCGAATACCCCGACTGAAGAATGTCGCCAGCCAGTCCCGGAGCGTATCGTCGCCCGCGATGGCCTCAGCTCGGCTTCACGACGCCCCTGCCCAGCTATTGCCCAGGCCGCAGATACCAAGACCGACGCTTCCCTCGACTAGGGCCATCCGAGCGTCATCGGTGTCCAGTGCTGAGGGAAATCGTCACAGTGTCGCACGATCAGACCCTTCGATGATCCCGGCCGGTCAGCATGCTCGTCCATCGATACCTCCGCGAACAGCCACGCATCCATTGCCGCCGACACCCTTGCATCCAATGCCGGATGGAGGCGTTTGCCAACCCTTCCACATGGCTGCTGAGCCCCTGAATGCCCTTGACACCGACAAGAGGTCCCCTGCTCCCGGTCGACCGCGCAATGTCTTGCGGAGGAAGGCGCCGACAATCGGTCAACATACTGCACAAAGTAAACCAAGCTTGGAGAGGATACGACCTGAGAAGCTGAATGTGATTATACCAAAATTTCCTATCATTGGGCCGACTCAGAGCGCCTCTTTACAGTTCGCTACGAAGCATTCGGTCTCAGCGTCGCCAATGGCTTCGGAGGATAATCTTTCGAGCATCGTACCGCAAGCTCACGTCCATACCGGTCCGAAGGAACTTGCAAGCCTCAGGACCACTATCAACACACAAAACCTACCACCCCCAACTCCGATCATCCCGTCCGCCAGTAGTCCTTCCACAAGATATTCAGAATCCCCGGGTGTGTGGAGTAGGACTTCGACTCCAACTACATTATCTTCCTATTCACCAGGAATCGTTCATTCTGCAAAAGCTCCACGCTTAAGGCAACCTAGTCCATCCCAAAGTCGACTTCCGGTGCTCTTTCACCAGACACAGCAGGCAAGTCCAGCAAGTGACCGAGCGCGGTCGGGCGCAACACAGTCCCCATTGTTGGACCAGAGCACTAGAGCAAAGACATTCGTTACTGAGGGTGAGACAAAACAGTTTCCGGCGAAGACCGGCACAACGAACACTACCAAAGCATCTTACAGCCACCTTCCCCGTAAGACGTCCACAAGCAGCACTCGACGACTTTCGACCAAAGAGAAACCAAATGCTGAGGCTGAACAAAAAGTAGAGAAAACAGTCTCACGAATCATGTCTAACGCAGATAAAGTACGTGCAGACTTAATTGATAAGCCTCTTCAGATACCCAAAAGGCCGACCAGGGAAGGCACTCACCAATTGATACTGGAACCGTCACCTGTGGTACAGAGCAATATACCGCCCAAAACGGTGACAGGCCACAAAAGGCGAGACTCAATTGAGAGATCCCCCATTCTGGAGAGGCGTCCAGGGTTAAATAGGTCTGCAGCCACCTCGATCGACTCGCTGCACGCAAGGGCTCCCTCTCATGCCCATGCACCAGCATCGCCGGAGTTATCACGAAAGTCACCTCGCCAACCAGCCAAGGAAGAGAGGCCACAGCATGATATTGTGGGCCCAGGAGAGTCACGAGGTCTTGGCCTCTTTACAAAAAGGTCGAAACCTGACATGGATACGCGGAGTGAAGGTCGCTTAGCTCGTAAGGGACCTGCTGCTGGGACGGGACATGAAGGCTACGGCAGATATGCACAGCGTGGCCGCAGATCAAGCGTGAGCAGTAGCACTAGCCGAGCAAGGTCAACTAGCACAACCAGAAGCGGCCCTAAGTCTGTTGCCAGTAGCAAAAGCAGCACTAGAAGCCGGCCGGAGCTAGACCTTGACGACTTTTTGCTCGATCGCCTTGAGCCAGTGATTATCAGAGGTGGGAATGTGGATGGGATTGCTTCTCAGAGGAGGCCAAGCGAGCAAAGTACAAGTGGTTTCAGTACAGCATCTACCTCAAACCTGACGCAGCCGTCTATAATTTCCGAATCTCCTGGTTGCTCTACAGAGACACTGGCTAGTTCTCGAGCATCTACAGACTCATCGGAGCTGACAGCTAAGGGCATGAAGCATCAGATATCATTTGAACAGCAGAGGGTGACATGTTCTCGCCTGGAGACAGGTCCGAAGGTCACAAAAGCGCCTGTAGCTTCTTCAATCCAGGACTTACATCAATCCCTTGAAGTCCATCCTACGCGTTCCAGAGCACCAGAAGAGACGCAAACTCCACAAAAACAGACGAAGCGAGGCCTGGGCTTGAAGTGGAATTTCTTTCAGAGAAAGCAAGAACCCGAAAAGGCAGAAGGAAAGATCCAATCCCGTACTGCTCCTCATCTTCATGCGACAGTTGCTCCAGCGCCTGCACACCGACCAATTGCGCACTATGCTCTAATCGACATAGACTCTGACCCCTTGGAGGAAATCGTACACAACGTTGAGAACTCACCACCCACCGAAGATGACGAACTCAGCTCCCCAGTGGAAGTACCAGCTGCTCTGAACATCAAGAAAACACCAGAATCCATTCTTCTACCCTCGCCACCCAAATTGCATGATGCCATATTTCGAGATCAGCCTCAGTCGCCGAAAGTCTACTTCAACAAAAGCCTGATACCACAGAGCCCAGAGGAAAAGCCGGAGGGAGAGCGTCAAAGTCGCCTGACGTCCGTTGGGCGTATTCCGCGTGTAGTCTCAAGGCGCGAGAGGCCGCATAAGCCGGCTGTGCAGTCCTTCTCGAGGCCATTCAGTGTGGCTCAATCACCCCCGTCCTTGACTGCCCCGGTTGCTGAACACGCTGGTGGTATCTCGTTCTCACCGATTTTCACTCCGAGCCCTCTTTATCCTGCAATTTCTGGCAAATCCGACTACAAGTTTGACCTCACAAACCCTTTCAAGGATCCCATGAAGGGTAGTGTCTTAGACTTCATTGCAGGACCTTACTCCAAAGAAGAGTTCATGAGATTCTCACCCAGAAAAGATTCCACTTTGTCCACTTCTAGTGGCTCTGACAGCCTTGCTGCTGTCACAGCTGTCATTCCAGGCCCTAATACTGAGTTAACCGAGGATGAAATATGGGGTGAATATGATGACTTTATCGACCATGTGCTTTCTCCGCAAACGACAAGCACGCTCTTTGAATCCGAATCCGAGGTAGATCGCAAGCTTGAGCTAGCCACGATGGCGAGCAAGACACTTCAAGCAGAAATCAACGAGGCACCAGAGATGTCTACGTCATCTGAGAAACCTGCAGTCGAGCTTACGGCTTCGTCACCCAGATCTAGCACTGGCTCTGTCAGGCTTCGACGGTCCAGAATTATTGCAGAGCTACATTCGTCTTTGGTCCCGTCATCCCAGCCTTCGTACAGTGAAATTATCGCTAGTTACTGTGACGATCGAAGCGAGAGCAGCGTAGTGGAGAAGGAGGCAGAGGACAGGCTATTGGCACCAAATCCAATAGTCGAACAACAATCAGGCTTGCTAAGTTCTCCAGCCTTGGCTACATCACCGAGCTTCGAGATCTGCCGACAGCGCAACACCGTCCTCTTCGATATCGCAGAACGCGATCGTGAAGGGCCCACTGCTCACACCAATATCCGATCCGGATCTCTGATGACAAGCCGATGGTTATCCTTTGGGCGGGTGCTCTTCAGTCCCGCGCACAACCATGCCAAAGGGTCAGACAAAGAGCGTATCCTGGTGGTTGATGGACTTGGAAATGATGATTGGTCATTCTACTGTGCTTTGACATATCCGAACGCGGATGTATACAGTCTTACTGACGGAATAAAACCAATTGCATCCAAGCACCCACAAGCGTGGCAGCCTCCATCTAACCACCACACCATTCAACATGCGAGTCTCGATGATCAGCTGCCATTCCCAAGGGGCTTCTTCGCGGTGGCCGTTCTGCGATTCCCCGCTGCCTGTTCCGAAAAGGCGCAGGATAACATCATCTCTGAATGCAAGCGCGTCCTTCGCGCAGGCGGCTATCTGGAAATGAGTATCCTCGACCTGGACATGGTGAACATGGGAATCCGCACGCGAAAAGCCGTGAGGACCCTGAAAGAACGGACGTATATATCCGACCCAAACATCAGCCTCAAACCTACAAGCGACAGCATTCAACGGCTGCTAGGACGGCATAAGTTTGACAACCTCCGACGATGCATGGTACGGATCCCTGTCGCTGGAATGATCGTTCGATCATCAGCGTCCTCGACTTCCACCTCGTCATCGAATCCATCCACCATACTCGCAACGACCTCCCCAAACACCACTGTATCCCCCCTTACAGGCCTGTCAACAGCTGCCAAAGCGAAAGCAAGGGCGCATGGAAAGTCCTCCTCCAACGACACGGACCTATCTCTAGGCGATCTCCTCTCTGACCCTTCCCCCTCGCCTTCAAACGACGAATCCATTCGGAAGATCGTTGCTAAAGTCGGTCGATGGTGGTACACCAGATGCTATGAAATTCCTGTGCTCCCAAACGGCGACGTTGCCCTTAGCATCTGGTCTGACAGGAAGATCCTTCGCGAATGCCAACAGCGCGGCACCGGCTTCCGCCTGTGGATCGCATATGCACAGAAACCGAGCGAAAAGCGACGAACAGCAAGTGTGTAGCAGTGATGCTCATGACCTAATCTATGTGATGACCGATATGATATGACTTTATGATAATGCTGTCGCTATTGTTACACAAACATCCAACCAACCAACCAACAACCTATGTAATGATGTCTGTCACTCTTACGGTACAGGAGTCAAAGGGTCCAGGAAAGACAAAACCAGATTGATTGCCTGATTGATTATGAACATGATACCTTGTGCATGTACTGCTTCTTTTTTTAATTCACAACTGCTATTTTGGATCAACTTTCAGTCTTAAAGCTGGACTTGGGGCGGCTGTCTGAACATTACGCTATTAATTTAAATTTAGTTCATCAATCTGGCGTTGACTTCTTTTGACTTGAAATTTCCTATGGTACTTGTTTCGATTATTCCCCCTCCATAAAGCAGGCTTAATGGGTAAAATGGTACTTATTCATTTCTTTCAATCCAAATTCCAAATCTGACTACGACCCTGACTATATTCGTGACACCTGCCATCATATACATACAACACACATGAATCAGTAAACGTAACATATCTACCCACCTTCTCGTCCATGCAGTTGCCTATTCCAGGCATCTGTATTACCAATTACCCTAGTACTATCTGGCACTTCGCAAATTAGAACAAGATAACATAATCATCATAACTTATCCCAGTATCAAAAGATACCATGCATCAGATCAGGCAGTTATTTTCCGGTCCTGATAATATCTATCTGAGAGTACCTTCATCCCTTACTGAATCTTCAGGATCTTACTATTTTCTTCAGAAGGATGTGAATCGCTCAAAACAGAATATATTGATCCTGTCAGTCATTGCATAAGTACTATCCCCCCCATGCTGATATCACGATCGTAATGTCGCCCGTCCGATCGACCGACCGATATCAGCCTTTGAGTCAATATGAGATCAGTGGTTGAACGGATTCGGATTCGGATTAGTACTTAGTACTCCTGGCTGTTAATGTACCTACATACGAAACTGGTAATATGATGAATACTATTTGGTAGAGGTGAGGTGACATTGCCACTGTGGCAGACGGATATACTACATCACAGACTGACATACAGTAAGTAAGGGGGTATAGTTTTTGTGATGTTATTCAGGTAATCTACTAGTCTTAGTCTTAGTGGCGAGGTGGGAGAGCGAGCGACCGATCGGATTGCTCTTGCAGGAGGGTGAATCTACAAATGGAGACGAATAGAGACAGGGAGAGAGGTGTTGTCTGTGGCGATGGTAAAATGGCTATGTAAATCATGATAGAAGTGGTGGTGGCTAATGGTAGTAAGTCCTGAGTTAACTTTCTTGGACTACGTTGGGGTGCGTTTTGTGGCTTTGACGGACATTAACTATACCGTTAATGTGCTATTGAGCATGCACGAGTAGATATTTGCTTTCTGGTTTACGTCGATGTGCTTTTGTGGCTGTCGCAGAGATTACCTTGCGTGTTGATATGAGTTGTGAGAATAGTCAAATCCTTCTACAGGTTTCTGGACGATAGATAGGTAAGGAGGGCATTCGAACTTGCTTGGTGTAATGCTTGATCCATTGGATTTGTTGTATCAGGATTGTTGCTGGTTCGCTGGAACTTGTTGAAGAGGGTGTGTGTGCCATGGCTCGTGATCGGGGTGTGAGAGGGGGCAGAGTGAAATGGTGAAAATTATCTGAACATGTGTGGTCGCATGGGGACTGGGACGGCCGCGGAGAAGGTTCGATACCGCGATGGTCGCACATGGTTATGAGTTGGCGGACCAGGGTTGTCCGGTCTGTGTGCTTCGTACCCCGCAATGTCCATCAGATGGAGCTGAATTCGCGGCAAGGGTTGAGCGACGTGCTGTGTAGTCTCTGGTTGTGGTGGAAGAGGAAATGAGTTGAACTTACCATTGTGAATCGGGGCATGTTGGGATCTAGAACCAGATGCTCCTGTTACTTCACCGGTAACATTGTTTTCATCGGTATACTAGTCCACCCTGGGCCCCCAAAACAGATACCCAATAGCACTGCCTCTGGAAGAGGGGAACGTCGTGGGCTGTTGTCCACTGAGGGGTTGCGCGCTCGGACAGTGCCTAGGCCGAGTCAATGGCATGTTTGACATCCCCGTCGCTCGCTCCCACTGGCCAGGGTAGTGTCTGTGCTCGACGGACCCCGGCCCAGTGGCATTACTACTCGGCTTGTGCGGCGGAGGACCTACACCCGGGCTAATGGGGTGCCCCCGAAATTGGCATCGGACCATCCGATATCACTCGATGAAGGTAAATCTGAAGAGCGGGGAGGGACGTGGCTCTTAGCTTAGGTCGGTCATGGGTATGGCCGTCATGTGTACACAAGAAAGATACTGGTAGGGCGCAGTCGGGGTGATCGGAAACCGCCTGGTGGATCGTATGCTGTGCTATCACTCGCTCATGCTTGCGTGGAACGTTGCTAATGCGAGTGAGCTTGCCCTGGGTGGCATTGACACCTAACACCACGGCCAGATTTCCAACGCAGGTATAGTTCTCCGACCGATCCGTGTTTGACAGCTTTCATGTGCGCCATATAGATGCTGAAATGATGGTACTTGCCCACCTGTTCACGCTGCTTTGAACTGTGTTTGGCACCCCAACATGAATAGACAGCCGCGCGGGCCGATACGAATAGCGTAAACCTGTTGGATCCGTATGAGCCACGGGCTATACCCACTGGGGAGAACCCCACAAGTCCCTTAAGCCAAGGGCCTAGGAGCGATTAGAATCCACAGCAGAACTGCATCGACTCCTCTGCCGTACCCTGGCGATCAACAATCAGGTGGTCAGGAGCTGCATGGTGAAACGGAACGTGATCCCTCTGAGAAGCTTTGCTACTGTATGTTCAGTATCACGGCTACGGATGAAGTTGCGACCATCGGGTATTGACAAGGTGATGCCCGTGCCAAGCATGCTATTGTTCATCGGAAATGTCAGTGGGGAGATTATAGCAAGATACCGATGAATCAATAGCCGCAGCGGCCTATTTAATAGTATACAGGAGAGTTCCTGCATCGGGATGCACAGCATAGCCGTCACCATGCGAGTCCCTAGAGTAGTCGCGATGAATGATCGATAGAGGCAGCATTCTACTGATCACAAGACATCAACACAGATACGCAGCAAGCACGCAAGCACGCAAGCAGGCTCGCGCGGAGATCGGTTTCCCCGTGGGGTCTCCAGCTGAGGTTCTGCTGCAGCCAGCCATCGTGTGCGGCACCGCTTCCCCACTGCTCTTGGGATAGAGTGCGGAGTTGAGAAGCTTGCGACGCAGCCCATGGGTCGAGACCGTAGCGGTTATCGGACAGGAAGAGCAGCCCGTTTGCGTGCAGAGTGTCCGCGGTGGGCCGGTGCGATAAGAGTTTCTGAGCTGGCCCACGAGCCAATCTAACATCCGTTATGTTGCACCCTGCCGCTAGCAGCGAGCTTCCCCGCCCGTCTTTCAAGTAGATACGAGCAGTATAAACTTCCCTGACCGCCTTTAGCAATATGCACGTCCAATTTCATACAAAGTTTAATGTCCCCGGGAGCGTGTATCTTTGTTGAAGTAGCGAAAAGAGGAGAAGAACGAGGACCTCAAACGCTGGGGCTTGAAATCGGGGGGACGTGGGTTGTCGATCAAGGAGGACGGCTGTGCTAATCGGCGCCGATTACCCGCTCGGGCGCTCGACCGGCCGTTATAGCGTCAGTCGAAGACAGAAACTAGTCGCCTAGTCCTGTCAGTGCTCAAACTCAGCTAGTTTCAAGGGGCGTTGATGGCGTTTGGTCGGAGATGAGGAGCACGCACGTCAACTATCTCGAGAGGTTCTAGCGGGATTCGAATAAGAAAGGCATTGTTGCTCGCTTTCCTCTGCAGTGTGATCTGACCAGCCGTAAGACCAGCCTTCCCCTTGTTTATCTAGTGTTTTTTTTCCCTCGATTGCGCGGTAGGCTGTTTAAAAATAAGATAGACCATAAGATAAACTCCTATCAAGAAGCAAACAAGACCAGTAGTGATAGGCTTTGATGGACCAAGCTAAGATGGAGAGGGAGGGAGAAGGAGAAGGCGAAAGGCTGAGACGACGAGGGGAGGAGCCACACTAGCGCGGTTCTGCAGCTGCACGAGAGCTGCCGGCGGCGGTCGAATGAGAACAGCGCCATCCGGACCTCACGCGTTCGGAACAGCATTCGTACATGACTTCCCATCGAACGAGGCCCGATCATCGCTCCCGTCTAGCCAAGATCGGTGGCTTCAAGATATCTTTCTCTCTACCACTGTCAACCCCACCACCCGACTAATGTCCTCTCACCGAACGTCCAGATCCTGCCGATATGATTTCCATTATGGCACTCAGCATATGGGCCACCAATTCATGACTATCCGCTGTGGCTTGCATGCCGGTGGCGAATCAGACACACAGCCAATTGATACCATCACAGGAATTGAGTTGAGAACTACTAAGGTCGGCCAGGGGGGGCCGCCCCTGCCGTGCGGTGAGTCGAGCCATGATAAGACCGGATGGAAAAGTGAGACAAGCGCTCGCCCGATGCTGGTCGTGCGACGGGGAGGAGCCCATAGGCCCGTGGCATCGAAGCGTCGCGGATTCCTACTAGATGAGACCTAGCAGTATCTAGACCAGAGGCTACCGCAGGCATAAGTCTCCGCGATGGGGGCGAGAACAGCAGCTTCAGAGCCAGTCATCGTCCGAATAGCCCTCTGGCAACAAATGCACCCTGAAATTAGTCACTGAACTAGTCCCCTCGACGAAAGATGAAAGGGGGAGAGAGAAAGAGAGGGAAAAAGAGTCCAAGCATCGGACCGGGGTGGTTCTCTCCGACATAGGCCGTTACACAAGCGATGCAACACTCATCTGAAGATTCGATTAGAAACCGAAATTGCTCAATATCAAAGGGGCGTGCATTATCAACTCCCGATGTCTATGCAAGCCCGTTGCACCAGTTGCTTGGGATGATAAGGATACCTGCTGCTGTTTCTCCTCCCCTACATACACTCCATACAAAAATTTCCTTAAGTCAGTTGGGAAATGGGTGGTGGATAATAATGTTAAGCGTCCATGCGCAGCGGCAGCCAAGAAATGCGACGTCGACCAGGTCACTAAAACTCCCGATGCCAGAAGCCAAGAATTGTGCGCACAGCCAACTTCCTTTCATTTTACTTCTCTGGGGGGGTCCATCAATTCCGTCTGCAGAATAGCGCGGACACTCGGTTGGCCAGATCAAGGCAGTGCTGCAGCATAAGTCTTTTAAATTCTCCCATGGTCCGTGCAAACCTCCAGCATGACGACTGACCTGACAACGCGATTCGATGGGAATTGGGTAAGGAAGCGAAAGGAAGGGGAAGAGAGAAAAAGTATCAAGTTGAGGTTGGCCCTCAGGGAAAAGTATCTTTTCTGATGTCATACTGGCAAGGTGCCTTGGAAATGGGTCGTTGGAGCAGCGCTAAGCGACCGGGCAGCTATCCATTCATATCCACTCCCAACCCAGTCTCCGTATACTAGTCTAGTAAATCTGCCTCCGGTGTGGGTACCACAATTACTAGCCGCTTCGGCCCTAGCCCCCGCGTCCCTCCAGAAAAGTAACAAAGACGGCGCCAATCTTCCATCAGCATGTTATAAAAAATAAAAGAAAAACCACTTGTAGCAATTTTTAGCTTGAAAGTCGACCAATGTGGCTGAAAAATTAGATACTTTTCATCATGAAGCTGAGCCTTGCAATGCAGACTTCTTACAAAGATGCATTTGGGGAGGACCGGCCCCGGTGAAAGGAAGAAGAAAAAAGCAAAGAAAAAGGAGACAGTCTAGAATGTCTCGAATGTCTATCCTCAAAAGTTTGAAAGGCGGAGAAGTTGGTGATCGACCAACCCTCGTGCGAAGACCACAAGTGTGTCTCAAGAAAAGCAAGCAAAACATGGGATGTTGCAGGACAGACAAGACAAGAGAGAGATGTGTGTGAGAGTGTGTGTGAGAGGGAGAGTGTGTGTGAACGTGCGCGCACTGACAAAGCAAAGGGACAGGTCTGCATCCGCAATCCACTCTTTCTCCCCCCCCCCTGGCGTTACGCTCTACTAATGTGCGTCCTATGTAGGTTGCGCATCAGTCAATAAACCCACCGTATTCATCCCAGGAGAAGTTATAATTATAATCGTACTAACTAAACCCGCTAGTCAACCAACGTAGGTTAATATATCCTCGGATTACTTTATGTCAGACATTCAGTGGAGTTGGTGGTTAGTTAATGGACCGACCGATCGCTAGATACCACCCACAGACTGACTGACTTTTAGTACTAGCTTGATACTCACTAGCCTCCCCAACATTTCTGCCTCTAGACCGTCCAGGCCTCCTTAGTGAAAAACCACTTCCGGTCCCGTTGGTTGGGCGGTGGCGACTTTTTAGACTGGCGCTACGGGAGGGCCTGAAAGGCTGGAAACAACCCGTAAGGTAGAAGAAACAGAGAGGGATAAGAAACCATAGGAATTGGACGAGGAGAGAGAGAGGAAGAGAGTGGGTGTGAGAAGAGAGAAAGCTGGGGGTGGGGACCATGGTTACCCATACGTAAAACCGCACGGTCGGAGGTACCTAGACTCACTAATTAGTCCTACCTACTTTTCACTGCTGAACATGTTCGGCCGCGGACGGCTTCAGGACCAAACTTGGCTTATCGGTGAGATAAGTGCTTCCATGGAACAGATCAAGTCAACTAATCATCTCCTGATAAGAAAGAGATCCTCCGGAAAGGGATCACCAGAGGCTACTACGTAGGGGAACGGGTCTGTCTCATCAAGTTTGTAGATATGAGGGAATGGCGGAGTGGGCAAGAAAGTAATGAACCAAAATGAAAATTAAATTACTTAATGTATAATAAAGGAGGTCATGAATTTGTATGGCGACATCAAGGGAAAGACCGGAAGGATGCACGTATGCCTTGATCCTGGGCATTCCTAGTGAGCACGTACATCCTACTAAAGTAGCACATACATCGTTACACACATACCGACAGAGACAAAGTGGACTGGAATACTCCGGACATGCAGCCTTGAAGATCACCTGGCCTCCACCTTTAGCCACATGTACTGTGGACAGATTAGGTGCTTTTCCTTCAATTCTATAACATGGGTCCGTCTTATCTATGTGGAAACTACAAACAATCCATGGTTATTTTACTACGATGGTAGTATTCATTGATATTAATTGTCCTTTTCTTCCATCCATGAGGCCAAAGGAGAGAATATGATAGGGAGATAAGCAGCCAATGATGCCATCCGGGCCCAAGGTACCGGGCGGGCAAGAATGCGCGATCGGGGAGGCGAAAAAGCCGGGCAGGGTTTCATTTTTTTTTTTTTTTTTTCAATCAATCAATCAGACAATCACCACCCTCCATGATGGAACAATTTGCTACCGGACAGTTCGACATACGACACTTTCTACAGGCAGGACCGAGATATGGCTTTCCAAGGACCCACCGGGCCGGAACGCACTGACTGGCCGACGAGGGATCGTCTCCAGTCCCAGACCGTTCGATCGCCTATTTTAAGTTGGTTAGTAGCGTCCCAGCACCCGTATTTACCGCTAATACCACCTCCGCCCGCCGCCATCATCATCTTCTCACTGCCCTCCGTCCTGTTCCGGGTACGGCGGCAACGCGGCAGGGAATCTTCTCTGCTCGTCATTTTTCTTCTTTAGTGGGAAGCTCTTCCAACGGTCGTCATCACAAAACATTCCCCCCCTCCCTCCCTTCCTAGACATGAAAGAAGAGTAAGAGGAGAGGGGTGGCCATCCTGGACGACAAGCAAAACAATACATGCGAGTAAATACAATAAATAAATAAATACATAAATTAATGGATAGGAGAATAAAAAGAAGAAGAAATAAAAAATCAAGGTGAACAGACCTCCCTTTCAACTAACTTGGTATATTTCATTTCACCTTCAGGGGAAAAGCAAGACCCTCTTTTCCCCGAGTTGAACGGAGAGGGGAAATCCGAGCAGTGCATTTCCTTCAGTCTTTGCCCCTCCCTGGCTGAAGGTTACCAACTTTACCAGGACGTACCGAATTTTCCTTGCCTTCGATCCCTCTTGACGTCCGAGCTCCCTTATCAATATCATTCCTAAGAGGACCATCCTTTTTTTAATCTTTTTATTTTTCTTTTCCAACTTCCATGCTTATTTCTGTTTTTGATTTTTCTTTTTACCTTTTCTAAATTAATTTTCTTTCTTTCTTTCTTTTTTATTTTTTTTTACTTTCCCCGTCAAGTGCGGCTTACCCTAATATTTTCCTCATTCTCCACTCCGTCACCTTCTCATATACTCCATTACCCATCCTTCCATCACCCGTTTCTCTTTCGATTCACCACGAACTTCTTTGTATCTAATCCCTCTTCACTGTGCTTGAAACTACTCCTTGCTCGGCTGTTCGACACACTGCCAGCTTCGTATTTGTCTTCTCTGTTCCTCTTGTTCTTTTCTTCCATGTTTGTAGTTTCTTCCACGATCAGTCCATACTAGATGTCGAGTCCGCAAGGTGAGTGTGCCGTTGAATCGTCGTCCCTTTCTTTTGATTTTTGAATCCATCCTTCTTATCGCATGCCTATTCTTCCCCCGACTGCCCCCAATTCAATCCAAGCGATGATTTGTGTGTCTGGGATCTTGATCGTTGCTGCCATCTGTGCCACTGCCCGGGATCTTTTTGTCTCGTAACACCCTGTTGGCTGTATCCGCCCTCCGCCGCGCGCCCCCCCCCCCCCCCCGGCTTTGCCTCCAACGCTCCTTCTGATACCTTGGAACACCCTGACCTACCAGTCACACCACTTTCTTGTCTTCTTTTACCGACCGTCTGGCATGATTTGTAACACCAGCCCTCCATCTTCCCTTTCCTTGATATGATCGCCCATGTGGAGGCAATGCTGCTGCTCATCATCCTCGCCACTGTTTGATATCGCTTCCAGGCGCCGCCTCCACACTTTGGCTAACGTGGGGAATCAGAATATAACAACAGACGCCGTTTCTCAGGACTAGAAGCCTTCTGTTCATAAAGACCTTTCCTGAAACGAGCTTCACCATCCTGTCGACCTTATTTTCCACCTCGTTGCCCGCTGTTGTGTCTGCTTATACAAGCAATCCCGGCCGGATGCCATACACTGCGCCGTTGAAGACGTCGCCTTCTGCGCAGCACATTGAACACTCTGAACTCACTCCACAATCCTGTCCTAGCTCCCCCACCGCTGTCGTCTCTCATCCTCAACGCCAGCATTTGCCTCGTTCGTATTCTTCCACCTCTTATGTGCGAAGGCACCGACGAAGCCCTTCGAGTAGCAAGGTGTTTGTCTTTCCAGAGCCCGAAGGTCGTTTCAAAGTGGATCATGTCAGCGACCCGCATGCCAGTATTCGAACGTCGCCACCTCCCATAAGTGATGCTGTCATCCCTCCTGGGGCTTTGATCTCACCACCTGAATCTGCCAACAATTCAAGTGATGAAGAGGCGGCGTACCCATCCCAGGACGGGCTCCAGCTGAAGAGATTGGAGGCTGCAGTGAGGTCCATTGAACAGAGACGAGTATCGTCACCGGAGAGGCAGTCGTCGGAGGTTCAGCCCTCATCGAGCATGGCAGCCATTGCTGGTGGCCCAGTCCAACCTCCACGACCCCCCCTCTCCAGAGAGGCTCGCAAAATATCCCACTCTCGATCGGTTACAGAAACCTCAATTGACCGTAGGCAGGAGGAGGCTTTGACTAGCTCTCCAGAAGAAAGTGACAGAGATGATGAGCCCCCGGTCAGGCATCCCATGGTCCGCAAGAAGTCTGGGGAACTGGTGAGGCCAGCCCTTCGCCCACCTTCGGCTCGGCGGCGCCCATCTAGCATGCCGGGGACTCCAACTTACGCAAAGGCTGTTCACTTCGACGCTCAGCTGGAACATATTCGTCATTTTCTACAATTGGATAAGCCTCAAGCCGTGAGTGCCGACACATCACCAGTGGAGGACTTTGACACAGCAGAGGAATTTCCGTTCAAGAAGGGTCATCGGGACATGCCCGCTTTTGAGTGGGAGCTGGGTCTGTCGAACTTCCCCAAAGACAGCTCCTCTCGGGCTAAGCAACGCGTTCGATTGGAACGCCTGCACTTGTCTTCAGATAAAAACACCATGATCGGAGTCGTTGGGGTCGCCAACCTGGCTTTCCACAAGCACGTTGCCGCTCGGTTCACTCTTGATAATTGGAAGACTGTTTCTGAAGTCTCCGCTGAGTACAATGACGACCCTCGACGAAAGCCTATTCTGGATGGCTATGATAGGTTTGCTTTTAGTATCCGGCTGGATGATCAGGCAAATTTGGAGAGGAAAACCATGTTTATCTGCATTCGCTACAATGTTGCTGGAGAGGAGTATTGGGACAACAACAACTCAGAAAACTACCAAGTCAATTTTCGCAGAGTACCAAAAGAAATGCCCCAGGCCCAGGCTCCACCCACGCGTCCTCGTACAAATTTGCCGAGGAGCAGGAGCTTTGCTGGATCTATCAGCCGCCCACACTCAATGCCGCCTTCATTTGATGCGTTGTCTGAGATGGACAAGTACATTTCGTTTGGCAACCCACCAACAAATGGCAAGAAGGAGCATTTGGCTGATGATGATCCGCATGACGTTGAATTGGTTGCTCCGATCCGTCGCGATAAGCAAAACCACCAGGTGTTTGGGAATCGCTACGATTTCGAAGCCTCATTGACGGCAGCTATGCGGACCAAGCCTACTCACGATCGCACGACATTGACAGCTCGAGCAAAGTCGAAACTTCCGTCGCATGGTAGTCATAGCCATTCGTCGGAACGGAGAACAAGCCAGAGGGAGGAGAACGCGCCTTTGCCTAGCAGAGGTAGCCAGCAGCCGGGGTCCCCAGACCACCATAAACCCTCTACCATCGTTTCTGGCAAGCCGCATCGCGAGTCGTCGGTGTACAAAGAGTTGGTTGATAAATACTGCTTCTTCGGATCCGGATCGATGAATTACCCAAATGGTGCAGTTGGTCCTGTCACGGCAAGTCCGGACTATGAGACCCGGTCGGGCTCTAGTAGCAGTTCCAGCTCGGTGTCTCCATGCTCATCTCCTCGGATGGATGCGGTTTATGGTGGCGATTCTCGACACTCTCCTGCCGCCCCATCGTCACCGAACCATATCGGATATGGATACCTTCAGCCTATGCAGAACAGTTTTATGAAGGATACGCAGACACCTGCTATCATCCAAGGATGAAGGAATATGCATAATCGCTTTAGACCCCGCAGCATACGGTATCACACGCGAACGTCATTTGCTTTTAACGTGTCTCTTGTGTCCCTCCATTGATGGACGCCACGGCAACTTTTTTATTTTTCCTCTTTCTCTTTTTCCCCACGCGGGATAAGCATTCTGAAGTCTGTCAAGCATGACTTGAAACTTCGAAACCCCAGTGCAGTTGTCAATTTGACCTGCTTACCTGGTGTCGCCATGAAGCCGCCTCGTTCCAATATTCGACTCAACTTTCATTGACGCGCTTGCCTGGATATTAACGAGGATCCTTTGCGATGTATTATAAACCGCGGGATCTTACGTTATGCTGGGATGCGCATCGTTTTCTACCTATACAACACAGGGGGGGCTTTCTTCAATACATTGGGGGGGGGGGGGGGGGGGGGGCGGCTACGATTCTGCTACAGTAACGATTACGATTTGATGTCTTGTATCTTTCCTTTCCAGTTATTCTTGTCAGTTATTTACCGGAGCTACCTGTGCTGAGTGGATGGAATGCATGGTAGGTTCATGCGCAGCATTTCCAAGGGAAGCGAGGGGGCGAAGCAAGGAAAAGTGTTCGCATTGAAGTGGTCTAACGCATTTGCATCATTGTTTTTCGTCATCTACTTCCGTCAATGATGAGTTTCTGTATGGTGTTTGGAGCCTGAATTATTTGTTTCCTGTACCTTATGTCTTAATTCTTTCTCTACGCTCATGATTCTGCGAGTTTGCTTAGGGTGGGTGGTGCATGGGTTCCCATTTTTATTCGAATTGCTGTGCTCCAGGGAGGGTCCGTGAAGCGCGTGTAGCTGCTATCCAGATTATGCAATGGTACACAATACAATTGATTAGATTGCGAGAGACGAAAGCTGCCACCGATGTAGAGAGTAGAGAGTAGAGTTGTTTCGAATATTGAAAATTGTATACTGGCGAGGGAGCGACATCCGGCCGCCAAGTCTCACGTGATGGACCCGCAGCCTTACGGCCTGAGCCGCGCGGGCAGCAGCAGAAGTCGGTCCCCAGCGGGAACAGCACCAACCCGCAACCCGCAAAATCACCACCTCGAAAGCGGTCGTTCATAACGCCCTTTTTCACCCCCGCGGCCCGCCAATCAGGGTTCTCCATTGCTTTTGACCCTTCCAGATCACCCTCTGGGGCTTAGTCATTCACTCCAAGGGGCAAAGCAGCGAAATCACGCTCTCGCTTGCCGCCCGCGCCGCGAAACCTATATAAACCGGTGGCTCCTCCTTCTCCGCCACCTTCTTTCGCTCTCTCTCGACTCTTTTCTTCCTCTCAGCGACCGGCCCGCAACGCGTCACGCCAAACCACCCACCACTTCCATCAATCTTCCATCTCTTTCATCCTTCCATCAATTAATCTCATCTCAGCAATATGACTGGACGTAAGTATTTTATCCTCTTTACTTGCTTCGACTACTAGTTCCTCGTCGTTACCCTACTCTCGGGTCGAATGGTGGTGATGATCTTGGATGATCTTGATGATGCACCCCTGGCGACACGTGACCGCGTACCTGTCACGCCCACGCGTCGTGTCCAAGATTTCATCTGATCTTCACCCCACCCTCACATACTCTCATTGCTTGATGAAACAAAATATCACTCAACATATACTAACATTCTTCTACAGGCGGAAAAGGAGGCAAGGGTCTCGGCAAGGGTGGCGCCAAGCGTCACCGTAAGATCTTGCGTGACAACATCCAGGGTATCACCAAGCCCGCTATCCGCCGTCTCGCTCGCCGTGGTGGTGTCAAGCGTATCTCCGCCATGATCTACGAAGAGACTCGTGGTGTTCTCAAGTCCTTCCTCGAGTCCGTCATCCGTGATGCCGTCACCTACACTGAGCACGCCAAGCGCAAGACCGTCACCTCCCTCGACGTTGTCTACGCCCTCAAGCGCCAGGGCCGTACCCTGTACGGTTTCGGTGGTTAAATTGCTTTCAACCATTCGAAAGGATTACTGTTTTGGTGTTTGCCGTCTCTGGTATTGAATCTTCTACTGGCGGTGGAACTAGACCGACAGGATCCGCCGTGCATTTCGTTTCTGGTTTTTGGGGGTTATTTCTTTTCTTGACTCGTTACGGTATTGGGGTTTGGGATGACTGGGATTTTCTTTAATTGGAATGGATTATGTCCACGGGTTTGATACTCTACAATTTCTTTTATTTCTTGTTAATGGGGTCTGGATGGATGGATCGGAAACTACTGTATTAGACGGCCTTCTCAGGCTTGATGGACGAAATATCACGTGAATGATCGCTGATACTTATTCTTTGCTATCTGCTTTTCTAGTCGTAATATGATTATAGCACAAGCATATAATTAGGATTCTTGTGGTTTGTACAAAGCAGAGAATCACCCGATCACATGTCACCCCGCACAGGCCACCTCCCACATGACGTAAGGGTCTGGAAGCATGCGGTAGCACAGAGAGAAGAACTTACCTCGGTCGGCACAAGCACCCATCACATCATATCATATATCACTGTATCTTACCTGCCTACTACCTGCTAGAACTCAGGAGCTGTGCAAGACTGGGTGGTCTGATGCACACCCGACATGCATCTTCTAGCTAGCCATCCAGCGTTGATTGTCCTATCGGGTCAGTCACTTGACTAGATAATAGTCAATTTGCACACTACTAGTAGAAGATTATCTTCTCTCTCTCCCCCTTACTACTCATCATCTTCGCAGTCAAATTACCTTTTACTTGAATATCCCATAAGACGCGTTGAATCACTATGTCGGAATACAAGGTGGAGTATGATTCTGAGCTGGTAAGTTCCCATCAATGATGTCATTAATGCTCCTTTTATTCTTATGGGATGGGATAGAAAGAATGCTAATGAGAATCTTGCTATGAAAAGGATTCCTTCCAGCTCTACCACCGATACGAAGAACCCCAACCGAACCTAGACTGGAAGCGCGCCGCTCTCAGCGGGCCTGCGCTTCCGGCGCTGGGTAATGCCGTCGCGGGTGCAGTCGGCTCCGCACTCTCGAACGTCGCTACGTATCCGTTGAGTTTGATCGTTACGCGATTGCAGACGCAGAAGGTCAGAAAGGGTACAGAGTCGGAGTCGGGGTCGGACGCCGAATATACCAGCGTCATTGACGCAGCTCGCAAGATCTACGCCGAGGAAGGCATCGCCAGTTTTTACACCGGTCTAGCGCAAGATACGATAAAATCCGTTGCGGATTCGTTTCTCTTCTTCCTTGCGTACGAGTTCTTTCGCCAGCGGAGGATACGTGCTCGGTTTGGGAATACGCGCCGGAGCAAACATACGGTTTTACCGGTGCTGGATGAGTTAGCGGTGGGGGTCCTGGCAGGGGCGTTTGCGAAGTTGTTTACGACGCCGTTGGCGAATATTGTGGCAAGGAAGCAGGCGGCGAAGGCTTCTGTTGATGGCGGTACCAGGGAGATTGCTGCGCGGATTAGGGCTGAGAAGGGACTACGGGGGTTTTGGTCTGGATATTCGGCGTCGTTGATACTGACGCTTAATCCGTCGATTACGTTTTTCTTGAACGCTGTGTTGAAGTATGCCTTGTTGCCGAGGAATCAGCGGCAGAAGAGACCGTCTGCTGTGGCGACGTTCTTCTTGGCGGCGGTCAGCAAGTCGATTGCCTCGTCGGTGACTTATCCGTTTTCGATGGCGAAGACGCGGGCGCAAGTTGCGGGGAGTCAGACTACGGTGACTGCTGATGGGGAGAAGAAGAAGGAGGATGAAGGGGTGTCGTTGATGCCGGCGATTGTCAGTAATGTGGTTGCGATTGCGCGCACTGAAGGTGTTGCTGCGCTTTATGCCGGGCTACCCGGGGAGGTGCTCAAGGGCTTCTTCTCGCATGGGTTTACGATGCTCGCGAAGGATGCGGTGTATTCGGCTATTGTGAAGAGTTATTATCTTTTGTTGATTGCGCTTCGGAGGTATCCTACGCCGGAGGAGCTGCTTCAGCGGGCTCGCGAACAGGCGGAGGAGTTTGCTGATGCTGCCCGTGAGGGTGCTCGTGATTTGGCAGAGCGAACGCGGAGTGGCACGGAGGAAGTCCTGAGTCACCAGGCTGGGGGTGTGACGGTCGATATGACTTCGAGTGATTTGGCAGATTCGAATGAGACGGCGGAGATGGTGGGGGATTATGTCGAGGATGATGGTAGTGCGAAGAGTTTGTATCATTGGTTTTGGGAGAAGGAGGGATATGGCAAGGACTGAGTGTATTAGCAGAATAGTCGTGTACTTTGTTCCATTTTAGCGATTATAGTGATTGTGTAGCATGATGAAATGATATGGTTAATGAACTTGGTTCTTCAGTGGATCCGAGCCGCGATCGACCCGCGGGACGCCCGATCGATTGATTCGCTCTCAAACCACCGCCTGTTTACTCGCCCTGTCAATTACCTTTTACTTCTTCTTCTCTTCTCTTCATCCTTCGCTTCTTCTCTCCCTCTTCAATATTTCCAACACATCTATCTAGCTTCTCTTCTTCAACCAGCATCCCCATGTCGACCGACCCCCACCCCGGTCCCGGTCTAGGGGACCTGGAGAAAGAACTCATCTGCTCGGTAAGTTTAATCCATTCCATCCCTCCATCATGTGGGGAGATTTACGGAATGCGGTCTGCGACTCCCCGCCCACGAATATCTCACCGTCCCCTTGCTTTGATCGACTAGCCAAAACTGGCCGGAAATTATTCCCAGTAGATGCTAGACAGGCCAGAAGCAAAAAGAGGAATACTCGGATTGTTTCTCTGCAGTTTAATAAAGTTTAACGGCTAACTCATCCCTCTCCCCAGATCTGCACGGATCTGCTCTACCAGCCTCTCACCCTCCTGGACTGCTTGCACACCTTCTGCGGCTCCTGTCTCAAAGAATGGTTCTCTGCACAAGCCTCCCGCGCCCGGTCATCATCATCCGTCCGGTTCACATGTCCGTCCTGTCGCGCGGTTGTCCGCGAAACCCGCCCTAATGCTACCGTCACCACATTACTGGATATGGTTCTGGCGGCGAGTCCCGACCGGGATAAGTCGGCGGAGGAGAAGGAGGAAATTGCGCGGAGATATAAACATGGTGATTCGGTGTTTCCTACTTTGCCTTCGGCTGAACGGGGGAGCGATGCGTCGGATGATGAGGATCGGCGGTTGCTGGAGGAGGTAAGGGAATTGAGTCTGCAGGAGAGTCGGGTTCGGACGAGAGATACTACGGCTTCTACTGGTCATCGGTCGAGGCAGTCGTCGCGGACTCGTCGCACGGATTCAAGTGCTGATGTGGATGGGGCGCGACAACGACGGCGTGAGGAGGAGCGTGCTGCGCGGCGACGGCAGGGGGAGACTGTTTCGGAACGCAATAGACACATCGAGCATCAGTCTAGTTTGCGGTCGTTGTTGAGTCTGTCGGATACGGAAACGATACAGGACCAGATTCTACGGCAGATTCTGGAGGAGGGGCTGCTGGATGATATCGACTTGGATAATCTGGCTCCCGCGCAGGAAGAGGAGCTTAGTGAGCGCATCGCTGATGCTTATCGTCGGAGGCACAGATTGCGGTCTCGCTCGCAGCAACGGTTGGAGGCTCGGGAGACACATCAACCGTCGTCACGGGCTCGGGCTCGCTCGCAGTCTACGCAGAGACCACAGGAAAGTTCTACGCCGACCGAGTCTGCTCGGAGTCCTCCTGTGTCGAGACCGTATCTGCTAGATCCGCTTGTGGCACGCAATGGAGCTTCGGGTCATCAGAGACGATTGTCGGATCAGGGCAGCAGTCGCCGGCGAACGTCTCCTGTGCCTGCGAATCCTGCGTCTTCATCGGAGGTCACGCTGAGGCCTGCAGCGCGGTCGTCTAGTGATGTGGTTACTGATCGACCCCGAAATTCGCAGGCTGCCCGAGTGCGAACGGATTCGTCCGTGCCACGGTCTCGGCGTGCTACGGCGTCTGAGCAGAACACTCCGAACATCTGGGTGGAAGGCACCAGGGAACGTGCCATCCGACGAGCCCCGGGTAGGTTATCCATCGATTCACCACGAGTGGTTGCAGCTCTTGAGCAGAACACACACACTGGTTCCTCGCCAGCGAGCCCTGGGATGGTCGTCCCTGTGACTAGTTCCTTAGTGGCAGAAGTTGGAGGAACAGGTAGATCAGAGGCGCGATCTCGACCATCTTCATCTCGGTCCAATGCGCCTCGCTCTGCTATCACGTTCAGTGAACCATCTATCTCATGCGACCGATGTGGCAAGGAGAAGATACAATACGATCTACACAAGAAGTGCCCCAAATGCAATGATGGCAAATACAACCTGTGTTTGAGGTGCTATCGCACCGGCGAAGGGTGTCTCGAATGGGCAGGCTTCGCAAGATCGGCAGAAGCGGGCTTTGAACGCATTATCGCTTCTTCAAGCGGCCATCCCCCACCACTACGCAGCTCCCAGCAGCACATCCTACTGTCGTGCAAGTACCGTCGAGCACCAGACACAGCCTACCGTTCCGACCGAGACGGACGAGTCCTGACCACCGACGACCCAGTGAACAGACTAACCACCGGCTTCTTCTGCGATAGCTGCCAATCTCCAGCCAACGACTGTTACTGGAAGTGTGACCAGTGCAACGAAGGTGACTGGGGTTTTTGCAACCGCTGCGTGAACCAAGGACGATGCTGCACCCATGCCCTTCTCCCAATCTGCCGCATCCCACCCAACAGCAACTCATCCCCAACCGCAACCGACAGCACACCCTCCCCATCTCTCGAAACCTACAAGATCCTCTCCATCGCAACAAACTGCGACATCTGCACACACCCAATCCCAGACTCCACTCCCCGCTTCCACTGCCTCCAATGCAACAACGGCGACTACGACATCTGCACCAACTGCTACCTCCGCCTCGTGGCCATCGGCAAGATCCGTAAAGAGAACGGCCACAACGGCTGGCGCCGCTGCCTAAAAGGCCATCGCATGGCGGTAATCGGCTTCGAAGACCACGAAGAAGGCCAACGCCGCGTCATCCTCCGCGACCTCGTCGGCGGCCGTGCCCTGAACGACGACCACCTCATCCAACCCTCCTCTCCAGCAGCCTCCCCAATCACCGCTATTTCTTCTTCCAACTCCACCATCGCCTCCCCCGAAATCGGCTCCGGTGACTGGAGCTGGAAAGAGGGCTCCGAGCGACGCAAAAAGGCCTCGCGCATTAGACCCTGGACTATCGGTGTCCGTGATCGTGATCGTGACCGGTCCTCCGAACCAAGTACACCCACCATCACCACATCTTCCCCCTTCACCACATCCAACCCAGCTATATCCTCTCAGATATCATCTCCCCCCACCACTCCTAATACTACGATGATGACTCCGACCAACACCCGCCGCTACCCACCCGACGGCGGCGTCGGATTAGTCGTCCATGCCCTGTGGTCATGGTACCCCGAAGACGGAGTCAAAGATGAATTGATGTTTCCGCGCGGCGCGGAAATTACTGAGGCAGAGAATATCAATGATGATTGGTACTGGGGGTGTTATGCTGGGTTGACGGGGTTGTTTCCGGGGGCGCATGTGTTTGTTGCGGGGGAGGTGGTCTAAAACGATGATGATGGTGGTGGTGGTGGTGACAGTTCGGGTTCATTGCATAATGTTGCTGTTTCTGTGTTTTTCTTTGCTCGATTCGTTCTACGGTTCATTGACTGATGATGGGATGTTTCATGACTTATCTTTGTATGTAGTATATGTTGTTACTTATGATGAATGAATGAATGACTGAATGAGTTGATGATCGAGGAAGGAGTTATGAGCTTAGTAGTTTGGTTATAGGCTCTGAGTAGATGTCTTAGCTTAGATGCATGTATCTGTACATCTGTCTATCTATTAATGAGAGTCTGTTTTCTGTGTGGGGCCTTAAGGTGCTAATGGAGGGGCGATCCAGATCGAAAATAAAAGTTTATGATAGGTTAGATTCACAGTAGAGAATCAATCTTGATGGTCTCATTATTGAAGGGAACTAGCTGAGTAGAATTAACTCGCGTTGATGATAATCACCGCCATTCAGTATACTAAGTAAGAACCGAGAGGTAGCCACCCAGCCCAGTCTATCATCGCCCATGAAAACTACAAATACAAACCCAGCCGCACCATACCATAGCCGTACCCAGTCGTAAGTCATGGCTGTTTCGTCGAGTAAACATTAAGAAGAGCGATAGCAAAGGAAGTACTGCTACTGCAATAACGCCACCATCAATCGCTGGTAATCACCACTCGTCTCCCCCCTGACCCGCTCGATAAGATCTTTCTGGAACCGATGGCGATATGCCCGTTTCACCTGATCCAAGTGCCCAGGCGCCCAGTGTATGCGGACCACTCTGGTTACCAGTTTCTCGTCCTTGGTTCCCATTCCCTTCATGCAGTCTTCGAGCTGCTCCGCGTCGTGCATGGCCGGATCCAACGCAGCACCGAGCATATGCAACAGTGCATCCTTCATGTGTCCAGAAAACTCTTTCTCGATATGCTTGGTCAAGTGGATATTGTACCGGGTATAGAACGCATGATTGATAGCACGAAGCTCGTTATCCGAGGCCCTGGCTATGATACCGCATACTTCATCAACATTGTTGACCATTCGCGCAGCCGTTGCTTGATGGAGAGACTTGGCTTCTGCTTCGATAAGTTGCGGGTCTAATGGGGCTGATTCCTCGTGTCGAGTGGCGCGAAGCACCAGGGAGAACAAATTCCGGGTTTTGAATGACAAGTCACCTTCAACGTCCTTTTCGAGAGCGCGGTGGTATGTTTGCTGATAAGCGGCCTTTATGGCGTTCATATCAGCATTGGACCGGGATAGAAGGATGTCGTTGAGAAGCCATTCCTTCGTGCCAATGCCTTCGACAGCTTCTCTGGCGCAGGCTACATCGTACTGCAACGGGCCATCAATGATGGCTAGGAGACCCCGACGAAAGTAGCCGCTTGTCTCGCCTTTAACGTCCTTGTAGAGATCTCGTCGGATGTGCTGTGTGTAAGTGGATCGTACGGCGGCCATTTGGAGAGGGTCTAGCTTGGCGAGAACCTGAATCAGGGTCTTCTCGTCTGTCCCGAAGCCTTTCATTGCGCGACGGAGCTGATCGGCTTGGGGTCGGAAGTCTCCATTTGCTTGTTGACCTCGAACGTAGCCCAACGATGGCACGGATGCAAGCGGGGCATAAAGTTGAGGGTGTGGTGGAGCGGCGGGGTGAGGTGGAAAGGGAGGTGCTGCACCGAATGATCCTTGAGGCATGCCTTGTGGAGGTCCATGAGGAGCGCCTTGGGGAGGAGGCAAGCCTTGCGAATACCCTTGTGGACCCCCGTGGTACATATCTTGTCGACCTGGAGGAGCACCTGGTGGGGTATTAGGATATGGAGGCTGATTGGGATGTGGAGCGCCGTAGGGAGGGTAGCCAGGCTGGTTCGGGTAAGGCGGCGCGGCCATGTGTTGCTGGTTCTGAGGAGGAAATGGTGATGGGTTCGGTTGTTGATTGTAGCCCTGCGGCGGGCCTGTGTAGGGAGGATATGGAGGGCCTGTGATGAAGCGATCAGCATGATGCAGGAACGCGGGGACACTGTGGGGCATCACGTACGGTTATGATGGGGATACATGATGCTTTTGAAGAAGGAGAGGAGAATCTATCTGTTATAAAGAAGGGAAAGCTCCAAGGGGAGGAGAAGGTCGAGGGTATTTATTCCGCGAAGAGAGGCGGAGCGAAGTCATGATGAGCAGCAGAGCACCGCCTCTGAAGATCCCCAGTTTGGGTGCCGTGGGATCGGAAGAGTTTAGCAGGATCCACAAAGTATGTCAAGCAGGCAGGGACCACCCCGGTTCAGGGTTCGACTCTCTTCCCCCATATAAGTGCTCGAGGAGAAGATCTGATTTTTAACCATGGTTGTGCCCGACTGGCCCAGTGGTTAAGGTGTGCTTTGCATGCACAAGGTCCGGGGTTCGATTCCCAGGTTGAGCAAACTTTCTGGGTCTTATCACTTTTTGTCACACTGATTAACCATCGTTGAGAGAGCATAAGATCATAATGATCGCAATCAATTAGGCAACTGTCATCAGCAATTCTATTTACAGTTTTAACCACCCGGCAATCGTCAAGTTTATGCTGGGAACACATGATCCGCGCTTCACCACCAGTTCGGTGGCACCTGCCGTGGCGCAGCACAAGGCTGACGCACCTGCGCCATGACGCCGCGCATATGCTCTGCTGAATGCGTCGATCGGGCAAACATGGTTACAGCGGATCTGGTCCTCGGTGAACAAATTCTCTTTCACCAATTGATGATGAGAAAGAAGTTGCTCAGGAAGTTTCGCGCGTCTTCGATGATGACATCAGCAGATACACAATCGCGTATCACGTGAGGAGCAACTTTATCTTATCATCACATGATCCGAGCGCATCAACGTTTATCGCGTCCTGATGTGCTCGGTCATTTCTCATCTCGCATCAACTCCATAGACTTCCGTCGCAGACCCGTCGCTCATATCACAATGGCTGAGACGACAAATGATACAGCTGCAACTGCAGCTGCAGCTGCGGACCCCCAACCGCCGGTTGTCACATTCAAAAAGCGCGGCGCAAAGGCGAGTCAGAACATCCGCAAAAGACCAGCACCGCCTCCCGTATCGCAAGACGACGATTCTTCCGACTTTTCCTCCTCTGAAGACGAATCGGGTCACAGAATAAAGCGCAGAAAGAACAAGGGTGCTGGGGTTGTCTCTGCTTCATCTGCGACTACCAAGCCTGTCGATCGGGAACCTGCGGCCACCGCCACCGGGGATGGCAAAGTCCAGCTTGCGGATACGAACGACGCCACAAAACACGTCGACTGGTTTGACGAGGATTCTAAGGATGCGCGCTCATCGAAACCGCAATCTGCCTCGAATGAGCCGCAGATGCCGGATGGCACATATAGGGGACTGGCGAACCAGACGTCATTCATCAAGAAGAATCCGAATGCGCCGAACAGGTCATTCGGACCGATCAAGGCAGCGACCAATATCCGTACTATAACAGTGACGGACTACTCTCCAGATGTGTGCAAGGACTACAAGCAGACTGGATTCTGTGGTTTCGGTGATAATTGGTGAGTGCCGTCGCCCCTTTCACCCGACATACACATTTGCCACTCAATAGGGAGCAGCTTATCTAATTGAAGCATACGCTAACTATTATTGTACAGTAAATTCCTTCACGATCGAAGCGACTACAAACAAGGATGGGAACTGGATCGAGAGTGGGAGACCGTCACCAAGGGCAAACAATTGAAGGGAACAGTGGTTGCGAGTGCCGATCGGACAACGACGGAGAATAAAGACGACGATGAAGAGGCCATGCTGGAAGACATCCCGTTTGCCTGTTTTATCTGCAAGGGGCCATACAGGGAGCCGATCGTCACGAAATGCGGTCACTACTTCTGCGAGCAGTGTGCTCTGCAAAGATACAGGAAGGACCCAAGCTGCGCAGCCTGTGGATCCGCCACGAATGGATTATTCAGTTCGGCCAAGAGATTGAAAAAGCTGCTAGAGCGCAAGAGGGAACTTGCGGCGAAGAGGAGACAAGAGGCTATCGAAGCTGGTGAGGAAGTGAGTGACGAGGAAGACGAAGAATGAGATGCATGTACATAATCATCATTTGTTCCGGATCTAGGGATTTTCAGTAGGACGCTCTGAGAGCGCCTTCTCTTCATTGACAACCATTATCTTACATATTTTCATATTAGTGCTCTTATAGACATTATGCTTCGTGTAGACACTCGTTAGATTGTAGGCTTGACACTCGGAGTTTAATGCACGGGTGATCCTGGTGGACCGGTTTACAAGGGTTGCTCCCCCTTTACGGATACTGTGAACACTTAACCAACTTCACTAAAATAATCGACGGACACCATACCTCGTGTTTGAGGCGATAAGCCAAACGGATAAAACTATACCCGGAGGCTTTCAACTTGCTGCGACTTGATATCATTGATGCTCTCAACTTAGCGATGTGACTGTCATGGTGGATTGACACCTGCATGGATGCGGACCAGATAAGCAACACGTCAGCGTGCTGTCTTCGAAACGATGATGTGGCTTAGCCTCTGGAAGTCTTCTCGAACAACAGCCGAATGAATTGATCATGCACATCAACCTTCCCAAGGCTGAGGCGAGAGTGGGGGGCCATACGTATGCTTCGATCCACTCGGAGGCGCTAACTGTGCCCTAAAAGCTCTCAAGGGCATGTCGACCGAACCCGACGTGTGGCCACTTTCTGCTTCGGAAATCGGAATGATATCAGGCACGAGTAATTGCGAGTAATTCTGGACACGATGGGATATAATAGTTCATGACATCTTTCTCATCTTAGTGATCAATATCCACAGTTAAAGAGGAGGTTCCCACCAGCACAATATGCCACAGCGGGCTTGTCAGGAACCACTTACCAAAACTATGGAGACTAGGAACCCTAAACTTGGTATTAGAGGGGCCCCGTCTCAATAATATTCCCAGTCCAACCATGGATTAGACTCGCATCCGATGCACGTTGACAGCCCCTGATAGGCAACATTTTTTACATTTCCCCTCCCCCCTGATACTTTGAATGATGGGGACACAATGTCAAACGCGGAGGAGATCGGAGGGGTTGAACATAGAACCGCCGTCTCATACCCATAGTACTTAGTAGCAACCCAGCCACAAAAGAGCCCCATACCGACCAATGTCATCTATGCTATAATTACGAAGTACTACGGAGAATTCAGTGTCCCACTTCTGCTTGAAGAAAGGCGTTGCCTACTGTGGCCCGGTCCCCACCCCGCCGCCCAAATCTAAAGCAACGTGGAAGTTATTTAAGACCTTAACCTTCTCCATCCTTAGACAACAACAATAACCATCCTCTCAACCTATCCAAAATGGGTCTCTTCTCACATCACCACCATCACAACAATCCCCCTCCTCCCGGGCCTCAAGGCCCTCCTCCTCCAGGCCCTGGGCCCTGGGACCGTCCTGGTGGCCCGCCACCTGGCCCTCCCGGTCCTCCCCCTCATGATCCCAGAGATCCCTGGGCTCGTCCTCCGCCTCCTGGACCTCCTGGCCCTCATGGTCCTCCTCCCGATCAGAGAGACCCCTGGGGTCGCCCCGGTGGTCCTCCCGGTGGTCCTCCCGGACCTCCTCCTCCGGGACCAAGAGACCCCTGGGACCGTCCTGGTGGCCCTCCTGGCGGCCCTCCTGGACCTCCTCCGCCAGGCCCTAGAGACCCTTGGGACCGCCCCGGTGGCCCCCCGGGACCTCCCCCTCCTCCGGGACCTAGAGATCCCTGGGATCGCCCTGGTGGTCCTCATGGTCCCCCTCCTCCTGGGCCCCCGGGGCCTTGGGACCGCCCTGGCCCTCCCGGTCCTCCACCTCCGGGACCTCCTGAGGTATGTTAAATATGGTACAGACTTGTTTCTATTCTTCTGCTAACGTTGTGGATAGTACCGCCGGTGGTAAATAAACAATGGTGTCGATTTGCTATCTAGGAAGTGATGTTTTCTTTTTGTCTGTATATATGATGTGTTTCGGTTGAGAGTTGTACATGATTCCCAATTGCATTTCTTCTATATTTCTAAGCATCATAATGTTCTTCATCTATAGAAGGTAGTCAATACTGCCTAACATGGCAGCTAAGTGCATATAAGTATAAATATGATCTATGAAAAATAAAGGCTAGACCAAAAAGCAATGCATTCACTCCCACTCCCCATCCAACTCAATCTCCTCCCCTCTCTCCTGCATCTCCAACATCTCATCAATTGTCCAGTCTCGATACACATGACCGCGGGGTATATTCGTATCCTGGAACGGAGTGCCCCGCTGCAAATGATCTAGTACCTTGCTGTAGTTCTCCTCGGCGTATTTCTCCGGCTCATGGCCCCAGATCCACTCCGCTGTTAGATACTGGAGCCCCTTCGGTGTGAAGTTATCTTTCTTGGGCTTTTCGGAGTAGCTTTTGAGATTGATGAGGCCTAGCCTTTGGAGACAGGAGACTCGGACGAAGCTGTATGTGGATTTAATCAGTTATTAACGAGGACCATACAATTATTCTTCCGGGTTTCGCGAGGAGGATAGCAATAAACATACCGTAGCCGATTATGGATCCTCAGCGCCCAGGGAGCTTGCTCGGTGTTTCCCGCCATTCGCAAGCAGGTAGCTAGAGAGACAGCATCTTCGATTCCCTGTGTTGCGCCATTACCTGATGCCGGGATGTAGGTGTGCGCGGCATCTCCGATCTGTACGATACGGCCTGCTGGCGAGACCCACGTGGGCTGAGGATCTCGCCACATCACGCGGAAGTGAAGGAGTCGGTCTTTGGGGGTCAGACGGATTAGTCGATCTGCCACTTCTGGCCAGTTAGGGATGGTTGAGGTTATTTTGCAGACGTCTTCGGGGTCGGCTCGGTGAGACCAGGATTCTGTGGCGCTTTCGTAGGCCTAACGTTATTTGTGGTGTTAAAGATCTAATTGGGTAGGGATATATTTTGGTCTCGTTGTTAAAGCGAAATGTTTGGCTCACTCACCTTGTGTGATAAAGTCCAAGATATGATATCGGATGTCCTGATGACGAGGAAATGATAGTGCTCGCTTTTGTCAATTAGAATGTCTTTTTTTCATAATGGAGACAGATATTTTGTAGAGGTATGGTCATACCCAGCCCAAAATTCAATCGGTCCTTCCTTCTCCCCTACCACCGGAAACCTCTCTCGGACCAATGGATCAGCCATGGCTAGCTCGACGGGAAAGGCAGTCCGATACAAGGCTTGTCCGGTTGGTCGTGCCCGAATCTCCTGTCCCAGTGTCACCTTGGTCGAATGGCTTCTCAACCCATCAGCTGCAATAACGACGTCTGCTTCCATTCGACAGCCATTCTCCAGTATTATACCTGCACGCCCTGTATGGCCTTCCTCGAAATAATCCATCGCCCTACATCCGTACTCAACGCTAATTCCAATGGCATAGAGTTGTTTGAGAAGCATGCCGTGAAGTTGGGGCCTCCAATGGCGGGTGAGATGCCCTGGCACCTTCTTGGACCCCTTGTCCTGTCTGTATTCAATATGATTTGAGTTTGTCACACGATCACCACTCAATGTGTAGAAGGCAATATCAGGCACGAATGCAATCTTTTCGTTCTCTTCGGCTAGTTTGGGCCAGTGTTTGAATGCGCGGGTTGCACAGGGGCCAATTGTGAACGAGTCACCTAGTAGATTCGTCAGTTGCGATGTGTTCAATTGTACTAGTTGAGACAGTAGCTTACTTACCTGTAGTGACTTCTTCGGGGGATCTCTCGACAATTCTAACGTTATGTCCATTGCGCCAGCATTCGAGAGCTGCCATCAGTCCTGCGACCCCGGCTCCGACTATCAGGACTGATATGCCGGTTTCTGGGTAGCGGTGGGTGCAGTCGTCTGTCACAGTCATTGTGTTGATGATGAGGTCCTTAGAGAAGTCAGATATGCTCTTATGAATCATAGAAAAGGAAAAGGAAATCCAATCTTCATTTAAATGCTGAAACATTGCGGGTAAAGTTCATCATATCTGACATCTATATAGTCGGTGCTAAAGGAGACCGACACGGACGCGGGATGCCGCTTACGCCGACCGGCGCCACCACCATCTCACTCCCTGCACATCTTCAACTCACAACCACGCCTTCACCCTGTTCCGCTTCCGACCGAGATGTCCGCTCCTGACGCTCGACATCTCAAGGCCTGCAGGCCGTGCTCCAAAGCCAAGGTCCGCTGCGACCCCGGTCCGACCGATGCTTGCCAAAGGTAGAGACGGACGAGGCCACCTAACCCAAGGATAAGCACTAACGATGGAGCCAGATGTCATCGCCTGGGGAAAGAATGTACCAGGCAGCCTTCGAAACCGCACACGGTAAAGCGGCACAATGTGTCGTATGTGGTTGTGGATATACATAATATTTCAATGGCTACTGACTCGCCTATAGTAGTGACGTCGGACGACTAGAAAAGAAGCTTGATGATGTAACTTCACTACTCACGGCCTCTCAAAGGTACATAGAAAGCATCGGCGGCAACAATCCTAGTCCATTGTCTGCCACTGATAGTGGTTTGGTCATTCCTCCTGTATTAGATGAGGATGTGGAGAAAATGCTCGCAGATTTCATTGAGCGTATCACAAGGTTTCTTCCTTTTGTGATACGCTCGCCTCGCATAGGTCTTGATGATTTACGCACCATTAAGCCATTCCTGAACTTAGTTATTCCAGCGGTTGTCTGTCAAGGTGGATCTGCACAGGCGGCTCATTCGATCAGAGCTAGAGATTACTGGATGGAGCATATGCTAGCTAGCGGGGAGCATAGCTTGGATCTACTTCAGGGATTCCTTGCGTACCTTGGCTGGTGAGAGCACTTAGATGCAACTATGATATCCAAAATGCTGATACTTCATCAGGACCCAGACCATGGTGCCTGCGCCGCGTTCGACGATGATCAATAACTATCTCCATATCCTAGAGGCGCAGGTGATCAACCTCGATTTCCACCGGGAGAATAAAATGTGTACTCCGGGCACGGTATTCTCCTACCTCCGGGTCTTCAATTATGATGAACGCATGCGCAGTTCCCGCACCTTAGAGGAACTGAGAGCTTACCTTGGATGCTACTATATGGTCAATATGTGAGTCATACCATCAATCCAACACCATTCAATGCTGACCATATCAGGCTCTCATTATGCCTCGGAGAAAAAGAGCCCATGGAATATATGACATCCACAGACGACTGCTGTCGTAGAATTCAGGAAGCAGCCGAATGTGAAACCGACCCATACCTCCTTCAACTAGTCCGTATAGCCCACCTGGGGGAGAAAATTTATCGCGCTGTCCAGTACCACGAAAAGGACATTCCTACCGGCCTAGCACCAAAAACCATGGCAATACGCTGGCTACAGAAAGAACTTCAGCAACTCAAAGATTTATATTCGGGTGATTTCATTCAATCTCGTACGTCCCTCCATCAACCTAACCCAATCCCCCGGGACCTAACATGTCCCCAGTAATGCTCAATCTACACTACCATACCCTAGAGATACTTCTATACCGCACAGCCCTAGAGCGCGACTTCGGAGACGCAACCTTCAACAACTATCCTCTAACCCAAATCGACGTCCTGTGCGCCTGTCTAAACGCCACACGATCTCTATTTGACACCCTCCTCTCCATCCCACCCATACTCTACCTCCAACTCCCATACACCTGCTGGACGCAAATCGGCCACGGGCTCGCCATCCTCTCCCGCCTCCTCGTTCACAATGACCCCACGGGCTGCTGGGACCGCGAGTGGGCCCGGCAGACAATAAGCTTCGAAGACACCGTCGATACTTTCTCGATGAAAGTCGATGAAGCTGTTGCGCAGGCATTGGCTGAGCATATGCATGTCCCACCTATCTTCAACCACATTAAAGCTAGGACGATCATGTGGAAAGAGGCGCATCAGGCGCGTTGCGCTACTATGGATAGATGGAGGTGGAATCAGGAGCAGGCCCAGATGGCGGCTTCTTCTGGGGGTGGTGTTGGAGTTAATGTGGATGGAGTGGGCTCCGACGTCAGTATGGAGGATTTGTTGGCTATGGGGCCGATTTGGAATTTGTTTAGTTTGTAGTATGCATAGATGGGTATTCCCTTGTGTTCATGTCTGTTACAATATCGCTTGTTATTTTGGGTGTGAGTCATGCGCGTGCTTGCGAGACTGCAGGAATGGCCGGTGTAACGCGGTGTGTATCTATCTCAGCCCAGTAGGGATGCTGTCATTCACTTGTAATGATCCTAACGGGGTCATAGATTAGATTAGCCCGGCAGTTCACGTCAACGCGTCTCCGGCGCCTACATCTATTGGCTGGCCCCTCAAGAGTGGATTTTCGCGATTGTTTGACATCTCGGACAATCTTGGGCTTTCATTGGTTATGGATGATTGTGCGGTCTGGGCTGAGTTGATTATGATTCACTGTTTGTGGGGTTACCAGGTGGTTGTGTCACCAAGATAAGATGAGATGAGATGAGATCAGATCAGATATGGAACGTTTGATGTACTGATATATGCAATCAACATTAGTCACGAACTGATACGTATCAATAATCGTATCCAAAAATATATAGCCGAATAGTATGCCAGAAAAAGAATAAGCGCTTATGCATCCCCGTTAGGTCATGTCATGCAAAGAAACAGGGTATCATAATCCTCCGTGCAGCCCGACAGCATGTTCTCACATGTAATGGGGCTGCCTCCGTGTTGACATATCATCCGTCCGAACATTCTGTTCATCTAGTCACCTTCCAAGCTTGTGCCTGGGGGAGCTGTTGTCCCGCTGTTTCTTATTGACATTGAAGGAGCCCGTGAACTCCTTCCACGCCTCCCACAGAATCCAGCCAGGGACAACGACCCAGAGGCCGTTGAAGATAACAATATACAGCACGAAATACAGGAAACTATCAGTGGCCAACGCCGTATTACCAGTCAGCATCTCCGGCAGGAAGGTCATGAAGCCTCCGTATATCTCAGCCGTCGCTAGCACAATCATCATGAACCACATCTTTCCCTTGATCGCTTCCTTCTCCCTCGGCTGCCGGCAGGACGCCTGGTAGACCCAATAGCTGATCAAGGAGGCGGTGATACCGCCGAAGATCACAGTGATCAGCTCGATGGAGATGATGGTGGGGTCGGCACCACCCCAGCGGTGGTCTGCTTGAGCGTACTCATGCCACAGTTTGGCGGTTGGTGAGTTGGAGTATGTGGCGCCGTAAACGTGGTCTTTGTCGCCGAGGAAGACGGGGTCGCGGCTCTCGCTGGGGGAGATAGGGGCGTAGCTGAAGAAGCAGTGGAAGAGGAAGAGCCCTTCCATGCCGAAGTGGACGAGGGCATCGAATAGGTGCCATCCGAACAGGAAGCGATCGCGTCTGGGGTGGCTCGTGGCAGGGAGGAGATAGTTGGTGAGGAAGACAGGTATAAGGAAGATGATGAGGAAGTAGAACAACGAGAAAATCATCTGAAAATCGATATTGAATGGCATGTTGGACGGGTCTGGAGGATTGGACCAGCCAATCTGGCTTTCTAGTATTGTCTCGGTTGTCTTTGGAATGTCGGTATGGTTGCCGGCGAGGGATTTTATAAATTGGAAGGCGTTGTCGAATTGGAGGCTCGAAGCCGCCCAAAGGGAGTCGAGCGATGTTATAAATGCCATAGTGATCGGCACTAGCTGTCAGCGTGACCTGACAATGAGAAACAAAAGCAAAAGTGGTCAATGAAAGACCGATGATGCTATTTATTGTTGACGCTGAGGCTATTTTTGAACCCCTGAAACGCGTGGATTCCCGTCATCGCCTGAGGCATCCTTAAACTATGCCTGTTTGGGTCGGAATGACCCACCGCTTTCTTTGCTGGGTTTGTTTGCTTTCTTTGACTCACACCTCTCCCTCTTGTTCATTCTTTCATTTGGCCTGGTCATCTTCATGTTCATTGATGGTACTTGTCGAGAATCTCTCTTGCGGAGGGAGGGAAGTACAGATCCGTAACTGGCATATACGAGTGGCGGTGGTCTTGACTGGATCCGGACAATGAAAGGAAGGAACCATGCGCTAACGCTAGATAGACTCCGCACGCACCAGCGGTTGGTGATCTGCCCATGGATGTTGTTCCCTTCCTGATGGCATGGACAGTCCGTCACGGAGCCGATGCTCTCGGATCCGATCAGAAGGTTCATCAAGATCATCTAGATATGGAGTTCAATGCTATACAGCCATCTTGATTGCTGCTCACAGCATCCCGCGATTATCATCCTATGCATGAATGTTCGATTTGACCAACTTGACCCCAATGCAATGATCCGGGGTATAGCGACTCCGCTCTTTGTTGCTCCTGGGGCAAACTGAAAGGAACCACACCCTATGTCAGCCAACCACCTGTCGCTGGCTACAAATCTAGAGCGTTGAATCGCCGGGGAGCTATCACTTCCTGACGCTGTGATTTGCACTTGGCCCAAACTCTATTCCCTCGTACCCTCGCTCTGCAATGATAATCCCTGCTGTCATACTCTGTGCTGCGCCTCGTAGTGATCTTGCCTGTTGATTGCATTTCCGATGCGCTCTCTACACGAGATTGCTATCGTGCCCTGCCCAAGTACCGGGGTTTCTGATGGTACACTAGAACTTCGCGCCAACCCCAATGTCGGAGGGAGTCACATGAAGCTCTCCAGTTGCGCCATCCCCCCTTCTGAATTTGCCTCGTGGCTTTCTCGCCTATCTGTATGTTTATAAGGTACGTATGCCGAGCTATCGATCTGAGACACTGGCTGCGTGCTGCGCCCTTCGTCTCCACCGGCCTCTGTCTTTGACACGAGTGTTTTGCATTTGCTGCCTACTCGTGTGTCACTTGTCAACTGACAATTCCGGTAATATCCTATTCTTTCCGGCTCGTTTATTCTTAAGACTAGTAAGGCATCATAGCTTACCTACATTGATAAGGAAAAGACTAGAAATGGCTTCTAATTCCGAAGCTGCCGATATTCCGGAACTTACCAAACTGGCACGCGACCTATATCTTACATGCAATTCTATCTCCGGAGATGCCCCTGACGGCTTCAACCAGCTTGTAGCTAGTCTGGCATCCCTGCATAGCGTGTTTCAAACCTTGAGGGATGATGTCAGCACCAGGAAGTTCGAGCTCGCGGAGTCAGATGACGAATGCAGGCATACTCTATATCGGTGCCTACATTCTTGCTCAGGGACCTTACAGCAGCTGAAGGAGGTGGTCGACATGTATCGAAATACAGGTTTTGAAAACGGAAGGCAGCTATGGCAGTCCATAGATTGGATGACACAGCAAGCATTTATTGACGATCTCAAGTCCAAGATTGTGGCTCATACATGCTATTTAGGCGTATGTGTCGGCTCTCTTACCAAGTGAGCTCTCCAAATTTAGTCAGATATGACCATTTCTCATTCTTCAGACCGTCTTTAGGAAGAACTGAAAGTTCGGCGACAAAAGATTCGGCAAAAGACTTACCTCCACCAACTCCTTCATCTTGGCAGGCACATGACGACGTCTCGCCTATATCAATATCAGTATCGACGCCTCGCCAGCAGAACGTCTTTATACTAGCGGAGCTGGATGGCACGGAACCCACCAGGCCAAATCCTGCCGCTACACAACCCTCATGTCCGCCAGAAGAGCCCTCTCATGTTTCGGCTTCCTCCGAATCCGTTGTTTCGGGACACTCGGACACGTCTAGCTTCACAGCGACTACGTACACTTCACCTACTAGTCCAGCTTCATCAACTTTTAGTCCTCCACAATCAATTGTTTCAGAGGCCTTTTCGACAGAGAAAGAAGTGGTTTGGGCTCGTGGACCAGGATCTGGATTCTCAAATATGCAGAATCAAGGGCGAATTCAACGGTCAACCTCAATAAAGCCAGGCGAGTCAACGCCGTGGGGTAGCCCCGGCCATTCAGGAGCTGATGCAATACAAGAACTCCACCGATGGCAACTGCGAGAGCAGATCTTCCGATCGCTGCGATGTGAACCACGCGATAAAACCCATCAGCCTGATGCAGAACTCCTCGCAAATTTTGATCATATAGCCCACAAGGAAGAGCGAGCTCAGCAACTCACTGCGAGATGCTGGCTGTTGGTTGCTGTATGGTGGCTTCTGAAGGTATACATACGCATTAAGCCTTTCTCTCGTGACAGATGCTTATGTTTGGAAAGGCCAGGACAGCCCTTGCAAATAGCGAAAGATCAACACTTGCAAGCACCAGAGGCAGCGTGAGCCCGTCTGCACTGTCATGTAACTCAAGTCACCAGGCATATGTGGATCTTCTGAAAGCGTCATATATCCTATATGACATAGTCTTGAATTGTGACAACCCACAGCTGCTCTTGGAGGATGAAATCAGAAAAATGATCTCAGATCTGTCAGACGTAAGCTCTTCAACGAACACCTTACTTTGTTCAGGCTAAGCCATTCAAAGGGTCTCAAAGAAGACTTTGGGCAATTTAGCGCTGTTGATATCCCTGACTACGCTGCCATCCACTCGCAAAACCTCGACTTCTGGGAACCTTTACAGCCTGAAGAGATGATTGGGAAGGATGGCCAACCAGCTAAACCAGGAAACTTCTGCTATATCACGGTAGAATTGGAAGATGCTGGTAAAGAGGATGAGCAAGTTCTTTTCCGGACTTTTGTGAATGCAGGCATTGGGACTAAGAAGCTCCGTATGCGATCCAGAGGAGCTCCATACATGCTGCTCCTGTCCACTAAGTATGGTGAAAGCGAGCCCAAAATCACCCTCTGCAACCAGTACGGCACATTCTGCCTACAGCGAGACTGTAAGTGTGCCTACACGTCTAGTCAAAGTGGCTAAAAATGACGAAGCTAAAACATTATCAGTGGCACCAGGGGATCTGGCTCAGTTAATTCAGGTATCAAATGCGTCACTCACCAATCTATCCGTGCCAAAGCCAACAGAACCCGTGACACTGAAGTTCGACACAATGAGTTTGTCGGTTTCGTTTCAATACATGTCAGATATCATGCAAGTGATCAGTATGCCTAAAGCATACTTTGATGCTGTCCAAATACGGGAGCCGCTTGATTCTGACCAATTCACTGAGACAGTCATTTTCAAAAGTCCAGCCGAATCTGTTGAGCAATTGAGAATGCCTAGCCTGGTATCGACTAGTCCACCTACCGTGCACAGGTCCTGCGAAGTGCGCATCTTGGAAAGGTCTTTTGGCGAGGCGTGGCGCTCTATCCGACGCATGGTCATCAGCTCTTCAGCCGCTGACAAGCCTGGACAGACTACCGAATTCTTCATGCCTCTGAGCCATGTACAAGTCAGCCGTACGACGGCTTCAGGCTTCATTTTGCTGAAGTGGTCAGATACTGGTCAGGAGAGATCCAGCAAAACAGATGGGAACTACCATCCACTGTTCACTTACATCTACGACAGTAGCAACCCAAACATAGGTCTTGGCATCCAATTCCGCTTACAAGAGGCAGTGGATGAACTGGAAAGGGTTGTTCTGGGGTTAAGCACAAAGCCTGCATTCACCTGGTCTCAGGCCAAAAGCTCAGGCCATGTATATGAGGTCGCTGACATTGCGCCGGACGAGAAACGCTACAAGGCGGTGATGGTATGTCGAACTCGCGCGGACTGGAAGCAGTGCAGTCTACATTACCTCTTCAGGGATATGGACTATCTGTATGACCATTCTAATCTCCGTGTGAGGTTTCCCCGTGCATTATCCGCCATTTACATATCATCACACGTTGACCAGTTGTACCGGGCTGATCACCGAGTGTTTTTCTCTCACTGCGAAAAAGAGCTGAGGGATATGACAGTGGATTTCAATGAAGAGGAGGTACTGATGGCGTTCATGTCCTCGCTTGCATCAACATATAAGCTGGTCTTCTCCAGAAGAGCGACATCCCTCATGACCAAAGAAAAGCTACTAATTCTCGGTCCTAAAAAGTCAGTTAAAGGAGACTCGCAAGTGCAGCTATGGCGCGACGGAAATACCATTTGTCTTGCTTCGCGTTGGGGCGACCATATAATGGACAGGTGGCTCACAATGAGCATACCGACATCAGAACCATCCAGAGCAGGAAATCAAGTCAGCTTCTCCCCAAACAGCTACTCACGGGGGATGGTCCTCAACATGACAAAGATTGCATCAGGGGCAGCCAAAAATTTAAATAGGGAGCACAAGACGGGGCCGATTACCATCACCTTTCCCAATCTAAAAGGTATGTCTTCCTTTTCTTAGAGAAACGACGAGGCTGATATGATTCAGACCGGGAAGAATTTGTTGCGGTCATAACGGACAACCACCTGAAGTAGACAACAAAGCTTACAGGATCAAGTTAAGGCGTTGTATCTGTTGCGATAATTGCGTGGGACCGATAATCCAAGATCAACAGTTATAGCAAAGCAAAGGAGCATGTGCTGTGCGGGCCACGTCCCCACCAGGAGGACGAGGATAACCATGGATCTCACAAACCCAATTTGGACACAACATACCAGGCAACCCAAACAATAAAAACATAGTATACAGTACGAGAGGCAGAATTTAGCAACCAAGATAATTGAATGAAATAGAAGGATAAAAAAGAGTAGTCACGCCCGGGATCGAACCGGGAACCTTCTCGGCGCCTCAGTAGAGGAGATACTCACTTGATGTGAACGAGAAATCATAACCATTAGACCACGTGACTGGGTGATGGGAAAATTTACCAGATTTTGGCTTACGGAGTAGCCAACTTCACCCCACGTTTATCACGATCTGGGAACTACACTGATGTTCATATTCCACAAACTGTCGTGGCAGAGCATGGGAGCCGTGTTGAATAAACAGGGAACGATAACTGCAAATACTCTTCATATATAAATTCTGGAGGGGTTGCCATGCACTGGCCATGTCTGATCGCGGCGCTACCAACCAAGAGTGTAATGGAATGTTCGACTGTTACACCTCACATCCATACACCGTCTAGCCGCTAGCCAGAAGGATATCCTAGGTACATATAAATCTGGATATATAAATGTAGCCAGACTACCTGTTAGCTAGTCAGTAAGTATAGAACAACCTATCAGATGACAACAAACAAGAAAAACCGGGGAGAAGCCAGGTCTGTGCTGCAATGCAACAGCAACATGCAACATCTCCATCTCCGCCTCCAAACAATATGCGCTGATCGCTTCTCGTGCCGGAGAAGAGAAACAAAGATATCAGCACTCGCGAGCTTGTGATAAGAGCAACAGACTGTAGATCACTCGTCCGTGTTTGGTGAATAGGATACGTCGTCCATGTAGTTAGTCACTTTTTATTGTACCCCGCTTTGATCATGCCGCTCATCTGGAGATCCGTACGAACACCATATTCTACCTTCAGAACCTGCAGAACCCGCCCAGCGGGTAACTGTATAATATTCCTGACGGAACCAGGCAGAATATCTCTAGGCGCTTGATTTCAAAGCTAGTTTTTGATTATAATTATTAACTAGCATCCTTCCCGCCCCGCAAGCCAGTCGCTGACTATTATTTCATTTGTCATAGCTAACTATTGCTCATCCTCCGTGACTCAATTCAAGGCGCGTCTATCCGGTTCCTTCTAGCGGATGACCTGTGAAGGATGGCTCAAATCATGTATTCTTCAGCGGGCACCCCCAGATCGTCTCAGTCAGTTAGTCGCCCGGGTGATCTCTCCCCAGTGTTCTTGTCGCCGACGCGTGCGCCTTGCACGTGCGAGCCTCATGACCCATGGGCAAAGGCTGAGCTCTTATAACGCGAGGCTTGTTACCAACTGCCCCCCGGGGCCTTTGTTGAGATGTGTCCAGTTTACCTCACCATGATTAGTGCTTGCCCTGTTGGCAAGCCTTGGGATCATTCTTGTCGAGGAGGAACTGACTGAAGTACTGGGTATTTTGTTGTTGCCTGGGTTGCTCCTGTTTTCTTTGCTTAGGTATCGATCTATCCATTGGTATTTATAGTCTGTCCTTGTCCGTTGCTATCCGATTCCTAACAAATTCATCTATTCTTTAGTCATAGTTCTAGTTGCTCTTACTCTGTGTTGATATGCCACACTCAGTTCACCATCGACGACGCCACTCCTGGCCATATTGCGGCCCTGGGACGCAGCTACGTGAACGACGAAACTTGCCGCTCATCATTGCTGAGCAGCAACGCCAATTCGAACAGCAGTTCTTGACACCCGTGGGATCTGAGGATTTGCTCGAGGATGATGCCGCATCGGCGGGTATCGTTCGTTCCAGAACGGCCCGAACCCATCGACGTTGGTACGCTCCGTGGGATTCAGCTTCGTCTGGTGCCCCTTCGCAAGTCACAGGCCATCATGCCGGATCGGGATCGGGGTCCCTCCGGAAAATGATCCGTCCACCCCTGGATAAGGCGCGATCACTCTTTGTGCTGCCGACCACGACCACTACTGGAGAAAGTGTGCTCGTTTCATACTGGATGCCCCAGGAAGCTTCTGTTCTACCACCTTCAGATTCGATTGCTGAAAGAGGAAGAGTTGCTGATGTCAAGTCCGGAGCTGGATACCTGTCAGTTGAGCGATATCATCGACGATGCCATTCGGAGCAGCCTCGGTCGTGGAAAAGGCCCAGCGCTGCGTTGTGGCCGCTGGAGGAGGAGCAATAGCTTGTTTGCACTGTCTGTTAGTTTGTGCTGTTTCTATTGATTATATCTCAGTGCTTGTTTTGGCAGATTTTGACGCATTGCATCGCGAGGGTTGATTTCATGGCGTTGAATGGGCATTCTGCATGCGATGAGCTTTGTTGTTGTTGTCGGTGGCTGCTTGTTTGACCCAACAGAATAGCAAGACCGGTAGGTCATACTAAGACTAGATAATGAAGAAAAGGACGGTCTTCGGAGCAAGACTCGTCGCAGCATGGTTCTTGCCCGTATGCTTCCCAGTAGGAATTCCCATTCTCCTTGTGCTCGGAAGCGCGTGCCGGCCAGCCCTCTTGGCACGGGGCACGTGAAGGGCCATGATGTCATTGGTCGAGCTCAAGAGCCTCAAGTGGGCCATTGGGCGGCGTCCCAATTGGGAAGGCCGTCTGAGACGGGCTCTCTGTGTCAGTCGCTGTTGTGTTGGTCTCGCATTCAACACCATCCGCAGCGCATCGCCTTCCCTCTAATTCCCTCATGTCATTCCATCGAGGCATTTTCATATATCCCGCACTTGGACCGTTATAATCTGAGCAGGGATCATGTTTCAGATAAGAGCCATTTTCACGCGGTTGCTATTATAAGCAATCCGTGAGTGTGTTCTCTCCGGTTCGCGGTAGCCTGGGGAGGGGAAAGAGAGAGAGACAGACCATGGTGGAGATCGGCACTAGCTGAGACTAACACTTGGGAAAACACCTCCTGTGAGCCGTAAGCCCTATGTCCCGTCCCTAGTCCGAATTCGAACATCATTTCCTATCCTGCCTGCTTAAGTCCGAGCGATCATTCATTCCTGTCTGCAAGGTGGGGGCTGAATTCTCACCCGTGCTGTCGCTTCGTGGGAAGAATTCTGGAAATTGTCTGGAATGCCCCAGAGCTGACAGCTCACTCATGATCTAGACAAAAACAACGAGGACGAACATTCCAACTACCTATCACCAAAGGACACACAATCAATTTCCGACGGGCGCGCCCGAACAGCGGACAGAAACAAGGCAGCCTTGTGGACGCTGCTGCAGTGGATCTAGCGGTGAAAATGGAGCCTCTGGATGGGTCATTCCCCGGTGACAGGCACACTGATTGGCGGGCTCGTGAGGCATAGGGCAGACGCGTGGAGATAACTGGAGATCCTCACCGACTGGCCCATCATTCAGCTGCCGTCCGTGACTCAAGAAGGGGCCATTTGAGCCCTATCGATGGAGCCCCTCGGTGCTGGCATTCTTTCATTCGTCCCCTCGGGCTTCCCGGCAGGGGGCCCCATGCCCCGGATAGGGCCAGTGCTGTTTTGATAGGCTGATGGGTGGGCTTCCAGATGTGCTCGGAATGAGCACGGAAGGAGGGGACGATGGAACATAAATACGCTCATTTCCCCTGTTTTTTCAGATTGCTTTATTCTCACTTTACACGAGTTTATCCCACTCTTCTCTTATATCTCCTCCTCAAGAACAATCATAAAGGAAATGAACAACGACCACCAGACTTCCGCTCAACCAAACGCACTCAAGCGGGCTCTTTCTCAATCCACTACTTCATCCACCTCATCAGCCACCACCAACTCCCACGCTACAAAGACTAGGCATCACAAGGCAAGCCGTCTGTCCAGCGTAAAACAATTTCTCCGGTCGCGCTCTCACTCTCCGACCGCGGCTTCTATCCCTTCGAATCGCTCCTCTCCATCATCTAGCTTCGACATTCCTCGAAGCATTCCTGCGAACTCTACTCCTCGTCGCTCTGCGAGCCCCGTCTTCACCATGTCTCCTAGCAGAGTCTCCACCGACGATGACAACCACAGCGCAACCTACAAGCGCGTATCCTCCAGCCACACCCGCCGAAGCGGCCACGATTACCGTCGTTACAGCGGCACAGTGAACCACTACGGTCGTCACTCGAATGACTGGCTGTTCGGAGGCTTCAGTCTGCGGGATACCGTTCGAGATGGAGTGGATCGCCTGAGACACCATCATGCCAAGGATTGAAACTCCAATATTGTGCACGCTTATATCTGATGGAGTTATCCATTTCTGGGTATTTTTGTGTTTCATATTCCGACAGATGATTCTCTATGGTCGCATTAGTGGCCGCCCATCATACAGACCTTCAAGGACCCTGGAATCTCTCCGCCAATTATATTAAGGATCAAATGAGGGCCATTCTGGCAACATATTGCCAGCCAACCTTTTTGAGGTTTCAGGAAGGAGAAATCCACGCACCGAGTCGCAAAAGACTCGCTCATGCGTCATGCTTGGATGGATTTGTCTCACGGTCCCACCTTATCAGCACGAGAACGCTGCGCGCGTCTGTTCTGTTCTGATCGATCCGATTCGGATCTCATTTATGACATGTTACGAACTTATACCCGCCATGCCATTTGTTTGGTTTCAATTATATCACTATAGTGTTATTCAATCTCACTAATAACGGTTTTTACTTCTCTAACTTTCTATTCCGTAGACAAAGTAACAGTTCCTTGTAATCGTCGTCCACAGTAATAGCATAATTAATCCTATTTACACTATATATCCTCATCAATTCTCTACTATCCACAACAACACCATCTACACACCATCCTCACCGCCCTTCCTCCTTCGGATCAAAACCGTGTCCGAACCCTCCCCAGAGGTAACATCATACCTCACCAACAACCGCCCAAGCAACAACTTAATCTGAATAGCCGTGAACCATCGCCCCGGGCAAGCATTGCGCCCATACCCGAAATGCAGCGACGTCTCGTTCACAGACACATAGTGATATTTACCAGCTGCAGTAGTAGCTGACAACCCACCCTGATTTCTCAGCCGATGAAACCTCAACCCATCAAACACCTCCGGGTTCTCAATATACTCCGGATCCCAGCCAACATGGAACGCCGGCGCAGCGATATGTTCGCCTGCATGGAGTCGCGTGCCGTCGGGGAGAGTAAACGGTTCCAGGACTTTTCTTTCGAAGGTGACTATCGTACCAACATTGTTTGTCAGACCAATAAAGAACAAGCTGCCTGAAAGGCACTATAGGACGGGAAGGGAAGGGAAGAAAGACTCACCAGCCCCCGGCGGCTTAAACCTTTGCGACTCCTTCATAAAGCTATCCATCATACTCAACGAGGTTAACGCCTGCTTACTTATTTCATCTTTACCATCACCACCCACAACACCTTCAAACTCCCCCCTAAGCAACGGAATCATCTCCTCATGCTCCGCCAGATCCTCAAGACACTGTGCCGCGGCCGCCGCATTAGCCAGCACCGTCCCGATGGACATCATAGCCTGCACCTGGCTCTGGTAAGTTATTGTTCTCTCGTGCTCTTCACAGTTCTCCCATAGCCAGCGGACCATGGTGTTTCTGTCTGATTTTTCGGATAGAATGGCTTCGTATTCTGACGTGAGGAGGGCGGTGATTTCGTCGCGGATGGAGTCGAGTTCGCGGAGAGAGGGGGCGAAGTGCTGAGCTAGGGGGCGGAGAATAGATGGGTATTTCATGAGCGAGACGGATTCCATCATTGTTAGGGGGTATTTGGTGTACAGGGTTAGCCAGGTCGGGTCCCGGCTGAGGGGGAGGCCGATGTTGATGCGTCCGGAGACGAGGGCGATGATGCGGAGGATTGTTGGGAAGGTGGGCAGGGGGTGCCATTCTGGGTGTTTGTTGTTAGGATTTATCGTGTGTAGTAAGTAGGGGTGGTGCTCACCGTGTGGGTTGCCGAGTTCGCGGTCCAGTGCGTATTCCATCTCTTCGTACATTATTGGAAGGACGTTGCCTGATTAATTGGAGGGTTTAGTTCTGTTATAGTGATACTGCTGGTGCAGAGGGGAGGAGATGAATGTCTTTACTTAGGTTATTGTTTAGATTGGTCTGTACGCTTTTAGCGAATGCAGCACATTCGAATGTCTTCGTGAAGCGGCTTTGTTGTTACTGTATCAGGATTTCCTTTTAGCTTGATTCACGCTGTGTTTGAAGAGAAAAAGAAGTAAGATCATACATCATGTACCCCCGCCGTGAAACTTATTCGATGGTCTGTTCGGAGCGATGGGAGCATGCTTATTGGCAGGATGCGAAGACGGTAGTCTTTTCTGGGTATTGTCCATGTTTGAGATGATGTTTTTCCCTGCACAGATAGTAGGAATGATCTGATTAGATAGCTATTCTACATGGCAAAGATCTGAAGTTATGCGTACTTTGTGATATCCAGCCCAAATTAACTTCTTTTCGTCTGGGGCTTTGCCCAAGTTGAACTTTCCAGGGCATTTGAGGACATGGTAAATCGCAAAGACAAGGAGAGTGATGGGGATTATTGTTTGGTATTCCATAATGTGAGTCTGAAGGATGTGTTCTGGACTGGAACATGTGTGTAGTAGTCTGGTTTTTGCTACTTGGGAAGAGGGCGAGTCCAAGGACAAGCAGGAGGTTACATAACTAGTTACATGCAGAAGCTCATTCTTCAGGTGAGATAAGCTGTCGAAGCAGACGCATTCTTAGGACTCTCAATTTGCGTAGTATAAAGTTTATTTGTTGAGGGTGGTTACACGGACACATCATATACCTATACAAACCTCCTCATGATGCTATACAAGGTTTTTAGAAATTGTAGATCGCCAGTGTCCAAACGCAAGGTGTGAATAAGACGGTTTCGTGGAGGCTTATACAAGATAGTGGGAAGTAGAGACTGGCCTGTGGACAGAACCAGGTTCATTCTCGGACACTTACTTGTTTAGATCTACTCTGCATCTAATGAAAAGCAGAAACGGTTTTATATGACGCAATGATTCTATATCCTTGTACTTAGATAGTAGACTCTCAATCACAGAGATAAACAAACCTGATTGGATATGTTATTGCAGCGGATTTACTTGGCATAGATGATAATTAGGGTTCAAGTCCAATTTGAGATTTAACACACTCATCTGCGGGTCTGCCGATGTAAACTCCCAACTAATTAATGTGCCGAGACAAAACTGGCTCCCCCTAAGCAAAGACAGATACTCCCTTGTGTAACACATCAGGATGGTATGGGCAGTATCTTGACGAAAGAAGGAACCCCACTGATGCTGTTCGCTCGAAGGGAGATATCATGCCCCTCATGGCTGAATCATCCACCCATCTGGCTATTATACTCTAGCCGATACATTCCATCCGCTGGAGCATTGGAGGGCTCATAGGGCTGACCAGTGAGTATGGCGTTTGCAGCCTTCGCAAACTCGCGGTAGGTGTACTCCTGACAGTCATGGTCAAAGATCCAGCTTGGATGCGGAGGAGTAACGCCACTCAGATCCTTCCGTAAATCTTTGCAGGTGGTCTTCATCATGGATTTCAAGACTAGCGGTGCCCCGCGTTGGATCACAGACGCTCGCTTGTGTCTATCGAAAAGGTCAGCCGTTACTGCAAGGGATGCATTGTCGCCTCGAGGGTCGATCAGCATACCTGATCGCCATCCCGACAGACAGAGCCAAAGGAACGTCTTCTTTTCCGCTTAGCTCCAGTGCAATTGCTAGGACGGCACCATCTTCGATTGCCTGACTAGCCCCTTGGCCACTAGACGGAAGGGCGGCGTGGGAGGCATCGCCGATAACCATCATCCTTCGACGAGGAGACAACCATGTCTGCATGGGCTCCCTTGTCACCAACTTCTGATCGACATACCAACCGCCCTTCCCCTTCCGAATGAGTGGCTCCAGCTGCGGCCGCACAGGCCAATCCTTGATAGTGTCAAGAACATTCTCAACAACATCTATACTACCATCCCACCCCTCTTCCGCGGCGTACTCATTCTGGGCATGTTAACTAAAAACTTCCATATAGATAATCTGGAACAAGAGAGCACCTACCTCATGGGTACAGTACCAGAAAAGCTCTCTTCCTTTTCGCCCCCTCCACAGCGCGAAGTGGATGTCATCCGATACCCAGCCAACCGTCTGATCATATTCTTCAGCGTTATCAAGGGCCCATCGTGTTGCAGGATCGGCCGCTACCGCATCCGTATTCAAGCAGCCTCGGAATGCGGACCAGCCAGTCTCCCATGAAACAAGCTGTTCTCCAGTGATCTTCTCCCTGCCCTTACTGTGCACACCTTCTGCACAGAGGACGCAATCTGCTGCAATGCGCTCCCCGTGGACAACAACGCCTCCTTCATAGTCCGTCTCCCAGTAGTCAGTCACAGGGGAGTTCAGACGGATGTCTATCCCAAGCTCGCGCGCATGCTCATACATGACCGTAACCAATGTGCCTCGATTGAGGGTATATCCGTCACCACGGTTATACCCACGAAGCTCAAACTCACCCAAGTCATAGCCTGTATACTCGATAACCTTGATCTTCTCGATAAGAAATCGGAGAGGTAGCATTCGCTCGTGTACAGCCCCGTCGCCCCATTTGGCAGTGACACATGAGCCGTTCGCCCCAATGGTAATGCCATCACCCTCTGTTTCGAGATCCGATGAGCTATAAGTTTCGAAGCAATGGTATATTCCGACACTTACCTACGCCTTTGACCACGGAGGATCTTTCGAAAAGGGTGACCCTGTGGCCTTTCCGATAACACTCAATAGCCGCTGTTAGGCCGGCCACACCGAGGCCAACAATAATGACATGAATTCCGGAGGAGTTAGGCGGTGCAATTCCATTCGGGCCAACTCCAGGGGTGAAAGTCATGTTGTTTGGGAAGGTTGAAAGTGGGCTGAAATCTGTCCAAAAAAAAAAGAAAGGATAGACCGTCTCGATAAAAGCTTGAAGACTCAGTGATGAGGCGAAACAGTAGTGTGGAAATACGCTTCCACAGATATGTGATGCCCTCTCTGTAATATATGTCGAATTTCACCACTAGTAGCAGGTAGGTCACAACGTTTGGTTTTGCCTATCGATATTTCCTTCGTGTGGAGGGCGATATGGTGGGATACTAGAAGTCTACTGATAGTAGTTAGCCAATCATTCATCCCAATCATTCTATGTATGATGCACGCACGCATTCGTATCTGCATCTGGCGAATTACCCTAAGGGTATGTCTCATATCAAGTCGGCTCCATTCAGAAAAAGGATGGCCGTAACAACCTCGGAGACATGGTCAGAACGCCCTAGCCCGGCCTACAGGCCCTTTGGGCTTCTTCATGTCAGATGAACAAAATATTACGTTAGTTTGTCGGTGTGTCCAAACAGGATAATCCTGGAATCATCCGAGATTGGAACTGCCTGCGAGATTTCTGGAAGTGGCTTCTCTCACTCATCCCTTGAGCCCCTCCTATATGCGGCTGTATAGGCGAAGTGGCGCCCCCGCTACTGTAGGAAGAAAACGGATTGGCTGGACTGCATTTGCGATTGATGTAGATCAAGATGTTGTGACACAATATGCAACATTTTAGATTTATTCGTGTAACAGTCAGAGTAAACTCGTTTTTTTTGGACAAATCATCTCTTATCATGACCAGCTGCAGAAGATCGTCCGGCATTTGGTATTTTGCCAATGCATTTGAGAGTCATGACGCTTTGCAGAACCAAGAAACACAGTTCTAGATGTTGACTCAGAAATGCTCTATTGCAAGCATCGTGCAGCATTAAGGATACATTCACCATATAAATGGAGTGTGTAAGGAAGTAGTAATGAGAGCTTTGAGTATTGGATATGCTTTCGAAACGGTTTGCTTCGTCTGCACTGCCCAAGTCTCAAGATGACTCATGAAAACGACGACAACGGATCACGTGGATCTCAGCCTGACTCGTGCTTTCTACACAATCTTAGCACAAACTCGAAATCAGCTGGAACAACACTTTCCGTCTCTGAATACCAAAGCTAACAAGGGGATCAATCTCAATTTCAAGACTTGAAAGCGGTATGGTCTCTTCTCCTGTCCAAGTATACCAACACATCTACGGTACTATTTGGTGCCATCTCAGACAGCGGCATCCTGGAGGAATGGAGGGCATACGTAAACGAAGAGGCGCCTATGGTGCAGGCAGTCTCTTTGGTTAAAGTAAGAAACTGGGAATATGGGGAGACGGGCTCTCAAGATCGCTTCAACACGTTTCTCCTCGAGGATATTGGGCTCAAGGCCATTGGAAGATTGGCTCAAGTAAAGGTTCGCACCGTGCAGCTTGTTTTCTCATCCGTTTGAACTCTAACAGCTGTGCCAGAAGCACGTCGATCTTACCATAGGGATAGACTATTCAAAGTCCCGCTTTCGGATATGCATTTACAGTCCAGAGTCGTTTCTGGATCAAGATCAAGCAGAATTATTAATGTCATCCTTGATCCACACGTTAAAGAGCCTGCAGTCTACACTTCAGCTAAAGTCCGTAGATCTGCTCAGTGACTTGCACCGATGGCAAATTGGTAGGTGGAATAGAGCATCACCCACGGGATCTTTGGGTGATACGATTCATCATTGCATTGAGCGACAGTGTTTCAGGCGGCCCGAAGCTGAAGCCGTTTGTGCCTGGGATGGATCCTTGTCCTACGGGGAGCTAGAAATCTTATCGTCGGAGATTTGTGAAGTTTTATATGCCAATGATGTGCTGCCTGGAATGATAATTCCGTTAGTCTTTGAGAAGTCAAAGTGGACAGTTGTGGCAATGCTGGGTGTGCTCAAAGCTGGGGCTGCTTTTGTCACCATTGACCCTTCATTTCCCCAAGCCCGGGTGCAGGCCATTTGTTATGATGTAAAGGCCCCGTTTATTCTTTGTTCGGCCACGCAGAAATATCCGACATCGAATTTGAACCGTGAGTTCATTACCATTCCAATAAAGGACTCCGTCACCCTTTCATCTCAAACCAAAGAGAATTATTTATCGGCATCTGATCCTAATCAGCCGGCTTACATCGCATACACCTCAGGTTCCACTGGAACCCCGAAGGGCATTGTCATCAGCCATGGAAACTTCTGTACCAACATGGCTCTTAGCAGCCCCCTGCAGAACCTAGGCGATACCTCCCGCGTTCTACAATTCGCGTCATACGCATTTGATGTCAGCATCCTTGAAACATTGACTCCCCTAATGCTAGGGGGCTCTGTATGTATCCCTTCGGAGTCACAGCGGGTGGACAACCTTCAGCAAGCAATCTTAGATCTTCGAGTGAACTGGATAGAGCTGGTGCCTTCCGTGGCACGACTCCTTGATTTCAACGCTATACCTGAAGTTAAGACGCTAGTTATTGGTGGTGAAACTATGCGTCCTTCGGATATTTCCCAATGGGCAGGGCGACTAAACCTAACCCAGGCGTATGGTCCAGCAGAATGTGCAGTGGTATCGACATTTCAATCAAGCCTCAGCCAGGACAGTGATCCGCGTAATATTGGGTATAGTGCTGCAGGATCGTCCTGGATAGTTGAGCCTGAAAATCATTCGAAGCTTGTACCCATTGGAGCAGTTGGAGAGCTCGTCATTGGTGGCCCGATAGTTGGTAAGGGATACTTGAACCAACCAGAGCAAACGGCACAATCATTCATATCTGATGTTCCGTGGTCAAAGAGGCCCGAAGCCTATTATAAAACCGGCGATTTGGCGAGACTGAACTCCGACGGCAGCATTGTCTACATGGGAAGAAAGGATACACAAGTCAAAATTCGAGGCCAACGAGTCGAGCTTGGGGAGATTGAGCATCTGGCTCAGGAGATATGGTCTGACATAACTCCAATTGCTGAGGTGGTCAGAATAGGGGACCATGATCCAATCTTGGTGTTGTTCATTGGACAGATGACCCCGGAATCAAACATTATATTGGATAGTGAAGAGCTGCTCATGGAGTTCGAGGCGCAATCTCGGGAGAAGGTGCGGAACTTACAGTCCAGTCTTCGCGAGATACTCCCCAGATATATGATACCAGATGTCTTCGTTCGGATCAAAAGGTTACCATTGATGTCCTCTGGGAAGGTCGATCGAAAGATGCTGCGCAATACTATGTCACGCTTATCTGACAAAGAGTTACAATCCCTCCGGAATATGACGCGTTCCAGCCACAATAGGCCGAGTGAAAGCCCTGCCGAACCATCTGAGACTCTCCATGGCTGTATCGCCCAGATGTTCTCAAATATATTGGGGATACCTCTAAACCATGTTGATGTCAGCGCGAACTTCTTCCATCTTGGAGGAGATTCAGCTCTCGCAATTGCTTTGGTGAATGAAGCGCGTATTAGGCACTGTATCAATATCACTGTTGCATCTATATTTGACAACCCGACCGTCGCCACGTTGGCCCAATACATCAAGGCATGCCCAGCAAAGCCCGAAAATTACCAGCAAATATTTCCATTCTCATTAATCAATGGCGACGTGGAACATCTTCGTGGCCTTGGTGCAAACCAATGTGGTATCGATCCGGAAGCGATCGAAGACATTTATCCTTGTACTCCCCTTCAGGAGCGTCTTCTGGCCTGGACTGTAAACAAACCTGGGGCTTTTCAAGCTGATTTTGTATTCAAACTTCCGTCAAGTATCGACTGGGAGAAGCTACACAATGCATTGCGCATGGCTATTCGGGCTTATCCAATATTGAGAACAAGGATATCCCTAATTCCTGAGTTCCTTCGACTCTCCCGCGGATTTCAAGTCGTCGTTCGGGAAGACATAGCATGGGCGGATGCAACGACCAACTGTCAAAATCAAAATATAATAATGTCCACAGGAACACCACTTTTCCACTATACCACGGCGCATGAGCCTAGTCCTACACTGAAACTAACCCTGCATCATGCGTTATTCGACTCGTACTCCTACAGTCAGATCGTGAATGCCGTGGAAACCGCATATAACGGGACACCAGTTGTGACATCCCCGTTTGTCCCTTTCATTAAGTACCTCCTAAACTTGGATGAATTGGCCGCAAGATCCTTTTGGGCAAATGAGTTTGTCGATTTGGCAGCAATTCCGTTTCCAGCCAATGTTCCCCCAGGCCATATTCCCCGAAAGGTCGAGCGGTATGTCCATAGCTTTTGTCTTCACAGATGCAACGAACATGAAATCACTCTCTCGACTGTATGCCGCCTCGCATGGGCCCTCGTAGTGGCCCGCTATACAAGATCATTGGATGTCATGTTTGGAGTAACCGTAACGGGTCGCAACAGCTCCGAAATAGCTGGCATTGTCGGGCCTACGATCACCACGTTTCCCCTACGCATCTCTATCCACAGTGACGAGAAAGTTCATACTAAATTGAAACGTCTACAAAAGCATGCTCTAGACATGATGCCTTACGAGCTTTTTGGGATTCACAGAATACGACAATGCAGTTCTGAAGCCGTCAGTGCTAGCCAATTCCAAAGCTTACTCATTGTTCAGCCAACAAGGACACATTTTCCCAAAGCACGTTCTCATAGTCTACTGGAACTTATGGAAGTAGATACATTGGAACAACAGATTGACGCTAGTTTTGCGACTCAAGTTCTTACAATCATATGCGAATACGCAGAGGACACTATGAAATTACGCGGTGTGTTCGATCCTGAAGTGGTCCATCCCGACAAAGTCAAAGGATACCTGCATCAGATGAGCAGACTTGTGAACATGATCCTTAGTTCGTCATCAGATACTGTGGGGGATTTACTGCAGAAGGCCACCGAATACATCGACCCTGAGGACCTGAATGAGGAACGCCGGGTACTTAATGAAGTAGAACGAACGGCTCAAACGCTTCTGGGGCAAAACACTCCGCTGAGGGCAGAATGGGTTATTCCTATCGATACAAACACACCAAAACTAGCCTTATTTGTCGGGTTTGATGGCGGCTCAGGTGTTAACCCTTCGTGTGTCTTCAAGCTCCCGGACAATGATACTAGGGCCCGCTTGCATCAGGCTATGGCACAGCTTCAAAGCACTCTCTCGGATGCAGTGATGCCTTCAATATGCCTTCCAGTACATGTATCACATGAGTCAATTGGCTTCCCCGGCAGAGCTGATTTGCAGAAGGAAGCATCAAAACTGCCGTTAGAAATTTTGGAATCATACATGTCTCCTCAGGAACCCAGTGTCGTCATGGAAAAATTCATCTCCAACATACAGACAAGGTTACGCCGCATAATGGGCGTTGTCTTGCATATTGACATAGATGATGTCGGTGTCCACGAGAGCTTCTTCGCCCTAGGCGGTGATTCAATTCTAGCAATGCAAGTCGTTGCACAATGCCGTGACGAGAATATCAATATCACTGCTCAGGATATTTTCGACGCCAAGACAATACACCGTATTGCCTTGAGGGCGTCTCCGGGGTCTAAAAACAAGGCTGCAGTCATTCAGGATAGGCCATTTCTTCCTAATAGATATCAGGACGTTGCATCATTGGAAGACGATTTGAAACAGTTGAATAAGCTACCGAGATCTGCCAAGGTAGAGGACGTGTATCCATGCACTGATCCGCACAAGGGACTGCTTCGGAAAATGAACTCCTCGTTCCTTCTCTCTTATACAATCTGGGAAGTTACTGCTAACGGAGCCTTGATTGACATTGAACGCTTACTTTTGGCTTGGGGTTTAGTTTCTAAGCGTCATGCTGCGCTGCGAACGGTCTTGACGGAATTTGATGGTATCGAATACCATGTTGTTCTGGATAAATGCCCCACAGAAGCTAAGGCTTTACCGCAACTGAGTTCCCATGATCTCGCTGCCGCTCTACGCGAATCACGCATAGAGATTCAGCAGAGCCAAGTTACGCCCTACAGGTGCACGGTCTACCAGTCTGATGCTGGGCAGGTTCTTTGCAAACTTGAAGGCAGCCACGCCTTTCTTGACGCAAGCTCGGTGCTGATTATTCTCCATGAACTTTCCTTGGCCTATCGCGGATTACCTTTCCCCACCCTAGCACCACCATACCGCTCTTGGGTGACATACCTTGACAGTTGGAAAAGAAATAGTCAGCATCTCGATTATTGGCGGCACAAGCTCAGTGGATTATCGCAATGTCTTTGGCCAAAACATTCCATGGACTGCCTTTGCTGGGACAATTGCGCTACTTCTCAGGTCCAATGCGTAGTCAACCCACTGGTCGACACCGAGATTCTGCAACGCTTCTGCAGCAGGTATGAAGTGACAATGACAATCTTACTCCAACTATCGTGGGCACTGGTGTTGCAAGAATACTGCCAATCAAACGACGTCTGTTTTGGCACGACTATGTCAGGACGCGATGCACCGGTTGATGGAGTTCAGGACATGGTCGGTTCAATCTTCAATGTTCTTCCACGTCGGTTTCGTCTGATCGCAGGGTCCTCTTTCTTAGAGACACTTGAGTGGAGCCAGAAAAACACCCTTGAGGACAAGTCACACCAGTTCTGCTCACTCGTGGACCTTGAGAATCTATTGCTACCAGGAAACCAGAATCAACCACTGTTCAATACATGTTTTTCAGTGGAGAGCGCATTGTCCAATGGTACAGGAAAGCTTTCCTTTCGACCGATAGAGACGCATGAAGAGACACATATATGTACATGGGCCATAGAACTTTTAGCAAGACAATGCTGACGTGGCTGGCTTAGAACGATATACTTGTTGTTGTGACCGCTCAGCCGGACAAGACTGAAGTTCAACTTATGTACTGGTCGCATCTGATGAAAGAAGAACAAGCCATGGAAGTTACTGAGCTGCTTCGAAAATATTTACTAACGATTGTGGAAAATCCTCATCTGCAAATATCTGACCGTTCCACCCCGCACAATTCCATCAGCTCAGCTAGTAGCTGAGCATTGTCATTGTGAAAAAGAAGTATTGTTCTGCATAAGCAAATACAAATATTTCCTCAAAGCTTACATTTACGCAAGCTATTCCTCCAAGACTAAGACAGTACAAGCCATTTATGATTATACATGATATATACTACGCCTGTGGTTCAGCTGAGAGTATCACTATGACCCTGTCCAGGCAACCTGATTCCTAGATCGCCACCCCCTATCTATCAACATCGCCATCCTCACTCATCCAAAATCTTCTACCACAAGTAGGAACTACTTACCAGTTAATTATAAACCGGCCAATAAAGGCCCCATAACCCCGCGCCACCCCTACGCAGTATCCCACGCCGAGATCCTCAATACTCCAACCGAGCTGAATAGAAATCCATACAGCCAATAATCACTCCCTCGTGCCTGAACCCTACGTAAGTGGAGGGGTTCTTCAGCCAGATAATAAGTAGTATATTACTACTACAGTACTATTCTAGTATCCGTATCTAATGCCACGATCGATCACTGCAGCTCCGCTCCACACCGTCCAAACACCGAGATTCAAATCCCGATTTATTGATCATCATCACTTATGGATCCAGTCGACTAAATCCTGCTACTACACCAGAATTGTCCAAGGAAGAAAAAAAAAATCTTCTATCATTTCCCCTACGGGTGTAGTCAGTTTCTTTTGACTTATCCTCCGTCGTCATCGAACGCTATCGGTCTAACTTCGTACTTATCTCGGGGGCATTGCTGCGCTGCGTGTGACTGACTTGAATGAGTATTGATGCCTGAGTGGGGACCTTGATATAGAGTAATAGTATGGTGGTAGTATAGTTATTAATATGATGGTATTATAGGGATCGGTGCTGAGATTGTGCGTGATTTCTTTTCCTTTTTCTTCTTCCTTTTTTCTTTTTCTTGTTCTTTTTGTTTTCTTTTTTCGGCTCTTCTTCGAAGGGTTGGGAAAGCGTGTCGTAGCGAACCATTTCATGATTTTGGGGTTATTTGATGATTTATTTAATCACTAGCATCTACTTAGTGATGGGTTTGTTGCTTGGGTAGTGGTGGTGGTGATGATTGTGATCAGGGATGAATGGCTTTCATGGGTCTTTCTTCATTGGGAAATGTAGTATTTGTAGAACTGTTATTTCACTTTCTGAGGGTCTTGATGCCCAGTTGTCATGGGGTTCGAACCATGGTGGGTTCTTTGAATTGGCTATCTGTTGCAGGAAATTGGATCGCTGTCGCGTGGCCGACGATTGGCAGATGTGACGGATTAGTGCCGGGATGGAGGGACCCAATTAAAGTTGCATTCGCTAATTCTGAGCTTGTGTATCACATACTAAGCGGTAAATAAAAATTAAAACTAGATCGTAAATCGTGTGGTGGCCAACATTCTGCACGTCGTGTTTGGCCCGCCCTAAACAAAGGAAATTCACATGAATGAGCGAGAAAGCTGAGACGCAGGCCGAAACTCCTGGCTGATCCTGACGCGATCTTCAAACACCGAGTAACACCGACAATCAAAACAAGAAAAGGGAAGATACGAAACATGGCTGTGCTCCATGGGTTCTAGGCTGATTGCCATGTTGCGATGTCAGCTGCAGTGATGTCAATGTTTTCCGGGATTAGACTCTGAAGCTTGGAGACCTGAGTGGGTGCTAGAACAGGGTTAGCTATGAGATATTCCCTCCATACAGTAACGATGACACTTACTTGGACGTGGTGTGGCAGCGCCAGCCTGTACTTGAATGATACCCGAATCAACATACTCTTTCGTGGTCACGCCGTTGAAAGAGGCTGCTCCCAGCATAACCCGTATCCGATACCGACCAGGCTGTGTGAATTTGAGAGGCCCAAATCGAGCGTATCCGCTGGTGCCGTTGCCATTGCGACTGCGCACGCTAGACGTAAGCACGCCTGTGAGTCCTGAAGCAGGTGCAGTGCCTGCTTCATTCCTCAGCGAGGCATGCGCAACCAATTGTTGCACTCCTCGTGGGTTACCCACAGGTCGGACGCCCACGACCACTGGTAGCGTCACTGGTACGCCAAGGGGAACGATTGTAGGAGGCGCAACCTCAAAGTTCATGCCAAATTCACGACTGGAGCTTCCGCCATCGGTCCTTCCGTTTCCTTGAACCATGTTGATTATGACGTGCGGGCGTATATTGATTCAATAGCAAGTTCGACAAATAGTACTCAACTAGGGCTCTGAAATGGTTCCCAGCAGCTCAAGAAGAAATTGATCGCAGGGAAAAGAGACAGAACGCGATGCGACAAGGGCTTGTTTATAGCAGGAAACCTGAGGTTTTGATTTGAGATAGTAGGCTTGAGGAGCTTGTTGAGTGAGTGAAGACATCGAAGAGAGGCTTCTTCCAGGGCCTTCATATATGCGTCGTCTCGTATATAGCAACGGATCGCTAGGGTGCGATATAGGAGTCTCGAATCGAACCAGGAAAGTACACAAGACGGCAATGTTCTTTTGCCACCACGAAGGAACTAAGATCAATAGACACTGGGGGGTTCCAGTAACCGGGATCTGCAGAGGCCCCGTATGCCCCTAGGCTGCGGAATATTGAATGTTACCAGACGTTGGGTACAACTAAACCTGCACGATCCTGCAACAGGGCGCTTGCATAGACGATATCCGCTTGAGACGATTTATTTGTCTGCGACTTGACGTTTTCTTTTTTTCTCCTCCCTTCCCCACTACCCAGATCAGCTACAGTTCGTGGTTTTTGGTACGCGTCAATTTGGGTCCCGTTAGCGCGGGTAGAAAGGAGAGAACCTGGACAGTCCCAGAGTTGAACTTCGGGCCCCAGAGATCGAAAAGCAGGAGCAGACTGCGATGTCACAGTGCGAATCCATGCCAGGGGATCTGGTTCTGAAGCTTAACATCACTCGACCCAGTTGGATCAACTAGTGGCTATCGGATGTATGACGATCAAGAACTATGGTTCGTGGCAGGTTTGTTTTTTCATGCATTTCTTTACTTTTTCTGGCTGACATTGTGCTTCCATGGCTTGCTCCGCCCGCGAACCATTTTGCTCCATAGGACGACTGCATATGGTTTGGGGAGGCGGAAATGGTCCCGTGGAGCGAAAGCTAGAGCCTGGGTGAGGAAGGATCATTCCTCATTAGTCTCCTTGCATTGACCTCCCGGGGAAATTGCGAGATCGAGCTAGGGATCTTGAGATACGGGTGCTAGGATCCCTTTCCCAGTTACCCAAGCGCCGGATACCAAGCCCGGAAACTCAAATCTGTTGCGCAAAATCCGAGCTTTGGCGACTCCTGCTTACTACCTGGACCGTGCCGGAACCACGTTTTCGACAGCTCCCGGCCGGGTGCTCACTCGTGCAATACCTATCCATCCTGCTCCCGTCTGTACTTTTGTCAGACCGTGACTTGGGAGACTTGTCTCAGATGGCGGATCTCCGGGACTTTCAGAGCTATATTGTCCCTGAGAATCTGAAGCGTCCCTTTCGCTCATCTACCCGGTCCAGCGGTCAGAACCCAGGCTCAGACCCAGGAGAGCGGATCCGTCTAACTAGGGCCTGGACTGGTCATGGAGTATCCACTAATTTGACATTCCAGACTCCAAAGCCCGAGCAAGGTAAACAGAGGCGATCCGACAAGGACGGGAACGAACAAGGTCTTGTCGCACTGCAGAAAAGGAGGGGCGATTGGGCGTCAAGCCCCAGGGGCTACTTCGCCACACAACATACCCTTTTGGGTCTAGATCATCACACCAGCCACATATCCCTTCCAGCCTCAATTATGGCTGGTGTGTTCCCCAATGTAATCCCGAGATGCATGATAGGCTTTTCAGTAATAGAGGAAATAACCTTGGACTCCGTCCTAGTAAACTCTTTCTAAAATGTTGTTGCCTTGCATGAATCCCTAATGGCGCTCCTGACACCAGAGTGTGCTCGTCCAGCAAATGGCATTCCCCCCAAGGTCTCCGTGAGATAGACCCGAATTATGCCGGCCGGGATGATACTGCAGATGCCTCTTGGTCCCACTGTCTCCGAGTCCACACAACATGCAGATCTTCTTTCTGTATTTGGGGTCTCCGGCCGGGTGAACGGTGGGTCCACTGCATGATACCCAGTACAACGGTGTGCGTGCAAGATCTAGACCCTGGGGTCTTCACAATCAGGACTCCGTATCTGAAGTGGTGACATGTAGTTTCTGCATTTCAATTATCGCACTGAGCTCTCAGTATCCGATTGATCCCACTTCACAAGATCGGGGTTTGTCTTGCAGTGAGATAAGCGTGCAGTGTGCCGTGTTTACGTTCCTGAAACTTAGCTTTGAAAAGGCCGCGAACGATCAATACGCGGAATACCGATCACACGAGAGGCCGTGACTTCCGCTGGCCTTGAGATCATCGAATCTCATTTCATCATCAATAAGATCAAGCTGGTGGTCATCGGGAATGCTTGCTTTTTCAGACACCAATCGTTGAATGTTTCTGCAATGCAATGCAAGATCGATCGGCGCTACTTCCTCCTGTAGGCTCCATGCTCGGGATGCATGGGACGAGGCATTCTGCATGATGATTGGGCGGCTGCGCTATGGTTCACTAGTAGCCACTTGTGGCTGACACGATGATCAACGGTCCATCTGTGGCGGTGTAGTGAACCCCCTGCCTTCCTTACGTTGCGGCGGGTGTGGCTAGTGGCCATCCGGAACTGTCATAGTCCAGCAAATAGTCCCGAATTGTGGCGTCGGGCACAACCTGGAACATCCTGCAAAGGGAGAGCTCTTTCACCGCATTTACTGCAGGTGATGTGTTTGTTTCTGATTCCGTGATCCGAATAGCACTTGCAAAGTGATCGAATGCCAGGGTCACCCATGCTTGAAGGTGACTTAGTTATCTTTCATCAATGCTGAAAGACATCGTTCCTCACCTCTCCAACCCCCTAAATCCCCGTCTATTCCACTAGCGTCTACCGCTTACCCTTCGGCGTGGGTGCCACACGGTACGTACTCTGCTTACTGACATGACTCGAGTTCGTGATTTCACCCACCATGTGACATCCATGATCAGTAATCTGAGAATAGGCAAGTTATGGATGCAGCGAGGCATCCCCAGCTCACCCGCCCCCTTTTGCCTCTGTTCAAGGGGAACAACCTTGCTTATCTTTAGGTGTGCGATACCGGTATGGTCTGAAATTGTCGTAGGAGTATTATTCCAGATGCCGATGATATGGTACGCATGGCTTAGCGAATCATGTTACTGCTCCTTTGCTTTTCTGTCCTTCCAGACATCAGCAAGAACTTGGGGGGGGGGGGCATCACCGTGCATGTAACCCTCCATGAACGTGGTATCCGGTCGATCATCGTTTGGCAGATCTTAATCTATACGAGGCTCGGGCTCCGCAACAAATCCCGCAACAAATAGAGCACAAGATGTCGGAATGAGGCAATTCAATGCCATGAAGTGTATGTGATTGCAGCAGACTCAGCAATTAGAGGTGGCGATCCCTGCGGTAGTATATCCATCCCGCTCTGGCTGGAGCCTGAGTGCCGATTACAATGAGCCCAGCGGCTTTAGGAATGCAGTGTCCCGGTAAAAAACATTGCTAAACACCCATCTTGCCAATTTTTTTTAAACCATTTTTCGTTGCCATTCTTTTACCCTTGCTCCTGTTCAGCCGGGGATCGCTTCATGGAAGAATCACATGGATGTGGGCTGATGGTGTCACAGATACAGCAAATTCTATGTAGCATATGTATCAGATATCACACGTATCAGGGAACTAAATAGGGCAGAGGATGTTTTCCGTTGCTACCGCCACATGGGACATGCCCTGTGTATTCCTGTTCTGGACCGAAGAAAGGCTAGACGGCGATCCGAAGCAGTCAAAAGTACAGGGCTGTGATTCACAGGGACCCAACAGTGATTGAAAACCTTCCGGCAATCTGGGACGACGCTGGCCTTCGCAGACAACCTCATAATAATTTCAATCAGCCACTGAGCGCCTTTGACCAATAGTGGTAGTGGATGTCAGCCCTAGAAGTGCTAACCCCACAAGCAGCCGGCGGTATGTTTCGCCGCGGGCATCGTAGAAGTGTAGTAGCTATCCCGGTACTTGGTAACTGTGTCTTTGACCCAGAACCGGGGTTTAGGTATAGGATATGGGTCGTGTAACCTAAAGGAAAAACAAACTTCAGTAGAATTTCCCTGTTTTCGCCGAGCCTGGTAGCAGGCCAATGAATAGAGTAGAATCCAGGGGGCGATGCAGAAAAGGGGGAAAGCCTCGTTGCGTTCAATTATTGAAGCAGATGAGAGGTAGTCCCCTTATTCGATTGAAATTTGGGCTGGAGTGCTCGGTTGTGCTGGCGATGCGAGGGCCATCAGGGGATCTCGACCATTGCAGCTTTCATTAATCCTTCCATCACTAAAGGAACGATCTGGGGCAATGATGGATCCCAGCATTAGAGGATACATTACTAGAAGAAAAAAGAAACGAAAAAGAAAACCTAGAGCCTTTAGCCACGTGTGCCATTCAGATGATTTGAGCGTGAAAGGAAATTGGGAACCGATTACTAGGCTATGAGCCTTGGTGTTGATGAAACAAAAGGGAAGAGTGAGGCGAGAGAGTGAGGCGGCAAACCGACCATCTACGGTCACCTGATCTGGACATCACTCACTTAACACGAGCAGAACAGAAATTCCCAAATGAAGAAAAGCAAAGTCATCGGATTCCTCCGTGGGATATAAGTCTAAAATGCAGGAGATGTAGTTCTCAAAGCTGACGCATGCCCACTATATCCAGGTTATCTGGCTACTGTAACCTTGGACAAGCCTGCGACAAATATTGTCTAGATTAAACACCACTCGTCGATCATCAATGTAGTGCACAGAAAGCTGATCTGACGCCTATTTTTAAAATCAGGCTTGCTGAAAAGGACAGGAATATCGCGAGAGCTATAGAAAAACCCGACACTTTGGTTCCAGAAATCAGACTATCATTCTTACAAACCCTCCGCCGAGAATAGCGAAGACGGCCACCAGGACAAGGCATATTCTTGTCTTTGAATTTTGGGCAATGTTAACATGTCCCCGCCATGCTCTATGAATACCAGTTTCAGTGGCTGCGTATTTTCAATATGCAATAGCTACTTTTGTCAAGTGTGAGATATTATTCGAATATCTTTAAGATAACCTCTGTGAATTAGTCTGAGACCGCCAGCTTCTTTTTTAGCGCGATGAGCTAAGAAGAAAGATATACCTCCAGGCTTACCCTGGCCATTACATGAACCTAAGGAAGAAAGGAGCTTTTCTTTGGCATCGCTACAACTATGCTTGAACGGACCAATCCCTAGAAGGTTACTGCTCAGGATGGAATCAAACAAACGGAGTGGTTCTGTAGCATGAAAAACAAGACAAGGCATTCACAAAAGCACTTATAATGGGATGAATTGTGTTATGTATGCGGATAGTCAATAAGAGTAGAATCGACTGTACTTACCATAGAGACGACACCCCGTACATAGTGTCGTTACAATGCTGCAAAGGTTATCACACAACCATGTTGAGAGCAAGTCTTCGTAAAGACATTTCGAGACAAAGTAGCCTTGAGCAGATTCTGATACTGACAGGGAGTTCATATAACGGTGTAATCAGCCGCATAATTACCAATATGATCCGACTCGGAAAACCGCCTCTGACGAAAGGTATATATGACTGGTGGTTGAGTAGCCGAAGGTATTTCTCAGCTACCACGCAAAATGTCTCTCGATAGGTACATTGTTAGCCATGAGCGGCTTTATTAGGTTGATTTGAATACTATGGCTCGAAAATGGCTTGGTGGTAGAACATCATGCAGTATTGCGGAGAAAAAGCGAGCAGAGTCTTGCTATATATTTCGTCTTATTCATTTATATTTTGTCTTTATGATGACCCACCTCTTATCTGGAGCACATTATAACAATGACAAGTTGGTTGCTCAAATCCAAGGTAAGGTCAGATTGTAAGCAAGGTGCACAAGTTTGTCAGAGTCCGGGGGCTGCGAGAGTTTCGGATCAGTGACTTTGTTGTGCGGCGCCAGCCATGCCTTCCTTCTTCTTGCGCTTCCCACACACCGCAAGACATTCTCCAACTAAAGCGAGTGTGGTCTCCCGGTATACGGCTTAGGATGGTGTATGCTTTATATTGTTACCAGGATGACTATCCCTTGCTTGTTATTCAATAAGGCTCCTATCAGATGGCACCCGTCTTGATGCATCTATATCATTCCCAATCCATCCCTCGATCATCTGAAAACGCCCATGCATCTTCTATGCAAGCCTCACGATACATTGATCTCAAGGCACTGCTTCAGCTTTTTGCAGGCACAGTGTTATTTTTTATTGTTTCGGTTTTCTTCTGGAAACTTGCGAAGTTCTCTCGTTTTCTCACCCAGGGAAAAGTGCTTAAGAAAGGAAACAAAACTACTACACGCTATAGCAGAACTTGGTATGGTTGGGTTTCAGCAAAAAGACACGAGGAGAACAAAGCGCTAGCACGGAAATGTCTGCAAAAGCTCTATAATTGCGCAGTCTGGAGATCGTCGAGTGTTGACTATCACTGGGTTTGGTGGGATCCTGGACAGAAAATGCAGAAGAGGTTTTGCGAAGAAAGGAGGCACCGGCGATGGTTACCGACATGGTTCAAGAGCTATAGCTACATTGCTGCTGATACAATATGGAACCCAGGGCCCCCTTCCCGCCACAGCAACGCTACTACGTCGGATTTTTGCAGTGGATATGCTTCTCTCAGAGCTATGACCGGGGCGCTTTCGAAAAGCCACACACCTGGATCTATTACAAGTCGAACAATCTACTATGCACTTGGAGCAAGCAATATAACGAGCTCGTCTAGCCAATCGCTTTTTCAGCGTGGCTGTCGGCGACCGTCAACGAGAGTAAAGGCAAACCAGAGCCGCCAGTATCGAAGCGAATGCATAAGAAAGTGCACGTTCGAACGGGGGCATCTCAAACACACGAGCAACATCGATACGCATCAACACCAGTCACACTTTTTCTCCAGCACCAGTGTCATGCGCTCGGATTTGGCAGGTCGTGGCACGGAAAATACACGCAGTCTGTCGCTTCCATGCCTCTTCAGCCAGAAGTATGAAAGTACGCTCGTCTCCAAAGCGTCACACAGCGCCAAGCCAAGTTTTCCAAAAGGCAGACTAGAGGCGGCGAACAAGCCCCGAGATTTTCGCAAGCTTCAAGTCTGGTCTGCTCGGATGGCACTGCAACCGTCCCGATATACAGAGCTTCTAGGACCACCTGCAGGGACTCCGCGATCTGGGCTTTCTGCCACCAGTTCGTCCGACCAGACGCCTGTATCAGTTCTAACCCAAACAGGGTGCAAGGAGGCGACCTCAACGAAATGCAGCACATTAGTCCTTAACCATTCTAGCAAACATAATCATGTCAAGAATGTGGAAGTAGCGGGGAGTGTTATTCATGTTGCTGGTTTAGCTATGCGATACCCTGCAGTCCCTGCATGTAGTCGATCAAGCTTACCATGTCGTCTAGAGGCCCGCCCCCGTACTGCATTAGGTTCGGAAGAAGGAAGGGAACCAGATCGTTGCACGCGACAGAAGAAGTTACTGTGCATCCATCGCTCTAGAGCAAAGGAGGCCCGGGAGAGAAAGAAGCGGGAACTGAAAGGACTTCTGGAAGGGATAGTTCCTATTAGCGAGCTGACTCGTTGGGAGATACAGTTCATAGACGGACTGGACCGGAAACTGGAGTGGCTCTACAACCAGCTTTGTCCAGGCCGGAGACCCTACCATTTCGCTTTGCTTGCAAATCACTGGCTCAATATAGAAACCTGGCTTGTGGTCGACCCACCTACGCGAATCTCTATCGAGGCCAGAAGGCGACTGGGGGATCCAAGGTTCAACTCGCCATACCCCAACCCAGACTGGAGCGCGAAACCAAAGTACCCAAGGGTGTCACGCAAAGCAGTCTACACGCCTAAAATCAACTCATGGAGACTAGCTGTTAATCGACACAGAAAAGCGTCTGGATTACGTGACATGGTCAAGACAATCAGATTTTACCACGATTCGACAGATGATCCCCCGGACGGTAAAGTTGACCCATCCTGCTGGATGCTTCGCAGACCCCCGCAAGGACCGTCCATGACAGCTCGACAAAGGAAAATGTATTATGAAGGGGGGGCAGGATGGCAAGAGACATTCGATGATTGGCAAAAGATCCGCCATGGCTATCTGATTCGGAAAGCCATCCACGAAGGCAGGGCTAACAGAACAAGAGCAAAAGAAATTGCCAGAGCGATCAGTCGGTGTTCTCATATGGCAACGACAAAAGGCTCCTGATCTGCAAATGACTTTCATGTCTGGTCTGCTGACAGCACAGCACGGGTTTGGCAGGAGTTGTGTGGCTGCTCTGCAAGCAGTTCGGATGTGTCTACTAGAGCGGGTATATATCTGTATGAAAAGTGCGATGTACGGAACAGATAACATGATCCAGCCGCTTTATAGCCTATCTGTATTGTTAAGCTGCCTTCTGGCGCTGCCCTCGGTTCCCAACAACCGTCTATCCTTACAAATCTGAAAGGTGCCATCAAATGCCAAGTCTCTGAAATCGAATTGAATCTTGTGCCCTAGGCTTAAATAAAGAACATGGTAAATAGCGAGGCGAACAATGCAGTCATGGTGTCATTCCCCAGTTGCCGAAAACTCCGGTAATCCTTTCCGTGCCTTCCACGAGGCTTCTTATAGAGCATCGCGGCAGACACAGCGTGTGGTGTATAGTACAGTTGAATAATGCAGGTACAAATATGTAAAAGGCGATTGCCAGCTTCCCAACACAGTCTGCGTGTATAAGCTGTTTAGAAACCCGGAGGGTTCACTCTCTGGCTGACACGGGTCCACTTGGGTAGCTCTGGAAGAGACATAGCATTAGCACACGAAATTTGAAAAGAATACCCTTTGTTTGAGATCCTCGATTGGGAAAGGCGGTCCATCGACGACGCAGAAAAGTCCAGGAGTATAACGTACTGTGAATGCCCTTGCGGTACTTCTTCTCCTTCTTGTCGAACAGTGTGTACTTGTCCTTGGGCAGCATCTCCTCCTCGCGAGGCATTTCCCTGTACCAGCGCTCGACGGCCTTGGTGGTGTATCCATTGCGCTCCAGCGCGGCGGAGACAGTGTCGACAACCCGGTCAACACCACGGAGGCGCTTCCTCTGACGAGCCTTCTGAGGTTGGGAGAGACGCCACGGGATCTTCCTATTTGATTGACGAGTGATATTAGCTTCACGGTGCATGACGATGATGAGGGTGGAATAGCAATGCGGGATGTCCGGGCGGGTGACAGGGGGCAGTCAGATGGGGTTGCGACCTACCAAAGAAGACCCGAGAAGAGGGGCGACGAGGGCTTGAACATCATCTTGGCGATTGACACCGAATATAGACACGGAAAGAGGGACGAAGAGAACGAAGGAGTGGGAGGCAAGCTATCAATCACAACGAGCGGAAAGCCGAGTTGGCGGACGAAAATCCCGTCGAGGAGGTTTGGGGAGGTCCGTGCACGGCGAACCTCCGCGGGCCAACAATTGATTTCCTTCCCCCGAATTTCTGCGAGGCCAATGAAGATGCCACCTGCTTTCACGCCGTCGATCCGGGGTTGTTCCCCCCTCCTCTCCTCACTTTCTGCCTGTGCTGCACTGCATTATATTGCTGCCTGTCTTCCTGTTACTGCTTGGATGGACATCAGTTAGAGCGGCTTGAGTGAACAATGTCGCGCTCTACGGATTCTGGCGGCGCAACGGCCGATGCGCCCTCACTTCCCTGGAGGGCCTTGTCCTCCACCACCATTTTCGGGGTTGCCGCATTATGCCGCTCGTTTCTATTCCTCTGCAGTCGGCCACAGGCAAATGGATTGGATCAGTTCCTCGAGCTCCTCGACTCGAGGAGTGATCCCTCGCAGAGAACCAGAGGCTTGCTCACAGGTATGCTGTCTAGACTTTTCGTTTAACGTCCCTGTGTTTAAAAGATTATATGTCGGCTAACTGTTCTGACATATTAGTTTCGAATCATACCAGCGTGTACGTGCCTACATTGCGTCTCGAAAGCCGAGGCGACCTGATCAACTCCGACGTCAGAGAACGCTGACCATGGCCGCTTTAATTGAGCAGGATGGATGATCCGATCATGTGGGGATTTCTGCCAATGCGATATAACTTTGGGCTTGCGTCCTGGAATAAACGATGGGGGTTTGGAAGCCACGACATCTGCTATCAGACTAGGTATGGCAGGACTATTTGCTTGGTTCCAGCTCTCAGAATATCCGTTACTGACTGACCGGACTGATGTATAGGCCATTAGCACTTTTCTTTACTATGGGCCAAGTCCTGCCGACACACCGATCGGCTCATTCGCAATACGGTGGCCTCGCCCAGCCTGTCGTCACTCAGGCGATCCGACTCCTGTCGAAGGGGCCATTCCCCGCTGACCCTCATCTCGCTATCCCCGAACGTCAATCGTGGAGTCTACAGAATGTCTGCGTCGATCCGTTTTCCGATCTACCCACAGCGTACACCACCGATGGCCATGACTCCCATCTATCGCCGTCCTCTTACGCCTGCAACTCGTATTCCTGGTTCCACATATTCCCAGAGGGAAAGATCCACCAAGCGCCGAACAAGACTATGCGCTACTTCAAATGGGGCGTGGCACGACTTATCCTCGAGGCTAGCGAATGCCCGGATGTGGTACCGATATGGCTAGAGGGCTTTGACCAGGTCATGCACGAAAGCCGCGAATTCCCACGGTTCCTGCCTCGTGTCGGAAAGGAAGTCAGCATCACTTTCGGGCAGAAAGTAGATAGAGAGGCGGTTTTCGGGGAATACAGAAGGCGTTGGCAGAAGATCAGGGCCAAGGCTGAACGTGTAGCCCCGGAGACTCGCGACTTGCCGTTTGGAGTGCTAAACGACCAGCTTTTATATGACCCTGAAGCAGTTGAGCTGCGAAAGGAGGTCACCAAGAAGGTCCGGGATCTCGTTCTCGATGTCCGGCGGACTAGGGGATTGTCGGACGAAGACCCGAAGGAAGGCCTGGTGGAGACATGGATGCAAGAGGGCCCTAAGCGCGAGGGTAAGATGGACGATGATTCATGGGTCCGCGACATTTGACGATGTGCATTATTGCGAAGCAACAAAATCCTGTACAATAGAACATTGCATACTAGAACAAAAATATGGGCACAAGCGACATTCAATACTATCCCTTGTCTTCTCCACCGTAGCCTATCAACTAATGAAGACTCAAGCTGGCTATACAGCAAGTGAGTAATTGACCAATGACTCATTGTTACTCATAGCAAGCTATCTAGTTAACTAACAAATTAGCTAGTCAAATGAGGGCCCAATCTTACTAAACCGAGGGGGCGAAACCAGCTGCGGCGAAACGATAAGATGAGAGGAGCTCCGCCGATCGGCCTCATCCCACTTCTGCCACATCAAAACCTCGCCTTGAATTCGCTACTCTCTTCCATCCCTATGCCCAAAAAGCACAAGAAGACCGCCTTTGCGAAACCAGCCAGCACTGCCCACCATACCCTTGCTTCGTCCGGCCCTCGACACGACCACTATGACCGTCTTCGCTCATCCCACGCTTCATCCTCTTCCGCGGAACAACCCTCCGTCAATGACCTGATTCACCACCTTCGCCGCACGCAGGTCTCCAATGGACCTGAAAGCCCCTTCAGATTTGTCGCGCCCCGATCTGTACATCCCTCTCTACGGAATCTTCTTGAGCTACCGGAAACCCCGCCTCCTCGGCCCCGTCCGGGATCGCAACGCCTAGGAATCGTTGGCTCGCGACGCTTGCGACGGACGGCCGGACCACCACCACCAGAGAGCTGGCTCCTGGGCAGCCGGGATGACGCGGAGGAAGATGATGTTGATATTGCTGCGGCGGAGAAAGAAAGAGTCATCTACCGATTAGATCGTCTACCCGGCACGTCCTACCCTCCCAAGGGCAGCCTTATCGATACGGTACTCAGATCGATGGCTACATATTGGGATTGGCATGTTGAATATGATGGTCCGTTCCTGGCAGCTCTTCCAAATCACCTCAAAGTGCGCCTCCTCAGCTACATTGCTATATATGCGAAGGACCGACCACTAGGCGGGCTCATGCGCGGTCTGCGACCTCTATTCGAGAAGGCCCACGCCAGCGATAGCCCCGAGATTCATCAAGAAAGCGAGTCCGAAGTCAACCGTCTAGACCTAAGCAGCGCCATCGGTCGATGGCTAAGCTTGAAACAACTCTCCGCCGAGCTCCTCGTCACCGAAAAACCAAGTTCCATACAGCGCAAGCCCAAAGAATCCGTCCCCTCCTCCTGGGAAGAGGAATACGACGACGAAGAACAAGAGGGCAACACCACCACTCCAACAGCAAGCAATCCCACCACTCTCCTCCATACCCCATCCCCAACCCTCCGCTTCTCCAACCTCCGCTACCTCTCCCTGGCACATCCCAAACCTGGCACCGTAAACTGGAACTCCCTCATAAGCCTCCTCTCCCGCCTCTCAACCATCACCCACTTATCTCTCGCCCACTGGCCCATCCCAACCGTCACCCCGAACGCCATCAATGCCCGAATCCGCCACCCCAATCACCGCTCCCTAATCTTCTCCTACGGCGGCACAGACACCTACTCCGCCAGCGAAAACAACTGGGCCGAAGCAGCAGGTATCCTCCGGCGCCTCTCCCGCGTAACCTACTGCCTGAAATGGCTCGACCTCGAAGGCTGTGGCGACTGGATCCCAGCCCTAAAATGGCAAGACAACGAATCAATCTCAACCGCGTACGCCTCCTCAGGCCCAGAATGGAATACCTCCTGGAGAGACATTGAATACATCCGTCTCGGACCAGGCTGGCTTCCCCATATCGATGACGCCGAGTTACTCCCCGAGAACAGTATCAGCCAGAGCGGCTCCTCCTCCTCGTCTTTATCTTCGCCTACCCGCTCCTTGGCCTTTTCGGCGCATGCGCCGCTCTCACCGCCGCCACCGCATCCGGCTCTTGCGGGCCGTCTAGGAGATGCGGAGCCAGCGTCGGATCTACCTTGGGATGTGGAGGTCGAGCGGATTAAGTATCGGAGGGGGAAGGAGCTAGAGCGATTCCGGGAGACGGTGCAGGCTGCGAAGGCAGTCCAGCAGTGGGTTTTGAGATTGAGGAGGGAGGGGAAGGGAAAGTGGGTGCAGTTCTCTTTTGGGTTGGAGGGGATTGAGGAGGATGGGTTGAAGAAGTTGTTTGGGAAGGAGTGGGTGGGAATCTTGCCTTGATGGAGGTGGTGAGTCCTATTCATCTATGCATATATATAGGGGCTATTGGAAGGTGGCAGGTATGCGTATGGGTCGTATAGTTAGATTAGTATAGTACCTATGGCCCAGTAGGTCATGTTGATACTGTGGGAGATAGGTGTTATGGGACATGTTAGGTCCTGGTATATACGTTACTTCATGGAAAGTACTAATAGTTCTTATGAGATGATGATGGAAGAATACCTACAACTTTGAAATGAAATACAAGTGGCAGATTTCATGATTTGACATGACATACAATTATTGGAATTGGAGTTCTATATGCACGCACTATCCCAAACCGAATATGATGAACTTTTTCCCATGGAACCAAGAACAATATGTACATAATCCCTCATTTACCCACCACCGATCCCCTACAGCTACAAGACCTATTTCCGACCCCGATTGAACGTCTTCAACGGATCAACCTTTCTAACACCTGACGGCTTGCGGCCCTTGCCCTTGGCGCGGTTCTTATCTCTAGCCTTGCGGATACGGTTGTCGCTGGATTTCCGGAACCCAACGAAGCCGACGTCCTCACTGGAAATGCCCTTGCGACCCTTGGACGGCATCAGGTATTCGGGGATGTGTTTGAGGTGGGGTTGGATACGTGCGGAGCGCAACTCGCCATCGTGACGGAGCTGGCGCAGCTCATCGGGGTTGTCTTCGAAGTGGCGCTTCAGTTTCTCGCTCTTGACCAGCTCCTGACGGATCTCACGAGCACGGGCTTCCTGAACGGCAAGTCGGGTGATGGCGCGAAGACCGTCGGTCATACGGTAGCGGAAGGCGTCGACTTGACTCATCTCAAAGTGGTAGGGCTTGACTTCGTGGCCATGTTTGGATTGTCGTTTGACGATCTTGGCCAGGACGGCTTCATCATGTTTGGCGGTGGGGAAGGAAGTGGGTTTGTGCTTTCCGTACTGGTCTGCCGGGACGACGAACGAGAGCGCCATGCCGGTCTTGCCGCCACGGCCGGTTCGTCCAATGCGGTGTGTGTAGGATTTGGCGGTTGTGGGGAGGTCAAAGTTCAAGACGCAGGCCACGTTCTGGAAGTCGATACCACGAGAGATACCATAGTCCTTTTCTTTCGCGGTAAGCTTGCGGCGCTTATCGGGACGATTCGACTTCTTGTCGTCTTCAGCCTCTTCGTCATCACTCGAGCCCATGACACCAGCAGCTTCCTCCTCCTCATCGGCACCGGCATTCTTGGCCTTCTTAGACTTAGATCCGAGGACTTCTTGGTCATCTGCAGCAATGATGATGTCGTAAACACCCTTGTTGAACTCCTGGACGACGTGGATTCGGGAGTTCACTGGCAACTCAGAGTTGAGCACACAGCTCTTGACGCCGAATTGTTCCAGGAAAAGCTTGAGGCGATAGCAACGGTCGATGTCTCCGACGAATATGATGACTTTGCCCTTGATGAGCTGAAGCTTGAAAATAACATATGTCAGGAGGAATTTCTCATCCTCTGCGCATCTGATGAGCGAAACAGTTAGTATGAGGCTTGCAAATCCTTCGCCGTGTACATGTGAGGCTTACTTGACGACAAACTGGCTAACACCGGCGCCTTTCTCCTCCTTATCCTCCAACTTCAGCACAACAGGGCTGCGACAGAACAATCCCTTCAAGGTATCCACTTCCGAGGTGAGCGTAGCACTCATGAGGAAGGTCTGTACGCCACGGGGGATCGCCTTGGAAAGCGCATTGATGTCTTCATCGTATCCGTATGAAAGGACCAAGTCGGCTTCGTCGATAACGAGGTGCGTCAGGTTATCCAGCGAAAGAGAGGAGTTTCCGAGGTTGGCAATCACACGAGCGGGGGTGGAGATGACGATATCAGGGTAGTCAGAGAGCATAGTCCGCTGTACGGCCTCGGAAACCTTCTGAGTCAAGTTCACAGAGCGGACATCCTTTCCGCAGAAAGCAGCGAATGTGGTGACGACTTTTTGGACCTGTTCTGCAAGCTCTCGAGTGGGGACGAGGATGAGGCCAGTGGTGGCTTTCAACGAGGGGTCGGCCTAAAGCATGATACAATTTAGCTTGTCTCAATTTTTTAATTCATCTTCCCTGGAAAGTACTGACAGCTTTCTTCTGAAGAATGGTCTGAAGAATAGGGAGGACATATGCGGCGGTCTTTCCGGAGCCGGTCTTTGCACGAGCTGGTATTGTTAGTATACTCATCATCCACCACAGGCACCAGGATGTACGCACCAAGGATATCTTTGCCTGCGAGCGCCAGAGGAATAGCCTTGGCCTGGACGGGCGTAGGCTTGGTGAACTTCTCTTTGATCAAGGCTTGGCGCAGTCGCGGATCCAGGTTGAGGCTTTCAAAGTCGGCCTCGTCCGCATCGGAGGTCTCCTTAGTCTCCGCAACTTCGGGGGAGGGAACATCGTTAGCATCCAACTTGCGCTTCATTGTGGCGATATATATTCCCAGGTTTCACTGCAAGTTCAAGGGAAGAGAGTCTGGGGAAGCTGGTGAACGACTGGAAAGTTTTCCTCATTCAAGCGGGCTGGAAAATCCGTCGGGCGGTGAGATTTTCCGAGGTTCTGATTTTGGACGAGCTCCACTTGCGCTCCACCGATAAGCCCATCTGCTGCTATCGCATCTCCATTCTCTCCTGCGAAGTACATTCGAGTATCTCTCGCCGTCTCAAGGGTTAGCCCGCTGAATACTTTCTAGTTCTGAGCCATGTCACGATTCAGGTGCCAGGTAGCAGCCTATCAGGCCGACCCGTCGCTCTTTCCTTCTGCCTATGGCCTCGCTCCTTTTGCGCAATGTCCCTTTCTGAGAGAAATCCACGTCGTGGCTGCTACAACTTCCTCTGCAGCTTATCGACTAACCTAACCTACCACTTGCGTCAGATACTATCAATTCTATTTTACTCTCACTTCCATTATGCTTCCTAGAAATATCCGTACTGCTAGCTTCTCCGCTGGAGATGATCTGGATTGTCCCACTACAGGAGAACGCAGTTCACACAGCCATCCACAGGGCTTCCCACAGAATAAAACATCTGGGCACATCTCGAAAAATGTTTCAGGCCTACCTCTGAGCATTACAGAAAATTCCTTGATAGGTAATGCCAATCATTCTTTACGGAGAGTAGTCTCGAATTCAGAATCCACACCGCACAGGAAGGAAGACGGGATAAGGCAGAATACAGTTAAGGATGCAAAATTCCTTCCTAAGAAACGCAAATGGGGACCCCACATACCTCCAGTTGGTAATATTGATATGGCCGAGGCTTACATAGCACAGAAGGAATGCTATGAGCAGCAGAAGTTGATCGCTGCAGACAGGCTCAAGGTGCAACGGTTGCGTGCAACGATGTGGGAGCAGAGAGAAGAGGAAACGGCTTTAAGGGATTCGATCAGAAGTCATCTCAGTAATATCACATGCTGCAATTGCCAATCTACTGCAGAGCTCATTGAAAAGGATTACGCTGCTCTCCGGTCAATCGCACACTATTATTTGGATTTGGAATACCAGTATAACCAGTCTGAGGATGACTTGGAGGAGCTTGAACACGAACTTACCCGCTCAGCCGCCCGACTTAGCCGCCTGTTCCACCCGGTCGATGATAGGAAACCCCAAGGCGTTAGGACTGATAGAGGGGCTGCGCGTCCTATTTTCCATTCTCGAAGCTTTGATTCTCAATCGGTCCCACTGACCACATCTGAGAGGAAGGACTCGCAGCAGCAGCCTCAACCAGTCACATCGCAGGTGCAGGAATCCATCCTCTTTAATGATGCAGAGAAAGACTCGGATTCATTTTCTCAAAGAAGCATGAGTTCTGTAAGCCCAGATCATAGTTCACGACGAGATTGGGACAAGACAGAAGCACGGCCACGCTATGACATCGCCGACTTTGAGTCCGACCTTGACGAGATAGCCCAAAGTGCTCCAGGATCCCCAAGGGATGCAGCTCGCTCGTTCGGCGTGCGCAGTCATTCTGCACCTGACCTAGTCAAAGACCCGTTCAAGTTGGAGTTATATGAAAAGTCCTCCCCTTTTGAACAGAATGATTTCGATAGCCCTGAGTCGCCGTTTCAGCGACGTAAGTTCATCGACAACTGGATTCTTCACCAGGTTCGCACCTCCTCGCTGGAAAGTGCACGCTTGAGATCCCAGCCCGAATGGGAGACCTTACGCGCCCAAGGCTTGACCGATGAAGAAATCAGTCAATTGGCTCTTGAATGCTGGCACTCGCATGACCCAGGAGCAGTGGTATCTAGTGGTTCCACAATCAAACCGTCTAGAAAATCGGAACAAGCCAGCACTGTTATATGGCGCGGGACCTGCCGGTCTTTCAACCATCGAAAGAGAACTAATTCCATGGCTTTTGGTGCTCGGCCACAGCTCCGCCGCATGTCTCGCTATGATCCCGCCTGGCGTGGATTTGGGCCTGATGATGAGGGCAGTCAGTCAGGGGACGCAGCTAAGGAGAAAGAGTGATTAGTATATGCCATGTTCGTTCTTTAGATAGTGTAGCATAGAATAGGGATTATTGGCTAATCATAGCTCATCGTTAATGACAACATACCAAAATTTAATTATCTTACTATCATCACATAGATGTGATCGGCCGGCAATCGGCACCTGGATGAATACTATAGCTCACATTTGCCAACCTAGAATACAATAGTACTCCTTACTCCACCCGGAACAAGAAAAGGAATAGCAGTTCTATAATAGCCCCTGATTTATGCCTTTTTTACAAGACACATTCTGAAGGTAAACCCAGCCCCAATAAAATACCGACTTGTGTTATATCATCTTGTCAATTTCACTGCTATTAACTGCCATGATCAAAGTTTCATCCCATAGAATCATCATGTATCGTTTCCATACCATATTCACCCATAGTAAAAAACAGCAAATAGAACAAGAAAAATAGTAGCAAAGCACAAGCATTATGTACATCCATTGCATATCATATCATATCATACCATATCAAATCCATGACCATATCATATCGAATCATTTAGTGCTTTCCCAATCAAGCAAATCAAGCAAGCAGTAATCAACCAACAAATCAATCACTCTCACTCAAACTATCCCTTCTCCTCCCTCGTCCTCCCTCCCTTCTATACCCCTTACTCAACCCCGGAATTGGGTGGTGATAACTCCTGGTACCCGTATCCTCCGTATCCACATTCGAATACTGATACTCGGACCTCGATGGCGCCGACGACGAGAAATCCAACGGTTCCGTGTAATGGCCCCGCACGGACTGTCTCTCCCGCTTGCGGGGACTACTCGTCCGAGATCCGGAGGACTCACTAGGCGGGGGATTCCGGCGTCGCTCACGCCGACGGTTATGTCTTCTCGCCGAGGGTTCTCGGGTGTGGTGGCGGTCGCGGTCGTCGCGGGTGGGCGCCTGGCTAAGGACTTCCTCGCTGCCGGGTACGAAGGAGAAGTCGCGTCGTCTGCTCTGTTTCCGGGATGGCGATTTTGCAGCAGGGGCAGGATCATAAGCGTAATCGCGGACCTGACTACCGCTGATTTCGCTCTGATTGTAATGACTCGCTGGGTTGGAGAGATCGTAGTCACTGCCATAGTAGGTTCCCTCTCCTTCGCGGTTAATGCCCCCGACTCGGGCGGCCTTTTCCTTTCTGTACGCGGCAACATCCTCGTCGACTTCGTTTTCCCAGTTCGCGGTCATTTCGTCGTCCTTGCGGCGGCGACGGAATTTCTCGCGGAGCTTGCGGCGGCGTTTGCGTTCCTTTTCGGCGGAGGTCGCGCCCGTTACGCCTGTCTTCTCGGTGAGGTTGGTGGCTGTTTCGTCGGTGTAGGTGTAGCCGTCGTCGCTGTAGCCTTTGTGGTAGACGCTGCCGCCGCCGAGTTTGGTGCTCTTCGTGGCGTTGGATAGAGTGCGGCCGTCGGGTCCTTTGCGGCGGAGAACGGTCGATTTGTATTCTTCCCAGTCGCCTTTGCGCCAGATGAACCCGCCGTTTTTGGCCCAGAAGAAGAACCAGATTGCGGCGAGGACGAAGGCGGCGCCGAGGATGGCGAAGAGGGCCATTAGGCCTTTCATGTTGATGTGGCTTGGTTCGACAGTGCCGGAGCCGGGGGCCCAGGTTTGGCTGGAGCGGCCGAAGAGGTGATGGTGAGGGGCATTTTGTTCGTACTGCTTTGAGGTGGTGATGGTGTTTTGGGTGCTGGCGGGGAGGAGGGTGGCAGAGGGGTGGATGGGAGGCATGGTTGTTGGGTTGAAGAGCCGTCAAGAGCTTGGAGCTCTAGACGGGACTCTGGATGAAGGTGATGATGGTTAGTTGAGTTGTGGGATGGTAGATGTATGGGGTAAGATTGGAATGTGGATGCGTACCTTTATCGAGGTTGTCAGTGTGAGATCGAGTTTATGGTTCTTATTTGAATTCCGATCGGTCGGGATACTATGTAGATTGTAGATGGTTGGAATGTGGATCGCACGATGTGGTGTAATGCTAGACAAACTGGTTAGTCTATGCCACGGTGGTAGTGACCAGCTCCGTCAGGGACGGAGAAGGGCAGAATTGAAGACACTCAGCGAGCAGAATGGACGAGCAGCCGCCGAAAATGAGGAGGTTGGAGTAAATGGCGAGGCTGGGGATGACGCCGGTTTGTTTGGGTGTCTGGCGTGGCCCCGGCAACTCGCTTACTCAGCAGCCCTATCTTATCAGGATCAACCATCTAAAACTAAGTCTACAGACAGATAGTCCTTGAGCCTAGAGGGACCGGATCGACAGTGCGTACGTACGAGTCCAATTACGATACTTGCGGTTATTCCCGATGACAGTCTGAATTTGACCAATCTTCTTTACTGGAAGCTTACGGATGCTCAACAAGCAGGGGGCGGGAGGCGACAATGAATCCTGCGCGTTGACAGCGGGGGGACCCTTGAGATTAGCTGGAGTAAAGATAGTACAAACGGAGCCGGAACACTGGGATCGGCGGATGGTTGGCTGTGGATAACACTAGCAGCCCCTGGAAATGGATTTAGTCTCATCCAGGAAATGAGTCACGAGAATTGGGCATCAACGTCCGGAGGATGGATATGAAAGACGGGAAGATTGAGGGATATACCGAGGTGATCGTGGGCTGAGTCGACAGTGATAATCCGAGATGTTCTGACTTATTTACATTTCCGGTGCTCGGGGGTGAGGATGAGAGTATTATTTACCCGATAATTGACAAGAAGCGGTAGATTTGAGTCCGTAGCGCATCAATTTGAGCCAATGGCAATGAATGTAATACTAGTAAGCTAGTATGACGCAGAAACCACGTTGAAGTTATGCCTCACTCAGCCTCAGCTGAGCCGGGACAGGAAGGTCGCCTGATTAGAAATTCCAGGTGTCGCCTTTACTGTCTTGCCCCGTCCGAAGGCATGCCAACAGTATTCGTACAGATGCGTACTAATTGCGCTGTGGATAGGCAATCTCTCACTGGAGCCAGACGTGTGAAAACACGACAGTGTTCCATCAATATGACTCACGGGATCTTTGATTTCTAAAGCCCTTGTCAGGAGGTTAATGTGATTTCAGTGCCCGAGGAAGCTTGTTGAAAAGCAGCAGGAACTGGGTTGAATGATCCATTGACCAACGTTGCCACAAACATGGTATCCAGCCCATCCGAGATCGGAGTACCTTGGAGGAATGGATGTATGATTGATTGTCACAGGTTCATCTATGCCTGTCATTCGCAATCAACAACTGTCAGGACTATAACAAGCCGGAGCAGAGAACTGCGATGCAATTTGTTTGCTAGCGGGCAGTGTTGTCGGGAACCCATTTTCTAGCGTGCTTCGACTCCATCTTCCATGCCGTTTGCTCACCGGAATCTCCACCTGGATAGAGGATCAAGATATCAGCCAGCTAGACGATGCCGGAAAGTGGGGTAGAAGAGCATTCTAGAGTAGAAGACCACTCCTTTATGTCATGGAGAGTTCTATCTGCAAGAAGTTGGAGGAAAGCTTTTCTAGATCTTTGTCTCGCGCAGGACAGCTTAGAATAATCGCATTTAATGGATTTACCTGAATGACACCTATCGAGTTTGCATGAACCCATTTTCCAATTTAACATCGCAAAATCTGGATAGCGAAACTCTTTTTGTCGTTGCCCCTCCGGTTGAGAGATTTTCACCTGCAGAGGCGGACGGCAAGAAGCGCCGCAGTGGAGGCCGCAGTCGTTATTGGGCCGCAACGGGGTTCCTGCCAGCGTCCAGGACTTTTGGGCAGCCAACAAGACGGGAAAGTCTCGGACAGAGCATGGATCATATCTTATTTGATTATTGCAGACCCATGACGATGTTCACTGCTCAGCGCTGATCACACGGAATGGGAAATGACGGATTTGGGTAATGGTTGAGGAAGCTCCCCGTCCATCATCCCCATCCCCATCCCCATCCCCATTCACCATCATCATACATCGTCCTGTTAATCTTGTAGTGGCAGTCAAGGCTGGTCCGTGGTTCGGTTCCGCTCAGACCCAGGGTTCCTCCGATGGAGCCCGGGTTTATTTGGTGGGGGAGCCTAGCGGTTTTATTTCCACTCCCCTGGCGTTATGGCCGATACGCAGTTATGGCCAGTGCCTTTTGGCGTTTCCAATGACGCACTAGTGGTTAGGTTGGGACTTGAGAGAAAATGAGCTTCCGATGATATTCCAAGAATAAGGTCCTAGAATCCATCGTGAATAAGGCTTCGTGCTACACTGTATAGTACCCTGTTGGGAGGCGCGGATCGTTGTCAATCACGAGGCAGGATGATTCCGGCCAGTTGCTAAGCAGTCCTGGTGCGACGCGCCATGACAATGTTGACAGACTAACAACGGACGTTGCACCAAAATGCCAGCTAATCTAGCTCTCCAGCCGAGAAGCAGAAGACAATCTCTTTGACGATGTGCCTTGGCTCATTACTGTGTCACTGTGTCACTCTGTCATGGTTGAGTACCGACGGGGATACCTTGTACAATAAACCGCCATGCATACCCGCTTTTCATCTCTTCGGATACATTGCGCCTTACTATGCATGCACTTAGAGGCAGGGAACGAAGCATGTGACGTATCTGAGGGACTCAACATTTGAGGTTGGGTTTTTCGGGTTTGTTTTTCCTCATCTGACCTGGGACTTGGGACTCAACTGACGAACAGACTCAATGATAAGAAGCCTTGCGCGTACACCTTTGAAGGAGTCCTACACCTTTGAAGAAGTCCGAGTTCTAGGACTGGCAGAAGCTCATGTTGGTAGTTTTGCAGGCAATATCAAAATGTTGAAATGTGTGGATGGCGATAAGCATTCGATGACTGTAATGGATCCGGGGAATAAATGCCACGCGCTCGGAATAAAAGCCTACAGCTTAGGTACCAGGGTTGGATACCCGTGGGAGTGAGTGGGCTCAAAGTATACTCCCGGACATCAATTCCTCGACATTTGGATAGATCAAATCAACTCTGTCATGGAGCGGTTGATGGACTGTGCCTATGGCGCTGATACGCCAATGGATAGAATTGATCCCGACCTTGCATCTGCAGGTGAGTTCCCTGTCGACAGGCCAAATATAAGATCCTGCTGAAGCAGACCCCAGCATGTGTGACGTATGTAAGGTTCGTGGGTGGTAGGAACTGTGTTTACTTCTCAAGTCATCTTCATTCTTGAACCCGGACTTCCTTGCTATACTACTCGCACTGGAGATAGTTATTCCGCAAGTGTGTTTATTCATTGTAGACGCGGGAGAAAAATCCTAATGGACGGTAACGAGCGGTAATACCGGGTGAGTTAGCGGCAGATCAGGCATCGACCGGCAGCCAGTCAGGGTGGCATCCCCACCTCCTTGCGACTCCGTTCCGACTCTCTTTCTTCTTCCATCCAGAAATGCCTCGGATAGAAATGAGGCGCGAGTGGCTGACAGAGATCCGGAATGGAAGAAGGAAGACTAGCAGGGAAGTGTCCATGAAGGCAGAAAAAGGATCGGGAGAATGGAAGGGAAAAAAAACAATGAAGGAGGGATGTCTGAATATGGAAGAAAGGGAAAGCATGTCAAATGTGCAGTTACGATGTCGATACTGTATTGCTCAAAGCATAGTGGGAGGAGCTGTTCTCTTCACCCATCCTTAAGGGGACTTGAAAAAAGAAATCTTTCCAGTGGTACGTAGTAGATAAGTAAATACTTAGTAGTAAGTAAGTATTCGCGTTGAGTCACGATGATAACTTTGATTGGCGTGTGGTGGTATTGTTTTCCTTTGGTTTCGCACTTCGAGTTCGTTAAATCCGATCTGGAACTCTGTAATTCCGCCTTGCATCCGTCCTCGGGTCTGATTCGATCCGAGTCTGTTGGTTTTACACAAGTCAAGTATGAGGGTGGTTTATTATTATTATCCCCTTCACTTTTCTCGATTTTATCTTTCAAATTTTTTACGGAGTAGGGATATCGTGAGCATCGTTCCGATCCGGTCCAGGGATAATGGAATGAAAGCTGACCGACGACGCTGACTGACTGACTGACTGACTGACGGATCTGCTCATTAAAAGGCCTTCCATCCAATCTACTCTGTGTATTCTTTCCATCCTCTCGGGCATTCCTCCCAGAACCATCCCCACCATTAGTGTTACGGACTAGAAAGTATCTACTCCATAGCACAAGTCAAAAAGCAGTCCGTTCATCCTCGAACCCCACTTTGTCTGGTCTCTTTCTTTCCCCTCCATCCACATCTTGGATTCCATCTGCCTCTCTCCATCCATTCGGTTATCCACTCTTATTCTCTTTCCCAATTACTTCCACTCTTTTTATGGCCTTTCCCCTCCCCCTCTTCGTCAGGCCTCGACGGGGAACAGAAACTCTACTTTTGAAACCATACAACCAACCTTATCATATTACCACCGCCACAACCAAATACTACATTTCTACGACACACAATCCAGATAAATATAATCAACCCAGAAAACCGAATAAAATTTCCCGCCAACCGTCATTCGGTTACACGCTGCCCGACTGCATTGAGACTTGCAGCCCGTGGACATTTTCTGCCGGTCATCCTCCACTCACCGTCTGCCAGACTACAACTGCAGGCGCGCGCGCTCCTCCTTCTGTCTCGTTTTCCTTTTCTTCTGCTTCGCTCCTCCGTTGGTTGATTTGCTTGACCCACGCCTGCAACTTCCTCTCTCGCCGTCCACTCTTTCCGCCCGACTACTACTACTAGTAGATACCGTCTCGTTTCCACCGCTGAC